GGGAGTCCCGGTTGAAAAGTCCAACCAAACTCGTCCGCGTGAATTCGCGATTTCAACCAAGCGACTCTCCGGCGATGAGAATCCTCGGTACCGTTTCTTCTTCTCTCCTCGGGTTTGTCGAAATTAAGAGGTAATGGCCGCGAGGCAGGGAAACGGATTATTGTTATTGCTTCTCGGCGGAGAACGTTTCTCGGTACGTCACGGTGAAGATCCTCTTGGTGGAATTACTAGGAACCGTTATTGTTCCGAGAGAACTCCAATGGTTCCACCGCCGATGGCTGCCTCGAAGATAGGACGCATCGTGGAGGAAGACTGCGTGGCCGTAGGACGATTATTGATATCGATTAATATAAATTACCTTTGATACGAAACGTAGACCGAGATTTTCGACCCTATGCAAGACCGCGACGTCCATTTGGCCGATTTCATTAGTCGAGAGCGATGGTGGCCGGCGAACTTGGCCGCCATTTTGTTTGCGTAGATACACCCCGGCTGTCAATAGTGACCGTAGCTTCGGCGAACAAAAACCGGCGGCGAATATACAATAGCATTTCCGTCGAAGGGTCGTCGAGGGGGTGCGAAGGGATCGCCCTTGCCCCACCGAGCCTGCCCATTGGCCAGGTCGCGCGTTTTCCCCGAGTATCGATTATTTCTCGTCGATTCGAGTCCGGTAATAAACCAGTGACCGGTCAAAACGTGCCGCCATTTTGGAGGTGTGGTTTGGCCACCGGATGGCCTTCCCGACCCGACGCCTCGTCAGGGAAATGCCCCTTTATCGGCGAATGCGTGCCTTCCTTCCTCCTCGAAAGGAGAAAAGGATTAACCGGAACTGCTCGGTACTGTAAATCCACCGCAAAATAAAGCATCACGCATCATCGAGCACCGAGTCGTTTCTAGGAACCGAAGGCACGCCGACGTCGCGCCCCGCGACGAACGACGCTTCGGGCGGCCGTTTTATGAACGAACGTTCATTTACGACTACTCGAAAACGACGCCATTCCAATTCTCGGGAACCAGGTGAAGAAGTCGATCGAAGTTGTTCCACGGGCGGCTCGGTTAAACGCGATTCCACATTTTTAAATTCCGGAGTCCCTGCACCAGACGCGCACAGCCCTTAACCCCGAACAGACGATAACACGACTCGACAAGATGGTAACTTTTTCATATTATTATATTATATAGTGATAATTTTTTCTCTCTTCGTGCGAAACCGTTTGGTTAATAGTAAAAGAGAGAGGAATGGTGACCCCTGTTTGCGTTCTTTCCTTTCCGCAGTTTTCGAAGGAACATCGAAGTTACGGTTGAACTTACTCCGTATATCGTACATCCACGGCAAGGACCGAACGTAACAGGACGTATATCGACGTTTCTAAAAAAGGAACCACTCCCCGAGGTCTTCGAGGTGCTCCCGAAACGCGTCGATTCGCTCCACTCGAGGCACAATGCCGGAAGGAAGGCGCGAAAAGGGGCCAGGATTTTTACCCTAATTGTGGAGCGTTCAATGAGTGATCGAAGCGTCCAAAACGCGTCCAAGATGGCGGCGGACCGCAAGCCAGCGATTCGCCTCGCACAAGACACAATAGCGGGCCGAAGGAACGGCTCGACTTTCCCAGCGATCGCTGAAAAACCTTACGATCCGCGGAAAGACCGAGGGGGCCGAAGGAACTGGGGAAAAAAACTAAAAGAAATCAAGAGAGGGCTCTGAACTCTCGGCCAGTTTCTAAGTAATTACTTATCATCCGGCCGACTGACTATCCACCCATCCGTGGCCGATATCCCTTACCGAGAACCGGCGATACTCGAATCCTTCCACCGTTCGCGGGAAACGTCGCCCGATTCGGTGCCGAATCCCTTCTTTCCCTTGTTTTCCCCTTTTCCTCGCTTTTTTCTCTCCCATTTTTTGCCCAGAGGCAGGAAACAACGCGCCTTCCCGACCGAGGGAAAATCGAAGCGTGACCGAATAATTAACTCCGATGACTCCGGATCAAAGGACGTTCTCGGTTTAACGCGGAATAGGACCATGCCGGGTGGAACCGATGCACTTGTTAGAAAAAAAAGAAAAAAAAACGAAGTAAAATAGAGAGAAAAGGGGGAAAACTGTGGAGTAACGGCTGCAAGCTGACTCGAAAAACCTCGCTTTCGGGCCGCGCTGATTCGTCACTCCCCGTCGTCGAGGACCGTATGGGTTTCACCTCGAAAATCGGCAATCTGATTTACCGTTATTTCTTTAATTTCACATTCTGTTAACTCACGCTCGCGCAATTTGGGGTCGTCCGACCGACCGGCCTGCCATCGGGGGATCGCAGGGCCCGAGGGGTGTGCTACCCTTTAAAATCCCAAACCCTCTTCCTTCAACCCGCGTTCAACCCGAGTTACCCGCTGTTTTTTAGCGCGGGCTCGCTCACAAAGAACTCGTCCGGCCACGGGGTTTCCATCTAACTTTTACAGTTCCGTCCCCCCCCGAACGTTCCGGCTTATTGTCACAGCCGAGTATGCTGCGGCGTTTTCTTCACCGAGGGAAAAACTGTTACCCGTAAAGATCGGATAAATACCTCCCTCGATGATCCCCGAGCCTCTGCCTGTATCTCGACCGATTATTGCAGGAACGTTAGAGCTGTAGGCAGTTCACGCCTTTACGAATTAATAGCTTCCTGCCTACCGATTGCAGATAGGGAATTCTTAACGTTGGTCGCTAAAATTTTCTTAATTAAAATTGAAATCAAGAAAATTCCTGATGGGAGACTATCTAGTATTTTTCAGAGCGATTTGGCCGTTATTTTCAACGATATTTATAAGTGGAGTAAACATAAAGAGTTCACACCTTTACGAATTAATTAGTTCCTGCGGACCATTCACGGATCGAGGGTTCTTAACTTTCGTCGCTAAAAATGTTAAATAAAAATTAAAATCAAGATAATTTGTGAAGAGAGAGCTATCTAATATTTTTCGGACATCATTTTCGACGATTCTTATAAGCGGAGTAAACATATGCAGTTTACGCCTTTGTGAATTAATTGTTCAAATAGTTCGAATTATCGACTGTTCGTAAATGAATAGTTCCCTGCGCACAATTTAAAATAAACATTTCAGTCCAAAGAAATTATAAAGTGAGAACTGCTTGTAATATTTTCGACGCGCTCGAATCACCATTTTCAACGACATCAATAATCGGAGTGAAAATGTTACATTAAACGAGAAATTGGAGAAGTCGTTTCTGCCTCGGAAGATGGACTCACCCTTTAGGTTTATTTTTAGCTTGACCTTAAAATATTTAGTTTCGCGGCAGCCCTATCTATTCCTGCGCGGTTTTGTCGAAATCGCGCCCCTTTCCTAGGAGATTCCCTGAAAATTTAATCCCAATAAACGGATAAAAACGTGTTTACCACGACTTAACCAGCCGGCCATTACAAGAATTATTTCGGTTTCGAATTACCTCCGACTAAATTCCCGTAGCAAGATCATTTTATGACTACCATAAAGACAGAAACACATCTTAATCCCTTTCGTAAATTCCGCCCGCAGTTAACGGGCAGCACTAATTTTAAATACTTCATATAAATATCGAGTAATCTCGGGAAGGTAATCTGAGGCACTCACTTCGATCGGCCAAAAAGTCTATCCGCCGAGAGGAGAAGAGTTTCGTAATTAGCACGTCGGAGTAGCGAATTAACGGGTACCCGAAATCACAGGGAAAATATAGAAACAAAGAAAACCGCTCGCGAGTGATCGGTCCGATTTTTTCGTTTGGGTGACAAAATTGGGGCAGTGACGCGCCGCGTCAGTGGAAGCTCGCGTCCGTCCCGGTAACGTACTGACGCACTCGGGCTGGAGCGAGTGGCTGCGATCTGGGTCCGTAGTATTATTATTTAAAACAACCCTTCGAGCAAGATCGAGCCGAGGCCGAGGGGTAGGGCGAGCTCCTCGTCAGAGGGGTTGCGTGTGCGAGGAGACCAGTGGGGGCTTAAAAAGTTGGGGTAAGCCTGGAAGGGTGAACGCAGCTCGCGCGTGATCCTTGTCCAGGTGTCGCCGTCAGCCTCCGGGGGGTTCCAATCAAAATGGGGTTTCGGAAACTCTCCATTTCCCGTTCGAACGATGAAAAAACTGGCCAAGAAGCGAAACGTCCAAACTGTTGGAAAATATCATTTCTTTTTACCAATTTAATTTCTCTAGGAAGAAATTCAACAATCTTAGATGTACCATCGGCGACGGTACTAATGGTGATTGGACGAACTTACTGCCCAAGATTCCTGGATTTTCGTAAATTTCTATGTGGAAAGAAAAGTTAATGTTTTAGTTAAATTCAATGCGATGGGAGAAATTAAATCGCAGGTGTAAAATACACCTCCTGGCTCATAATTGCCGTCGCTTGTGGGAGGAACGAGTCAATTCGAGTAGCTGTTTGAATGTGGCGTGAAAATATTCGTCTATGGGAGTTGAATGGAAATATGTATAGAGATCTACGTTGTCGGCGACTCAGGGACTAACGAGCGAGCCTGATTTGTGTTACCGATAAAGGTAGCTCCAAGGAAACAGGTCGATAACGTAGGGTGTAAACGGCTCTCCCTGGTTCTCATCTGAATATAGTAGTGTCGATACATGGGGCACCATCAGTAGAGAGCTATTATATTTGTAAAGAATACGTGAAATCTACGGTAGATGTCATGTACACGCCGTTTTCTCAGGTGTTACTGGTGAAACTGTAATAAATCGGCGTTTATCGCACCCTTAATACCAAACTTATAAAACGGGACTTTGTACTAACTCATCTCTGCTTTGTACGGTTTCTATATCTGTTCTACCAGACATACGCGCAAAAATTTACTTCGATTACAAAGCAAACTCGAAATTACTAACTGCATTGCAGAGTATCCGGCGACGTCCCATTCGCGACCTATAACGAATTAATTCATATATTTTACGTAATTTATTCATGAAATACTTGATACAAAAAATGAATTTACTGGATTTGTTACGTAATTTTAAATTCATGTCGCAATTAGTCAGCTTCCAGTAAGTTTTTATTGATTACTGCTTATGTACATTGATGTACGTACGTACTCCTACGAAATTTTGAATTATCCTAATCATGATTATGAAAATGTATCTTATATTATCTTTATGTTGAACATGTTCGTGCAACATCGGCCTATAGTTACAGAATTATAAATACGTTATTACGAATATCACTTAATTTTCATCCTTTCGTTTTTTCAACGAAGGACGATCGAAAACTTGTTTCATTCCTGCAGCTTGATTATTATGAAATTTCAAATTTTGAGCTGTTTCAGATATCCAAGGTGAGTCGAACTGCGTAGTGTCTTGATCCACTAAATGTGTGTACTTAGTTCTACCACTTCGACCAAAGTTCTTTACTTGCATTACTTTGGGAAGAATAGTTTTATCGAAATGATCTTCCAAAGTTGCCCCAGAGAAGTCTCGTTTAAATATATTGTCGTCTTTGTCCAAGTAAAATGCACCACGATGATAGTACTTTTGCAAGAACTTGTACTTCCCTTTGGCAGCCTTATTTGTAATTTGTTTTGGATTAAGTCGTGATTCCTGCCTGCGTTCTTCCTCAGTCATAGTGCGTATTCTTTCTATTTCTAGACGTTCTTTTTCAAGTCTACAAAAAAATTACAATATTAAGAAAACAGTCATTGAATCATCTAAATATTTTTGTATATAATGATTTAAAATTTGTTAATTTAAAAAAGAAGACATACTGTTCTCGTTCCTCACGATCACGTTTTATTCTCTTTAATTCCCTTAGTTTCCAAGCTTCATATTCTACTTCGTCATTTTCATCATCTGTGCAAATATCATTGAGATGACCTTCTTGGTCGTTAGTACCTTTCCCTACTTGAGTTTCTTTACGAATTACTTCCTCCACCATCTAAAACATTACAATAGGTTAAAAAATATATCTGATAACTACAAGAACAAATAATTCCAAATTTTGGTTACAGATAACATTTTAAGAACTTACTCTCAGGGTTTGCCTTTTTCTTTCCTCAGCCAGCTTTTTAGCTTCCTGCTCTGCTTGTTTTTGCTTCATAACCTCTTTCTCTTTCTCCATGACTGTAATTCTATCTCGCTTACGAACAAAAACTGGTTTTAATCTAGGACCCGTTTCCTCTTCAGAATCTGTATATTCTTCGTACTCGGAACTTTCCTCTGAACTGTCAGCAGACTTTTCATCTTCCTCTCCTTGTATTAATTCCTCTTCCACATCTTTTTTAGACAATACTCTTTGTTTTAATGCCTCACGACGTTTTTCAATTTCTGCATCTGAGAGTTCTTCATCTTCCGAAGAATCCGAGCTTTCAAGCTTAATTCTTTCTCTTGACCTCTCTGGCTCTGTTTCTATTACCTCTGGTTCGTGTATATGTCGGTGTCTCTCAACACGAACCTCTACATTTGTTTCTCTTTGTCTTTCCAACCGTGTGAGACGCCTTAGTCGTGGATCATCTTCATCTTGTATTCTACTCTCAGATTGGGATGGGCCATCTGTAATTGCTTCGCCTTCATCGTAGCCTTTATGAATACGTCTTTCCATGAAGTCTTCATCCTCCGATTCTTCGTCAGAGCTAGCAGCAGGAGCATAATCAGGGCGTTTTCCAGATACATATCGATGAACTTTCACTTTTTTCATAGACAGTTCACCTATGTAGACAAAGCATATAAAAATACAGGAAATTTAACTGAACATGCTACTATCAATCCCAAAGAAGCATAATAAAACTCTATCATCTTACATATCGATTTCACTTTACTATTTTTATATGAAACTGGGAAACGTTAACAGAAGTTTCAGTAACCGGTAATATTTCGCACAGACCTTTATCATTTTTTACTGGAACTGCTCCCGCAGTACTTTGAATCCCCATAGGGGCCGGAGCCAGAGAATTATTCGTAACAAAATAATCCATCATCATATTGAACGATTACTTTGACACCACAATAAGTAAGGTTAGGTCCAGGTGTTACTCAGATAAAGTGATGATCAAACGTTTCGTTTACCAACATTAATCTGAAGGCATATTGACAAAACTTTGTTTACTCGTACGTTGCAAAAATTATAATATAAAAATCAAGAGTTGTGACAGAGCAGTCACAAAGTCAACGGCAATTGGTCAACGCAAAAGGAATTGGGGTCAGTGCTGGCAGAGATGAGTTGGGAGATTGCTCATGGGCAGGGTCGTGCGATCGCATCCTGTGCTGCCCTCTGGTTTCGTACGCAAAGGGTTAAAAGAATATTGACAAATGATTGAGATCTCGGAGAGATCTCGAGATCATCATGAATTTGAAAATTGGTTGATCGTCAAAAATATCTAATACAAAGTTGATTAATAAATTTCAAACTTGGTTAGCCGAGCAGCCATTCGCGAATCGATGCTTTTCTTGCATTTCTGTGCAAGTCGAACCATCGATTCCCCAGGCCCACCACGAAGAGGTTGCCACTCAATGAGGCCCGTCTAGGAGCACTAAAACGTCAACCTAGACTGTATGGGTTATGAAATCCTGGTTCTATGAGTTCCTGGGACGCCGGGAACTCAACGGAACCAGGTGCCTATGCTTAGGCGGGTCCCAATCGCAGCGGCCTCCTCGTGGCGGGACCTGGGGGATCGGTACCATCCTTATGGGATGACACCGATCCGCGAACTAGCTGTGAAGTAGAATTTAATTAAGGTAAAATTTCACTTTCTCGTAAAATAAGTAAGGTAAGTGAAGGGTAAAGTCAAAGCGAGTGCCACGAATGTTCTTCCCTTATCATCAAAAGCGAGCAGTGTCGGTAAGCGTTGGCAAGCCACCACCGTCAACAGCCGCAAGGTATTACCATCACGAGCCGTTAACGGCTACTGGTAGATGGTATCGCCATCGCGAGTGCGCGAGCCCCTACCAGAAATTCGTTGCGCCGCCCTTGGGGGCAAAAAACGGTGAAAGCTAACGTACGAAACCAGAAGGCAGCACAGGATGCGATTGCCTGCCCGTGAGCAATCTCCCAACTCATCTCTGGTGCTGGTCAGTTCTATTCAATGCTATTTGGAGTTAAGTTGAGATTTATGGAGGTATCCAAAGGTATCTTACGCGATCGCGAACTCGTGCTGCTCTCTTGCGGAATGCATGGAAATAAATTCCTTTCCTTGGATAGTTACGAAATAAGTCCAATTTTATCATCAATTCTCATTGGTTAAGGTTCATTAATTTTTATCTTTTAATGGACATGAATATATCTCTAGGTATTTTCCTAGCAGGTTTATCACGCCCTTATCAATGAAAAATAAAGGCGTAATAACAGAGATAATAGATATTTGATAAATACATAAAAAATTGCAACAGTTCCTAAGTTGATAGTATCGAGTAAAACGAACTACAACTACTGGAGATACGTAATTACTACTAGTCTTTTGAATTTTATATTAATAAATTGAAATGTCTCTTGACAATATACTTTACGATATAGTACAACAATGTACGAAGGTATAATATTCTATTTAATTTTTAATTTCACACATTTATTGGCATCTGTGGTTGACTTTGCATGTTCCCTGTACTATTTTGTACATATATGTATACTTTTAGTTTGTAATACATGATGTAAGATTGTAGCATTTAATTTTAATTGATAACATTGTAAGAGAATATTGTGTTTCAGGAACATCCTCGGAATCTTATTCCTGAATTGTGCAGACAATTTTATAATCTGGGATGGGTTACCGGCACGGGTGGAGGAATTTCTATTAAACATGAGTTAATATTTTTTATAGATACCTTAGCTTCAGATTAGTATATTATAAAAAACTATCTTTTGTTAAACATATTGCTTTCTGATTTGAACAGAGAAAAAATATATATTGCACCATCTGGTGTGCAAAAGGAGCGCATAGTTGCGGATGAATTATTTGTTCAAGACTTGAAAGGAAATGATTTAGAGCTGCCTCCCCCCGAAAAGGAACTGAAAAAATCTCAATGCACTCCACTTTTTATGTGTGCGTACACAATGCGAAATGCAGGAGCTGTGATTCACACTCATTCCAAATTTGCTGTTATGGTTACCCTTTTGTGGCCTGGAACAGAATTTCGAGTTACTCATCTAGAAATGATAAAGGGTATGCATTAATATTTTAATTCAAATTTGAGTGTAGTAAAAAATTAGTGTCTACTTAAAAACAAGGGAAGTATTCTTAGAAGAAATATAAACTGAATATTCTTATATAGGAATAAGAAATCAAAAAACAGGGAAAGCATTGCGATATGATGAAGAATTGATTGTGCCAATTATAGAGAATACGCCATTTGAAAAGGATTTACGAGACCGTATGGCTGAAGTGATTAATCAGTATCCCGAGACTTGTGCAATATTAGTGCGAAGACATGGAGTCTATGTTTGGGGTGATACCTGGCAACAAGCAAAAACTATGTAAATATTTTTTTATACAGTATTTACCTTAGTGGCAAGATGTGGTACATTTTTTAGTGTACAGTATTTATCTCAGTGGTAAGATCTGATACATTTTTTAGGACGGAGTGCTATGATTATTTATTTGATATTGCTGTGCAAATGAAGCAGCATGGTTTGGATCCACTAGCAACGCCTGAGAAATATGAACTAATGCATCAAAAGAAAATAAAACCTACATAACATTGAAATAAGTGGTAATTATTGTTACGAGATCTTTTTTACAATTTATTCTTACACAAAAATGGTTTGTGGATTTAACGCATTATTATATTGAAGTATATTTGTACAAAAAGAACCAGTTTTCTTGCAAATGTTTTATGAGGACTTAAAAATAAAAGTAGTTATAAAATACATAAGAAGAATTGTTAATTTTAATTGGTACGACAATGGTGATCAACTTTCAAAATGAAATACATAAATGGTATAAAATTTTGAAGAAAACCTATTTGTATACATGTAATTTCAGATCTATACAATTTCCATAAAAATATATTTACATTTTTACACGCTTTACAGACATTACTTTTGTGACAATTAAAATGAACTATTTTCCGTGTATAAACGTTGTGAAAAATTATGTATTTAAATATATAGTTAGAAATACTCTTTGACTAATCTAAGTCATATAGTTGAAACTTTTTTCGAATGTTTTTTGCCAATTCTGCTTCTTTTTCTTCGTCCATAAGACATTCTTTCCAATCTGCCCGATCATTAAGATCCAATATTCTGTCACTAGCTAAAACCTCTCTCCCAAATTGAAGTGGGAAATCTTTTTTGATTCTATGATACAACATTTCTCCATTTGGCAATTCAACATAAAAGTATAGCATGCCTGGTTTAACAATTTGCTGTAAATCCGAATGTATTGGAAGTTCATCGAGTTGAAATCTGTTGCATTCAGCAACTTCCTACAATTACAAAATATGTCACAGAATACACTTAAAAATTTGGTTACAAGTATTTTATTGAAGATTATAATAAGCAAGATGATAACTTACCTGAAATGCCTCTTTTAAAGCAGGAGCTTGATTTTTGTGAACGGGAACTGCTTGTAGCTGACAATGTGAGCTCTTATAATTCCTCTCAAAAAAAACAGGAACTTTATTCATACTTGCATAATATTTTGTTATAGCTTCTTTATAAAGTTTCATTTCCGCCGCAACACCCTCTGGCAGAATGGATAAACTTTGATGATGAGTAATCGGCAATATTAGAAAATGATCTTCCACTAGTCCACCCTTAGCGAGCGCAACATAAGTTTCAGTTCCAACAGAAATAACCAAATGTTTGGAAACTTTTGGACTAGATAAGCAGAACCAGCACTTTGACTGATCGAATTCAATTTTAAGCTTTTTATTAGGCCCGTCAAAATTCTTCTGTCTCCGTCCACTGTCTTTGGTTTCCATATCATAAAAAAACTGTGTGCTTTTCCCTTCCGGTTTTGGATCCCTTGGTTCACTGTTTAACATGGATATCGGATAAGGAGTTGGAGTTTCATCTGTTGTTCTTTGAACTAATTCGGATAGCCTCGCACGATCTACGGGTGTTAAATTCAAAGCATATAACCATTTTCTTTTGTCCGGGTTACCAACAGAAGCTAGTGCTAGAAATCTGGTTGCAATTTCTATACCATCGCCACTCTGATTTTGATTTCTAGAAAGTTTCAAAAAAATATATTAAAACTAGTAAAAATATGTAATGTATATAACTCAAATATATCTAAACTTTCTACTAAAAATAACAATTTACCTGTACGGAGGTCTCTCATAATGAATTTCTTGCAATGCCGATACATGATATCTAGGTTTTAATTGCGTAGCCAGCCAAGCAATTAATTTAGAGCCATTGTACTTAAAACTTGGTTCAGTACTATCCAAGTGAGTCACATCTTTCGGCCACTGTGACGTTAAAAGAATATCTACTCCTCTGTAGCTTGGTTGACCTTTTAAACATGTACTTCTAATGGACATAATGTCACTTTCATCAAAGGTGTACGAACTAGATTCTGAACCCTGACGTTCAATGCCACTTAGATAAGCTATCTTGAGACCTGAACTAGAATTATATAGTCCTTTTTTACCAAGGAATGTGAGATTTTGACATATTTCGCAAGCTTCCATATTAGGATAATATTCAATGTCGGTTTCCTTATTAGGACCAACTATGTAAGTTGGTACCGATATTGTTTTCATTCCATTCTTGTACGGTTCCAGTTCTATATTATTATCACCAAAGAAATTACCAACGCATAACAGAAAGTCAAAAGGCCCGCTCTTCTTATTAATGACATTTACCTTTGAGAATAATAGATTGAAACGACCATTTACATCTCCACAAATTAAAACTTTCTGTTTTTCTGCCATGCTTAGATTCGGATACAATTTTTTCTAAAATGTTAAGATTCTTATACAGGTACAGCTTATTCCAGTTATTTAAGTGGAAATATTTCAACGTTATTTTTGAGGTTATATTTTCTATTCTTTCTTTTCCTCTTCTATCCTCTTGGTTCAATTTTTTTCACGTCCTTTATTTTCAAACATTTGTATGAATGAATTTTATATCTGAACCGTGTTAACTAGTGTTAACTAATATAATATTTTAAGTATTTAAAATATATCGTTTATGTTACAACCACGGTCGTATACGCTAGTTTGGAAGCTCCGCCAAATTTACGTAGTAGATGGCTATTAAACTTTTACACCATTTTTCTTTTCAGTGCCACCGCTTGAGGCACTGTAGAGTTTTGTCCAGTTTTGTCAAACCACGGTTGTAAACGACCGTAGTTTCGCCATTTTTACTATAATTGTCTGTTAGCATTTGGTACCAACTCATCTCTGCACAAGTTCTCTGGATAGATGTGAATTCATGGTAAATTTAACGATTTCTAATGATTTTCATAATTACATAGGATCATGATACCTACATGTTAATAAATTTTAAAGTAATATTGTTAAATTTTTTGATTGACGCATACCGACTGCAAGGTGATTTATAGATCTATTTCTGCCATGAAAAACAACTTTTCCCCTGACAGATCATTGATCAATTATATTAAAAAAACATTGGTAGGAAAAATTTTCATTGGAAGTTTTGTTGGGAAACAGTACGTGGAGTGTTTACAACTTTACAGGTAAGCTTTACTGTCAAAGTTTATATATTAATTTTTTTTCCTGTTGATCATTTATTATTTGAGCGTAATTAGCACATTGTCTGACTTAACATTATTATAGGGATATTATTCATGTACATACGAATGAGGAAGAATTGATTGTATCACTGAATGAAGTTCAAAGCCAAATTTGTAAATATTATGGCAATTCAAGGTGGTTTGGCATGACATGTGAGTTCACACTTCACTATCCTATGTGTTCATTTGATTTGTGTTAATATAATTTTACACTTTAATTCAAATGGTACAGGTGAGAAATATAATAATGACAATGTGAAATATATCATATGGACAACATTGCCAGAGATACCGCTTGGTAAATATTGGTTCCAAATATGTCCTGTCAAATATACATTGAACGAGATTCAATTGAAAGTAAAGCATTTGAGGGCTTTAGGAATGAATAATGAAGACCCAGTCGAGAAAAATTATTTATCTTCGTTTGATTTGCAGAAAGTATGTACAATATATTAATTTCTTAATGATTTCCGACTATAAATTTATAAGTCTTGTTTTGACTAGATTTTTACATTGGAGAACACATATCATACACTAAGATTTAATGCAGTTGCGATTTTAACTTTGGTGACAACTGCTATGACACTTCTGTGGCACATTGGAGATTTTTCTCTGAAATTTGTTCACTGCTTCTGTGTCCTAATACAAGTGTTCACCCCTATAATACTTGCAATAATAAATGGTTTAACAAAATGTGTTGGTGGATTATATTGGTTAATTTACGTGATATTAAGAGGCGATCAAGTACCTCCATGGCAACAGTTCGATAATAATGATCAGCAGCGGAGGAATCACTATCAGAGCTCTTTTGCACTATTAGGGAATTCTGACCCAAAGGTACGATATGGTAATTTTCCTAGTTAAGAATTTTCTACATACGTCAAAAGCTTTGTTTTCCAGTTTAAAGAAGCAATGCAGTAGTTTAAAAAATGTATTATTTCAATTGCAGCCCGCAAATTTTTCAACAAGTCCAAAAAAATGGACATGTAGACAATAGACTGTTATAAAAGTGATTTATATCATGACGTGTAAAATAAAGTGACTATCTTGATAGTCATTTGTGTTACAAATTACTTTTAGTGTGATGCTTGGTTCTCTAGAGCGTTCTTTCTTCTGCAATAAGGAACTATTGTATGCAAAGCACATATTATACATATGTATACTTATTAAGTATAACTGATTTTATAATCTCATCTTTATCTATAAATATGAGGTAAAAATTTCATGTACATCGAGAATTATTGCTGTTGTTCCAATATTACAAATTTTGTAATAAAGTAAAGTTATTTACCATATAATTGTCAGTGTATTTTCTTTTTACAATTTCATTAAATTAGTACTACAAAATGTGTTAGGGACAAAATTGAACATATATGATGTATACTTCAAATCGTGCCATTAAGGGTTTATTGCTCCAACCAGTCTGATACATATATAATATTCAACACTTCATGCTGAGTTACCATTCTTTGAAAGGAAAACAAAGTAATTTACATTAATACTAACCATTTGTTCAAAAATAATACAAAGATACAAGGAATGATATATTCTTTATAGGATCTCTACTCCAATTTGGCAATTCATGGCTATATTTGCCACAACTCATTTCTACAAACTGTTTTCTTAAAGTTTGTGGTAAATTCAGTCAAGTTTTGTTATTCCAATAACACCGCATGCCAAACGAGCTCCTGCATTTCCAGTGGTTTTTGACAACTCATGGCCACCCTTTCCTAAATCATCAGGATCTGCATGTACCTATAATGCATACAAAAATTAAGTCATTCCCTTAATGATTTCCAAAAATTAACATATTGTCGTAATATTTAAGTTATGAATAAGAGTATTCAACAAGCACAGAAATAATGATCCATGTTCAAATCAAATAATTAATAGTAAGAATCACTACAAAATACAATTGTATGAAAGTAATCTACCACAAGAGTTCTGCCAATGACGCTATGTGGTCCTTGAAGTTGGATGATCTTGTCGGTTATTTCAACCTTTGCCACACCACTGGAATCAGCTTCAACATTTCCCAAATCACCAACATGACGAACTACAGATTCTGGCCCACCGTGATCTTTACGCAATGGATTAAAATGTGCTCCGGCACTGGTGCAACCTTTAACCATGATATTGTATCATTGTTGTTTGTTCAACCACATCATTTCTTTAAATATGTACTCTTTTATCAATACTTGTTCCTGATAAATTCTCAAGGATAACACATTCGTCTCACGTCAAACCAATAGTTATCAGCATGCAAGATAGGACTAAGTGATAACGCATAGTTTTACACGACAGCAGGAACACTTAAAATAATTAAAAGAGAAAATATAAAAAAAGGAACCATGGTTTTACCATTGGTGTTATCGCCAAATTCATGAACGTGGAAGCCATGCAGACCTTGCTTTAAGCCAGAAACCTCTCCGGTCACCTTCACAGGGTGAGCTTCATCCTGGGAAAAATAGTTTGAATCGAATTGGCACGTATAAGCAACAATTTTAAATGACTAGTGTTATGGATTAAGATGACTTACAGGTTGCTCGAAATAAAGAGTTCCCTTAACGGAATCACCTTGAAGGACGCAAACAGCCTTGACGGTCATTTTAAAGACGCACTTAGTCGCACCGACAGTCGAAGACAAAATGAGCTCCGCCGTTCAACGGATATTAGTCGGCAAAAAGCACTTTTGTATTCGCTGAATCACGGCGATGTCTTGCGCGAAGTACGCTTTATATTGTAATTTCCGATCAACCTGACCAACCTTGACGTCCCTCGCTTGTATTTTAACGCTCAGTACAAGTAATTTGCACAGAAATTACCGGTCGCCGGCATACAGGATTGCCAACCATTAAACGGAAGTGCCACATTCTTAACAGTGTTGTCACATCATGAATTTTCTAGTGTAAAAGTTAGTAACCGTACAATTCACTAAATTTAGTGTTTTTGGTCGCGTTCTGATATTCACCGTCACTAATTAAAAAGCAGCCTCCAGAAACATGAAGTCCCATTTACATATAATTTACAACGCGTACGAAATGTGTAACATGTATATCTAGTAATTTACTGTAAAAACTACGTAAATTACCCAGGGTATTTTATTTACTTAACCCTGGCCTTAACGTGTTGAAAATTAACCAATCAGAATTGTGCTAAATCGAACGTCACTTCCGCTAGAGTTTTATTGGTTATCATATTGACGTGTTGACGCGTCGCGTTCTGTGTGACACCTGACGCATTCAATAGGACTCTGACCTCACCCTCGACGCGTCGCGTTCCGTGTGACAGTAGATGCGGCGCGCTCCGTGGGACTCCGTCCAAACGGGTCCCTCCCGAAACGGATACCACTCGTTAGGATTTAAAGGCCATCGTAAGGTTAGTCTCAGTAAGTCTCTTCGGTATCTTTAATGGCAGCGTCGATGCTTCGTCGCGAGCTCACATTTTGTATTGCGTGAATAATAAACCATTCCATTATGAGTTTTCCTTGTGAATCTCATCTGCAGTACATAGACGTGCAATTCGTTTGTCATTTTTCCGTGCTGGTGGGCTCGATACTAATTATGGATAAGGTGGAATGGAATGAAAGTTACGAGTGACAATTTTGCAAACTACCATGAAGTAGAGACCTTCAGATTGATTTTTTAAGGTAATGTAGTTTATGTGCGTACACTGGATTGCTCTACATTCGATGCCTTTTATATATTATATTCCTTGAAATAACGTTTGTAATTATTTAAATATTACTTCCTGTTTGATTAATGAAACAGTGTGCTACAGTGGAATTTGCATAGCACAAAGTAAACAATGTGAATGCTAAGTAATTGTGTATTTTGTATAACAAACAGTTGCATTCTTGGAGTTCAATTTTGAACTGGAAGTGTAAATAATAAGTTAAGGACTCGTTTGTATTGTCGTTGCAATGTTCAATGTTTAAATTATTAATTGCAAATATTGGGAGATTTTATATTATTTTGGAAATGAACTTAATTTTATAATCACTCCGTGATTCCTCAATGAGAACAAGCGAATTTTATTGTATTTTTGTTTACTGTATCATCCAGTGACTTAGGTTAGGTTAAAACTTACACTTTCGAAAGCCATTATTTAGTTACAATTTTTTTTAGGGACACCGTGTTAATATATGTCAGGTGCGTATCCAAGACGGGAAGAGTATGTCAGGGCAGCTCCCTCGCTTACGTGCTTTAAGGCCAAGACCTCAACAACATATTCGGTCTAATCAATTAACCAGAGTTCAGATTAACATCAAGGATAAAGAAGAAGAGAAAGATTCAGATGAAGGTGATACTTGCGATGCGAAAGACTCAAAAGATTCCATTCAGAGCGCATTAAATATTGATGACAGTGATGAAGAAGGTAAGCTCGTTATCAAGACAGAACGAGATAGTACTTCTTCAGAAGAACTAAGTATTTCAAAGACCAGTAACCCATGCAAATCACCGGAATCTCTCAAGACTTTGGCAAATCGGAACACCTATAATAGATACATCAAGAATGAGAATAAACAAAAGGTTAGTTATTTTTAATGAATCGATGAATTATTAATAATAAGAAGTACCGACAAAACGATCATTTTTGGCACATGAAGTGAAATCCTTCATTCTTTCGTGCTTCCATGTCATGTCGAGCTGCAGTTACAGAAGGGAATAAATTCAGTCATTCGTTGATTTTACATAATTACTAGATACATCTAGTTCCTTTATTTCTTTGGTGTAATTGCCAAAACACTTTGAATCTAACATCAAATCTGGAGTATATGCACTATGGCCTGTTACTAGCAAACCCACTAGAGTACTCAAACTACCGCATTCCATTGTCATATCTACTTTGGATATGGCAATTTCAATGAATCTCTGTCCTGTATAGGTCAGAAGCTACAAATGTCCCCACTGTGACTTCATTTGCCAGCACTCACAGAAACTGCAACGGCACTTTCGCCTAGTTCATGAAAATCGGCAGGATGTAATGGCCGATTCCTCTACGAGAACTAAGTGCTTAGTGTGCTCGCATGTTGCAACTAGTGCTCAGGAACTAGAAACCCATCAGAAAGCTCATCATCTGAAAAGACGTTTCTTTCGATGCGTTAAGTGTTCTTATGTGACACACGTGCGTGCCCGTTATACTAAACACGTCAAGTACCATTCCATGCCATTGATCAAGTGCAACTCCTGCGATTTTCGTACGCCGTACAAGGTACGCTTACTTTCGACAGATTTGCTTATTTTCAACACTCCCAATATCGACTCCTAGATTTTTTTTGGATCTACACGATTGGCTACTTCTTTTGGACTGAAGCTAGTGGTGTGCCATTTTTTATGACTGGCCAATCGAGTGCATCCGAAGAAATAGATTGTGGCGCATCCCAGGTATCCTGTTTCTCCCCTGACCCACACGATCGTCGATCATAGAGTAAATTTCACAGAAGTACACAGTGCACGGTGTAATCTGACTATCATTGAATTTTTTCCCTTCAGTGGAATTTGGACAGGCATACGCGTAACCACGGAGGTGATGGAGCCTTCCAATGCCACGCATGTAACTTCACAGCCGACATTCGTCAGAGCCTTACTGTTCACGAAACGAATCATCATGAGCCACCGATAGGGCAGCCCCATCGCAAAGTAAATACTTCTTTTGAGCGAAACCCACGCAACAGTCTGAAGCGTTATAATCAGGTATCCTATACTTAAACCTGAATCGCAGTACTGTTTTTGAATCTGCTTGGGTCCCTGTGACGCAGTAATAAATGAACGTCCTAAGAATATAATGAATTACGAGAAATCGGTAGCTCATTCAATTTTTTATTTTAAGCATGATGCTTACAATATGCGTGTCGTATTATTTGGTGCGAAAGAAAAGTGCTCAATAGACAGGTTAGGAAGCATCGATGGGTGTACCGTTTCTTATTTTTAAATTGTTAAGCTCTTCTTCGACCTCCGTTAGTGTTAGAGAATATTTTAGTTTCACCTTCATCGACAGTGAGTTGGCACTGGTAGATTGTTTAGATTTTTAATTTCGCCTAATTATGACATTGGGTTAGTGGTGTAACACAAGCTTAGTTGCGTCCAACGAGTAGTTGCAAGTACCATGGCTTCGACCGAAAGCAGAAAGACCTTTAATCGGAAAGCTGATCATTGTAATTTTGTGTATCATTTTTGCAACGTGAAGTGCCTCGCAGTAGTAAGACTATAATTCATTCTAATGGGCTATTCGTTTATTTTTTTTTACTCAGGTTGGTGCGAGTGATTTTCGAAATAATTCCGAGTCACCTGGAAGTTCATCTCCAGGGAAGGACTCTATCGGACAGGTGATAAATATGCCAGAAATGAGTGAGAGCACATCGGAGGCTGAATGCATCGCACTTAAGTGCGAGGAAAAAGGCTGCCAGTTTATAACAGCATGGGATTCTGAGATGCAGCGACATTTAATGGAATCTCACGCACCCAACGTCACCAATAAGCCCAAAAAGCCATTGCCAAAGTTGATACCACTGGACAATACCGATAACGCCCAGCGAAATGATGGATCGATTAAGGACTCTCCTGGAATCTTATTGCAAGTGCCGAAAGTACGCGTCAGACCGGAACTCGCCCACATTTCAAAGGACATGGAAACATCCGTCGTCCAGGGACGTAAAGAGGTGGGCTCGAGTCAATTAATTCGTGGTACAAAATGCCGCTAGAAGCATAACGTCCTTCAATGATCAACCGTTTACGAACAGGTTATCGAGCTGAAGAGGGAATCCGGGGATTCCTTCGAGAAAAGGAACGCCTCCTTCTTCGACAAGCTAAAGGAAAGGTTGATGCTGGCTTCAACGTCGCCGGACAACGGGACGACGAAGGTGTCTCTGGGCAGCGTGAACGACTTAAAGTGTTGGTGCACTTTCGAGGCGAGCAACTTTGAGGAGCTGGCCAATCATAAACGATCTCATCACGCCGCTCTGAGTGTCTCCGTGAGCACGTCTCGTTGTCCGAAGTGTCGGAGACGATGCAAGAGCTCGGTGGACCTCCAAGTGCACATGCGGCTTTGCCACTCGGGATCCGGAGATGCATCAGGGTCCACGGATAACGATCCGTGGAGCAAAGAATACCGCGCCGACTATGCCCATCCGTTCCAAGTGGACTGGGAGGCAAACTACGGAGGCTTCGGTTCGTCGGGTCCCCTGGTACGACAGCTTCTTCACCCGCTTCCTCGGGTTCTCCGCGATTTCTGCTCTCGTATGGCGCACGGTACTTCGTTGGTCCTTGCCGAAAGGCGTAGGAAAGACGAGCACCCGATAAACGGGATAAACAGCGAAACGATTGTTGCTTCAGGTTGAGGACGGGCCGACGAATTTGAGCACCCGCCGGGTGTTCAAATGCCCCCACTGTCCGTTCTGGGCCTCCACTGCGAGTCGATTTCACGTACACATTGTGGGCCACTTAAACCGAAAGCCCTTCGAATGTTCCCTTTGTGCGTACCGGTCTAACTGGCGGTGGGATATTACCAAACATATCAAACTCAAGGCGGCTAGGGACCCGGCGCATACGGCGGCCAGAGTCCTCATGACCGACGAGACCGGACGACGAAACTATTCCAAGTACAACAAGTACCTTGCGGAGGTTAGGACCTGTATTGTGTCATGATGCTTTGTGCTTCGAAGAGCCGAAGGTAGAGCCGAGTCGTTCCCGTTTGTACCGCATTTGACCACGAGGATCGCGTCGGGTAGAGAACTCAACGCTTCTCCGGCTTCTTCGGATTCCTCTTCGGCTGCCTGGAAAATCGCGAATGACTTTTCGACTCCTGGTGGATTCCTTTCTCGGGCATCTTGATTTACACCCACCGCCGGTTTTACTCCGAGTCTTTTACACATAGATATGGATTTATACCTTCGGATTATCTGAACCTCGGGTCCAAAAGCGGTAAAAAGTTGGAACGAAATTTTATTTTTTGTTGTTGCTGCAATCTTTTACTCATTCCTTCAATCTTCGTTGCTTATGTACGCACATTCATGCGCCGCAGTTACGAGTAACGCCTAGATAGTGTATCGAATCATGTGAACGGGTTCGCGGTGTGTTGTATACTTGCAGGTTCCACTGGTTATTTCTTTTAGAAACATGGAAACGTAATTAAACTAAGAATTCGGCTAGCTTGTTTCAAGTGAATATATTGAAATATATTGTAGGCCAAAAATGCTAGATTTTCTGGTTAAGTAGGATATTAACAAGGATTAAAGTGATAAACACCATCGTTTGAAGAAAAAAATAGAATGAAAGAGCGATGCATAACGGAGCTTCTATTTAAATTGGTAAACAGGCCACGACATTTCTGTTAGAAATGCGCTTTTAATGCACAGTCACTCTTCGCCTTTGTTGCTGTGTATTTTGTCCTAACGCATCTTCCATTGTCCGTATCGGTTCAAGAGGCCTCACTGTATTCTTGTCTTCCTCATTTCATTCTGTACTGCAATTATTTGAACGAATCATTGATCGATCATTGGCAATATCGAACTATGATAATAATTATCGTTGTTACCCTTACACATTCTCATCAATTTCCGCAGATCGAGCAGCAAGCAACCGACGAGAGAATTTCTGAGAATCAAACTATGGAGGACATCGGCATAGAGGAACCTCCATCGAAGGTATTGATCGTCAGCAACTCGAAAAAGTATTCAAGATCCATAGAACTCGCAGCAGCTTCCACATCTTCCGACTCCAAACACCTTTCTTCGGGATCGAGTCTACCTTACAGACCGGTTCCGTCGCTGAAGACTGCTACGCGAAGTCAAGGGCAATCCTTGCTGAAGTCTAGTCCCTCTTCTGGGGCTCAGGTGGCCATCGGACACGTACCTACGTCTACGCCGAAGAAGAATATTAATTCCGTTAATTCTGGTAGCTCTAGCAGTTCCGGTAATTCCAGTAACTCGAGTAATTCCGGCGTCGACAACAACGTCGCCTCTACATCGGTGATACTGAGCAGCGATATACCGGCTGCTTCTGCAAACGCTGGGTCGCTCTCTTCGACCTCTGGTACAATTACCGTCACTTCAGGTTCTTCGGCATCTTCCACGCTATCCCCGATCACGATTGCCGTAGAGAACACCAAACGGACCTTGTGGAAGTGCAAACGTTGCAACTTTCGGGACTCCAACAAGGAGAACGTGCTTTTTCACGTGAAGTCACATTATGAATCCGTGGACCAAGCCGCAGATTCTGGAAAGGTGAGACTCTTCATGTCCTTGATAGCGATAGAAACGTAAGATGTTAACTTGATTAATTTTCTTGGGCAACAGAATGCGTTTGGATGCGGCGATTGCCCGTTCTCCGCGCCAGACTCGGCGGCATTGGCTCTTCATCGAGTTCATCATCGTCCGAACTTAGAGGCCATATTCAAGTGTTACCTCTGCCCCTATTATGTCAGCACCAAAGCGTACGTTATCAATTAAGAAAAAAACTAATTACGCACTTTGGTGCAGTAGTAAATGTTGAAGTCACTTGCAATTTAATCGATGATCAATTTTTTCAGCGAATTGCTGGAGCACGCCAGACTTCACGGCGAGGAATTGGCCGTGGTTCACCAGCAGAACGTGGACTCCGATTTATCCGTGGTCACTAGGAAGCTTCAACAGAACTCAGGTATGACATTATCGCCTAATTTAACCGATCAACATCTGATAATCCTTGTCGGCATTCCAGAGAAAGACGGGTCCAAGGACGACTTTCAGTTGGAGCAGCTGGAGCAATTGCCGGTACCAACCGCTTCTACTTCGGGATCGTCAAAATCTACCGACGCGCCACCGCCACTTCTGTTGGATACTCGATCTCTGCCGGATGCTCCTCTGGTTTGGGTCTCTCGACCCGATGGGACTCTCGTTAAGATGCTGAAATGTCGGCACTGTCCTCACCTGAGTCTACGAAGAGCCGAGGTGCGGGACCACGAGAGCATGCACGTGAACGCCCCGAATCATGGCTCGCCCTTGGCGTGCCCGGATTGCAGTTTCACCTGCACCAGGAGGGACGTGTTGAAGTCGCACGCCGAGATGCACACCGGATCCCTGGGCACGGTTCATTGCCTCGTGGATGAGAACCGGTCCGACGCGCAGCAGCTCAGCGATTTGGCCACCCTTTTGGAACTGCCGCGACCTCCTCCTTTAGGAAGCGAGCCCGACCTGAGGGACACCCGACTCGTACACTGCTGCGGCAAGTGTCCAGCTCGTTTCTTGTGCGAGAAGGAGTTGAGGATCCACCTGCGGTATCACTCGACCGAGCTGGCCTACTCCTGCGAATGGTGCTCCTACGCCGCTAGACAACCCGCTCATCTCCTGGCTCACCAGAAAGCGCATTCCGCGGAATATCAACAGCGCACTCAGTATCTGTTGTCGCTCTATGGCTATTCTCAGAGGTATCCTCCCCCCACGACTGCTTGCATCGAGTCGACGAATAACGAGGACCCAGAAAACGGCCCTGCAGGGACCGCCTGGATTGTCGTCGAGGCTCAGTCTGCTGCGGACCATGTTTTAGGCTTCAAATTCGGCGACACCTCTGAACGCGAGAACGAAGGTCACGTCTTTACGTGCGCCAAGTGCCCTGCTCGTTATTTCAAGCTCGACGCGCTGGAGTATCACACGACTCTTCACGGGTCGAATAATAGATTCAAGTGCACCGAGTGTGACTATTCCTCGAAGACTGCGCAGAATCTACTGAAGCATCAGGTGGTGCACCGACGGTTCGCTGAGACCACCGAAGCCACGTCCTCGCGATTCCCTTCGGGGTCGGATACGCAATTCGATGTTTTGATGAGAGGTAATCCCAATTTTGTGTATCCTGGGTACCTGAAGAATGGCAAGTTGAAGGAGAAGAGGTACAAGTGCCATAAGTGTCCCTCGGCATTTGAGAAACGGGAACAGTACAGGGTGCACTTGACCTTGCATGGTGCCAAACAGAGGTATCGCTGCAACACCTGCGACTATTCGGTCAAGTATTATGCTAATTATATCCAGCACCTGAAGAAGCACCAGGCAAATGCCCAGGCTCAGGCTTCGCATCGCCAGTTCGAGGACGATTCCATTACCATCGATGTCGAGAGTGCTTCGGATAATTTTACTTCAGTGTCGAGACCTGGGAAGACCTTGACGAGGACCTTGGCTCCTTCGACCAGTGGTGACGATCATGCCTCGAGTGTCAGTGGCAGTGTTCACGGGTCCAACCAAGATAGGCAGTCAATGTTGCTGATGCAGAAGAAGGGAATCTTGGTGGCCTCGAATCATTCCGAACCTGTGATGATTCGCTGTCAGGATTGCCCCTTTTCCTGTGCCGATAAGGAGACTATGGACGCTCACAAACGTCGCCATGGCATCGAGAGAATGACTCCTCCGTGTCCTCACTGCGATTATGTACCCCGCAAGGATGAAAACATTGGCGAGCACATTCGCCTGCACTTTACAAGGCTTTACAAGCCGGAATCCTATTTAATCGTTGAATTGTTGACACTGACCATGCGTAAGGTATTTGCTAACGAGAAGCAGGACGTGGAAAAGGGATTCGAGCTGCTCTTTAAGGAGTGCAAGGATGGAATTTATTTGCCACACCTCGATACTAAGTCTTCGATGAATACAAATATGAGTAACCTTAGGGAAAATGTTATAGTGGACCCGAATACCGGGGAGGCCAAGCATCATATGTCAGACTAGGTGTGATTTCGCAAGGGAAGTGAACACGCATTTAAAAACATGAAAGCTATCTAACGTTTTGTTCAGTGTTAGACGGAATATGTTGTCAATGAGGGTTTTTTTCTGTAAAACCTATTGCTCGGTGTAGTGCATTATTGGAACAATTAACTGCTTGATCAAAATAATTCACCTTTGACAAATGTGTGCATCCATAGGGGAGATGTTATCGTTATTTCCATACTTTGGGACGGCCAATCTTCAACGTACTGGTTTAGGGGCAATGTTATACATGTTCATTTCCAGTCAGAACTGTACAAGTTTAATATCGTCTTCTGTGCATTCATAGTGACAAAGATTTCTTGGAACAAATTTTTGTTTTCTATTTAAATGACGAGATTAATTTGTTTTTGATGGAAAAAGTGGATAAAGGAACATTTAAGCGTTTGCGTTTCCTTTCATGACATTGTAACCGGAGGACATACTGTACTAAATCATTTTGCATTGTTTGTAAAAATACGAAGGTATTGAAATACTGCAATTTATGAAATTGTGCAATTTTTTATGTTTTCTAATTTATACAAATTGCATTTCATTAAATTACTGGGAACAGTCAGTTTCCTAGATTTTTCATTTTTTTTTTCATACACTTGCATTTCATAACAAAGTTAATTTAATACAAGTTGATTGCTTAAAATATTTGTGAGTTGGTTTTTCTGTATTCACTTAAAACGGTAAATGACCCAAAGGTCAGAAGAAAATACATATATAAGGAAAATGTTCCAGTAGCTGATATTTCCTGAAAGATTAAAGTCTGTCAAAATAACTGCCAAAAGGACGATTTGTCATTATATTTATAATAATATTCTTTAGTTATTAAGTTACTTGTATCACTCTTTCTTATATTGTTTATACATAAATAAATCTATTTTTACTTATAGGTAGCATATGCATTAACAAATTTTAATAATGACGTAAGAATTATTGCAATGTGTCTAAACAATATAAAGTGACAGCTTTTTGTTTTATAAATGTTCTCTGAAGTATGGGTTTTGATCAAACATCAAGTCAGATTGTCCGATTTGTTAATTATGGTTTTTGGTTTTTGCAGCAGATGTCAATGACTGGGACATTTATCTATAATTTATTCATGTACATAAAAGGTGAAACCAGCATCCTAAATATCATATAACTTGTATAAATACACATACATGTCGAAGCTATTACTTGAAGCTACAATTATGTATGATACAATAACTGATATTCAGTAAAGCCATTTTTGCATTGTATATTTATTCACGTATCTGGTATACTTGTAATAATTATTATTGGCCAGCTTGATCTTCTGTATCGGCTTTCTTCTGAACAGTACCATTTTTCAATGCAATTATCTGTTATTTTTAATAACGCATTGAAACGCCATTCAACTAAATTACTGACAATTGAATAATTTGTTGTAAGAATTGTTAATGTGCGATACTATATATATTCTATTCATAGCACTCTCGCAATTTCTTTCAAGATAATGTATATATATATGCTCAATCTGTTGGATATATATTACAGTTTAATAAAGAGATATTAAACGTACAGTAATCCAAAAACCATGCAAAGAATTGTGAAAAGCCAAAACTATTTATTTCTTACATCAGCTAATGTATAATTAACATTTTTTCATTGTTGGTAGTTAAAGGACGCAATTTGCCCATTATTTAAAAAATGCTCACTTTTAATAATGTCGTAATACCCTTATTAAAATCATTTAGATATCATATAGGTGGATTTGTATAAACATTGCAAGTTTAGTTTTCATTTATAATAAATCAGTCGTTTTTTTATAAGTACATCATTCACACTTTCCTTTGATACTATTTACATCACATTGTAGTGCTCACATAATTGTTAGTCATAGAATCTGTATAATATATTCCACATGTGTGACGATCATACCTAGCTCATTCGGTTGGTGCAATCATACGAGCAGCCGAAATTAAAGTGTCATGAATTTCTTGAGTGTGCATAACTTGAGCTCGCACTGTCATGAGAAATTGAGGGTAGGATAAAGCAGGCCCTTCCTGAGTAGCAACTGTATCTGTTCTCGTTGGTATGACAGAGATTGGTAAGTAACGGATTGAACTGGCATTCTGAGAGAGACATTCGATGGAAGTTTTCAAATGTAACTCGATTTGATCACAGATCGAGTAGAACTCTTCCATGTTTTTATTGAATCGATGGTCTGGCGAATCAATGCCTTTTAAAGACCCCACATCTACAAGGCTATTTTGATGCAACGTTTGTGCCGCAGTTTTGAGTGCGACGGCAAGAGATTCCCTTAACGACCCAATCAACGATTTGACTTTAGAAATATTGTCGAGTTTTTCTTGCGCTTGTTGCTGTTGAGTCTGTTGTTGACCTTGTGATTGCGTTTGTTGTTGAGGTTGTGTAAGCTGAGGATTTGCTGGCTGTGTTATTTGACCCATTCCCATAGAACCCGGTTGTTGCATCGATGAGATATTCATTGTTCTCAAATTTTAACTTGACCTACTTATACTACTATGTATAATTCTTACGTGTTACTATCAGTACTGGATGTGTACCTGAAAAGAAACAGGTCAATAAACTTTCTCCCAAACCTGTTCGTTAATAATGGACAATAATAGATAATCAAATTCATAAAGTTTACATACTGTGCACAATAATTTCAGTGAAATTCACCACTGTTTACCAGAGATGAGTTGGGAGATTGCTCACGGGCACTCACGGGCAGGGTCGTGCAATCGCATCCTGTGCTGCCCTCTGGTTTCGTATGTCAGCTTTCACCGTTTTTTGCCCCCAAGCACCCAACAGAGACGTCATTACCCTTCGGTCCCCCGAAGTGTCAACATCTGTTTACGTGTTCTACCCTCGCTCACACATACATGCACACACCTGTAAGTATGTTGCACACTATTAAGGGAAATAGTTTAACGTAGTTAAATTGGAAGCACTCGAAGCGTGCGTGCGTCAATATAAATTACGGACAAGAGGTTGTCGGGTACCTTTCCATGTAGCTAGTAATTTCGGATTTACATTTGCTAACCGAAGTAGATTCTTTGCAGGTACAGCGACCATTTAGGGTCTTTCTTTACGTGGTAAGGATGCTAACAGTCCATGGGTTTATAGTCCAGTGTTCCATCATGGTTCCATCATTCGTTGCAAGAACGTCTCGAATCTTCGATCCTATTCAAAAGTTGGTGGCAAGGATCGGTATTAGATCCGAAGACGAGGAACGGAGAAGGGATAAATCAACGACTTCGACCGACAGTGTATCCATCACATCGGGAAAGGTAAAAAAAAATTGCACATTAAAAATCGAGGTATAGTAAAATACATGTAACTATGCTCGTAATACAGTCAAGAAATCTGTGGTTTACATACACGAGACAAGTTCAGTTTCCTTGCTGGGGCGATTGCACGAACTCGCGACGCTGCGAAATTTAAATAACGGCCGTACTTAAGCTTATTTCTCGTCGCGCGAATGTACACGTTACACGGGCGGTACCTTATTAAATAGTTTGAAGAGAACTAGCGAAATCGCGTAACCTTATGGAATGAGTCTCTGCGAGGTCAAGGTTGAGCGTTTCGTCCTGGAAGCACTGGGAGATTCGGTAACGCTCAACGCTCAACCCGCAGTCCTAGTTCCTACTGTATAAATTACTTTGTGCAACACATTCGGCGCTAGGGAACGATCTCAACGAAGGGGCGATAGAATTAAGAGTAGTATTAAAACTCGGCGCGTCCTTTGTAGCACGGTTTCAGCGTTTCAATGTTTCCAATATATTACAAGTCCGACATAATTCCGGTTGGGTTTCAGAGTTTGTTTAGCCGAAAGTGAAAATATTCCCATGCTACGAGGGACAGTGTCGCAAATGTACATAACAAGCGCATCACGCGATATGCATGTTAATAGATCCTTCTCCTAAGGGTGAATGGGATGGATTCGCTCCACTCGTATTATTAATCGCGTTTTAGTAGATTATCCTTAGAGTATAAAAAGAAGACTATAGTTATATTCACAATGATCCGGCGACAACTTCATTAACTTCTAATGCCTCCTTTTTCATTTCAGGAGGACGCACTCGAGAGACCTATTGGCTACAACGCGCTCAGTAAAGTGCTAACAACAAGAACTATATAAAAAGACAAAATTACAACGAGTATTCCTCTCGACGCTGTCTCATAAATACAACTCAGTACTTTCTTAACGTGCGTCATATTTAACAGAATTGCTCTGTATATATATATTTATATATATATTTTTTCGTAGATTGTTCCGGTTGGCAGTCCACGCGTAAGATTTGATTTCTCATTCTTCAGTACAGTCATTGGCATTCACTATCACTGTCGCTTTTATCTGCAAGAAAAATGGAGCGTTAGGGATGACTTTGCCTTTACGTCTTCGCGTAGCAAAGTACTCCCTTCGATACCGAACGGCAGAGAAATGAAATACCTAAATGTCAAAGAAATGGAATACCTAAATGTACCTTTCTTTCCAGAATAAGCGTGACGCTTTAATCTGTCGTAGAGGTCGTCCTTCGTGCCGTAGATACTCGCATTAGAGCGAGCAAGGCTGTTCATCTTCCCGCCATTGTGAAGACTTTCTGTGAGACAAGAAATGGTATCAAGTAACCAAACTGCCCATATCAAAGATATCAAGAAATGAAAGGTACAAGTATTGATAGTCTTCGGACGATTTGGAGTTAAGTGGTTTTTAATTAAATCCCTTTTCGCAGGACATACTACCTTTCATGTACGTCTCGTTGTAAAAGTTAGGCATCTCCCAACCGTCTTCCTCATCGTCGTAATAATGTGCGTAAGTACTGTGATGAGAAGGCGCAATAGATTCTGCATAGGGAGTAGGAGCACCATAATAGAAGTTGACTTGTGACCCGTTCTGGTCGGTAGCTGGCGTAAATACTTTCTTCGGTTCCTTCTTGCGAGATGACCTAACCGACATAAATTATATATTTAGAAACATGATCCGTATTTGCTTCTTCTCATCCTGTTGTAATTATTTTACGAATAGGTATGGAAGACACAAACCTGACGCAGATCATCCAGACTAGGAGGACAACTATAATTACGAGGATCACGCCACCAGCAATGCCACCAGTAATGTAGAAGAATTCCGACTTCTCCGTGCAGTGTTTGCCGGTGAAGCTTCCGCTGCACCTGCAAGATGGCTGTCCGCGAGAATCCTTCAAGCAAAGTCCCTCGTTATCGCAGTAGCCTTTGCACATATCGGTGCACACAGCCCCGGTGCCGTTGAAGCCTGGTTTGCACTCGCATTTGAAGTCACTGGTTTCAGGTATGAGGAGACAGTAGGCGTTCACGTCGCACTGCATGTCGTCGTTGTTCATCTCGCAGGGATTAGTGCAGGCGTCTCTGCTCGTCTGTGGACATGGAAGTCACGTTGACGAAGGATAACGCAATAAGTTGGATACGATATTTTAAAATAAGGCAAAATAAGAAAAGATAATTCGGCGAGCTTTAAACATGGAACCAAAAATTCAATCATTGGACGGACTCACCGCAGCCGGTCCCTTGGTGCTAGTGTTGGGTGGACAAGAGATGCAAGAAGTTTGCTGGGGTTCGGACTGGTAAGTTCCTTTCTTGCAGTCCAGGCACTTATTCAGTGTTCCATTGAGGTAGGTGCCTGGAACGCACACAGGGAAGGAGCACTCTTCGACCCCCGTCGATCCGATGTCAGCAGTGGTCCTTCCTAGAGGGCAAGCTTGGCAGGAAGCTTGAACCCCCTGGGTGCGATAAGTGCCTCTGGGACAGAGCTCGCACTTCCCTTCGACGCCCAGCTGCTGTCCGGATCCGCACTCGTCCCTGCACTCCTCGTGGGAGACTGCTTCCGGAGTCCTGGTCGTCTTGCCCAAACCACAGAGCGAACATGAGAAGCTACCCTCGTTCTGTTGGTAGAAGCCGTATCCACAACTGCGGCAAAGACCGTCGCCTTCGTCATAGTATTTCCCAGCTGGACACTTCTCCTTGCAGTCGGCTGCGCTGCGAGCTCCCGGTCCAATCGTCACGCTTGGACGTCCAGCTATCACAGGACAGGAGCTGCAGCTAAGCTGGCCGGACTCGCTCTGGTAGGTACCAACTGGACACAGCTTGCACGTCTTCGAGGTGTCGTCATAAAACGTGCCAATTGAGCATGGAACTGCACACAGGACGTTATTTATTTGAGTCATTCCAGCGATAATCAAGCTATTTTGTCTTCAGCGAAAATACTTACCGCACTCGGGTGCCATTACTACTTGACCCAGCTGGCAGGCGTAATCCGACTTCAGGGTCAAAGACGCTGGATCCGCCACCGTGTTTGGTAAGATGTCGTGCACGTCGAATTGGTCCTCCTCTAGGATCAACCTCTCCAGTAAATTGTGCACGTCCGAGCGATCGTTCGAATTAATGTTCATGACGGGATCGCTGGAAAATTAAATGTAACCGATTGAAGACGATCGACATAAGGCGGAATGTTTTGGAAAGCATCTTGTAAAGGGAGGAGTCTTACTTCATCGCTGGGAAGGCGATCTTCACCTCGTACGTGTCGCTGTTCTGGCGTGGTTGTCTGTTTCTGTTGAATAATATGGATATCGTGAGCTTGACCAATATTCTACATAATAGCCATCGTAGTTATTTGTGTTTTAATGGAAACAATATATTTTTTCAGGCAGAAGAAAAATAGAAGAGAACTGTTTGAACTTACGCATCCACGAGAGCGGCCGAAACTGCGGGTCGTGCTTTCTCTTCGCTGATCTCTCTGCTCATTCGGACGTGATGATTGCATTGGACGTCGATGGTCAGATTCTTGCATTCGCGCGTACCTAATTACAAGAATTTTTTAAAATTAGCATGCTTGTCAAGATGATTTCCATCGTTCGATGGAAGACTCAAAAGTCCACGAAACGCTGAGAATTACCTTCGAAGAAGTAGGAACATATGTTCCAATCCCTGTTCAAGGAGTTGACTGCATTGCGGACCTTCTGCTTCAACACACTTTGACCAGCTTCGTTGCAGAGTACGGAGGTCGGGAAGTTCATGTCGATCTTGAAGACGCGTTGGGCCGGAGTCGCTCCTTTAAATGAATATGAAAACAGGTGTGAATGCGATTAAATCGTATTGTTTAATCCTTGTATTCGGCTTTTAGGTTGCTTACGAGTGCACGCAGGATAGACAAGCGGCCGGCCCGGATCGTTCGACGGTCTCCAGAAGCCTTCAGCCCCACACGTGTAGAATTTGGGAACTGGTTGAGAGAATCGCAATCCAGGGTTGCAGGAGATCTCGCAGACTTTGAACTGGCCACCGGAACCCCAGTCCTTGCACTGCTGCGTTCCTCCCAGGGGATCCGGTAATTCGGGGCAAAAATCGGCTAAAACGTAAAGATAGAAACGTGACCAGCTGATTGATCAACCAAAAAATAATCGACACCAGGATACCAAGTCGAAACGAGTCGTTTCATGTAACTAAAGAAAAGCACGATTAATATTAATGGTCGTTACAACTTACGCAAGACGAAGACCTTGAAGTTGCAGCTGGCAAAGTTCCCAGCCAGATCATGAGCGATGTAGACGATGTCGTAGGTCCCCCAGAGCAGAGTCTGCCCGGACTTGTGGCTGCTGATTTCGTGTACCTTAGCGATGCCAATGTTGTCTGTGAATATGGGTTCGTCCCAAGAGACGATGGAGGAGCCGTTCTTGGCGATGATCCACAAATCGCCAGGGCAGTACTCGACCTTCGGCGGGACTTTATCGGACTCCAGTTGCTGGCACTTGGTGCCTCCGTAACCCGGAGGACAGACTCTTTGACCACAGTGAGAAGGAACGATCCTTTCGACACCTCCAACGGTTTTGTCGTAGCCCGCCCACGTCAGGATGAGCTTCTGGTAAAGGATGGGCTCGGTGCGACAGTCTCTGACCTGTTTTTGAATTTCATTCGTTATATGAAGAGCCCGGTTCCAGATCTGCACCTTGGTCAAGTGTCCTTGGAAGCCTATCTCGGAGTAGCCATTGGAGTTCTCACTGTTGGGCTTGCCTAACACCACCCAGGCACTGAAGGGGAAGAAGAAGACAAGAAGACTGGTAGATTAACGTTCCTTTGGCAAATGGTAATTCTTTTGGGCAATATTTATGTAGATAACTCACTGGCTTGGAAGGACTCTTCCACTTCCATATCCTTCGGTCTTGCTGGCGATCAGGCCTTCCGTGATCAGCGTCAGTTCACCGCTGTTCTCGCCGTTCCAGACAATGGCGACGTGATGCCATTGGCCATCGTTGATCGTTGCGTACTCCTTGAACGGAAGGTAGACGTCCTGCACGTCCGCAAATAACGACACCTGCACGCCGTTACTGTGAGCCTGGATCATCGGTCTGGGGTTCATGGGAGTGTGAGCGGAACTGAAACCAGAAAATCAAGCTGCAAGTTAGCTCCGTTATAGTATCCAGCATGCAGTGGATTCATCATATGATTTGATTACGATCTACTTGTTACCTGACACTGTAGAGCGTGAAGAAAATTCCTGCCTCGTCCTTTTGGGTGTACTGCACCCACATTGCGACTGTCAGGCTTTTGGTCACTCCGGTGAAAAAGGGTGTAGTCAACATCACACTGCTGAGTGTTGGATCGCTGAAGCGCAGGTCGTAATCCACCTGGATGGCTGAGAAAATTCCCTCTGTTAGTCTCTCTACTAGTAGTATATCTAAGAATCGATGGAACGATATTAAAAATGATGCCTACATTTTCTGCAGTCATCGCCAGTCAGATTAAACGGACATTGGCAGATGAACGTTCCGGTCAGGTCGATGCAGGTGGCGGACGGAGGACAGGAATTCTCCTGGCAGTCGATGATGTCGTCTTCGCAGGTCTTGCCTGATCCCCGGAAAATATCACAGGATTTGAGAAAAGGAATACTACAAACCTAAAAGTGCGTATGCTTGGAGGATTCAAATTATACCAGTGTATCCTTCTGGACAGACGCAAGTGAACCCTGCTCCATGGTCGATGCAGGTCGCTCCGTTTTGGCAGATGTCAGCTTGACAGGCGTCGTACTCGTACTGGCATCCAATTCCCGTATAGTCACCCGGGCAGGTGCAGTTGAGACCTGACCCGAAGTCTTGACACCGGCCGTTGTGCATGCAGGGATTACCGATGCACCGTTCCGGTGCAGTCTCGCACTGCTTCCCATCGGTGCCGGACGGACACCTATCGACGAAAGACGAGATGATGACCCGGAATCATTTAAAAATTTTCTGTCCATTTGAACATGTATAATTCAAGACTGTACTTACACGCAGAAGTAATCCTGGAACAAATCTATACAGTTGGCGTCATTCTGACAGGGTCGATTCTGGCACATGCCGATGTCGTTCTCGCAATGGGTTCCCGTCCAGCCTTCTGGGCAGACACACTTAAACCCATTGACTTCGTCTCTGCAAGTCGCTCCGTTCAGGCAGGGGTTGGAGACGCACTCGTCGATGTTGACCTCGCAGATGCCCCCGGTGTATCCTTCCCGACACAGGCAGACAAATTTGTTGTCCAGGTCTACGCACTGGTCGGTGCCGGCGGCACTGCAGGGGTCGCTGAGACACTCGTCGATTTCGACCTCGCACTGCAACCCTACGAACCCTGGTCTGCACTTGCAGGTGAAACCGTCCGCCTGGTTCAGACAAGTGGCTCCGTTCTGGCAGGGCTGAGATTTGCAGAAGTCGATGGTGTGCTGGCATTGTTTCCCCGTGAAGCCTGGCTCGCAGGTACACACATAGCCGTTGACGTCATCGGTGCACTGGCCGTTGTTCTGACAAGGCTTGGCGGTGCACTCGTTGATGTTGGTCTCGCAAGCGGAACCCGTCCACCCGGGATTGCAGATGCACTCGTGGGTGAAGAGGTTGTCCACGCAGATTCCGTTCAGACAAGGGTTTCCGGAACAGAGGTCTATCTTATCCTGGCACCGTTTTCCGGTAAATCCTGGCGGACAGTTGCAGCTGAAGTCTGCAACCAGGTCCGTGCAGTTGGCCCCGAGCAGGCAAGGCCTCTCGGCGCAGTCGTCGGTGTTGATTTCGCAGTTCTGGCCCTCCCAGCCTGGGAGACACTCGCATTTAAATCGACCCTGTTGAAGAGCTATGCAGGAGGCGCCATTGCTGCAGGGGTTGTTGCTGGCGGTGCACGGGTTTATCTAAAAGACAGGTAAACGTAAATCAAACACCTTCCCCGGGCCTGAGATCGTACCTAGATATCAACAAGGGATACTCCGTGATTTTCGAATGTTTAATTAGACTCCCTTAAAAATTTTCATTTTAGAGCAATATTTCCTTTTCAGAGCACATCCAACAAGTTCCCATTACCATGACGTCGCAGTTGACTCCAGTGTACCCGGATCTGCAGAGGCACGTGTAATTGTTGAATCCAGGCTCGTCCTTGCACATGGCTCGTTCCGGACAGGTGCCGTTTCTGCAGTCGGACTTCTCCTCCTGACAGTTGATGCCGGAATATCCATTGGCACACTGGCATCTGTACCCCTGAGGAAGGTCGATGCAAGTGGCCCCGTTGTAGCAGGGCTCGGAGGCGCACTCGTCAACGTCGACCTCGCAATGTCGTCCAGAGAATCCAGCCGGGCAAAAGCATTGCACATCGTGACCCAATGGCACGCATAAACCGCCATGTTGACAGGGACTGTCAACACACTGGACGCTTTTGCACTCCTCTCTGCCAATTGCGCCGGCTCTGTCGGTGTAAGTGTTGGTTGGGCACTCCAAGCACGTCACGGCTCCATGCTGGGGTTGGTAGAAATTCTTTGGACACTGGGAACAAGGTGCCAGACCGGTGTCGGAGTACATGCCCGGAGAACATCTCAATCTACACTGCTCTTTCCCTGGGGCAGCGGGTTGGAAGGTAAATGTACCGGCTGGACAGGTTTGGCAGTCTTTGTACCCCTCGATGGGAGGTTCCCCGCTATAGCTATTCCTCGGACACTCCAGGCAAGGAACCAGACCAGTTGGGGAGTACGTGCCGTATCCGCAAACCGGAACGCACTCCTCTATGCCCTTGGAGCCCTCTTCCTTGGTGTACGTTCCTGCTGGACAACGCAGACAAGACTTCTGGCGAACGCTGTTTTGGTAGTAGCCCTTTGGACAATTGGTGCACTGCTTCTGGTTCTCTCCGGCGAAGGTTCCAGCTGGACAGTACACTGGAAGGGGATACAAACGAAGGTGATCATCTCCCTATTCTTCCCAGAAGAGAGGGATTAATTATCCTCAGGTACTTACGGCACCGTGGAACGTCGTTCGTGTCCATGTTGAGCACCTCACCGACGCTGCAAGTGAACCCTCTGGTGATGGCGGATTTCAGGGCACGAAGCGGAGGACATTGGTTCCCGATAGCGGATACGTTGAGCAGAGGTTCTATCACTGCACTGGCATATGGGACGGACAGGTCGAAAATCAAGCTGAGAGTCGTGCCACAGAAGTCGTACAGTTGCGGCTGACGTACGGCAGGGATGATTGCCAGGACGAAGTCCATCTGTAATGGTTCCGCCAGGTTGATATCTCTTCCTTGAGGTTTATCAACGCGACAGGTCGGGGTAATCAAGTTTCGGTTTGCAGGGTACCTTCAGAACGTTGTCGTCGAAGAGGGATGGAAGGGATCGCAGGAACGTGACGTTCATGTCGACGTTGACGGCGGAACAGCGGTGCGTCAAGACGCTGTTCAGGTTCGTATAGTGTTGGGCCATCAGATCCTGATACTGCGACAGGCAGGCCCTGGTTACGGCTCCGTTGGCACGGTACGTGATCGAAGGAACTACGTGATAGTCCGCTTGCTGAGTGTCTGAAACATGGGAATACGACCGTGAACGTAAGATATCCTATGCTTCTGCAGTGCATCAGCAATTTGTTCATACTTTCAGAGACGCAGTCAGGAACGATGGACGTAGGATGCCACCTCCTGTTGTTCCCGCAGGTGAAGGTCTTCACGGAGACGCCATTCGTGAACCTGAATCCTGTTCCGCAGGTGGCAATGCATTGGAGTCCCTTGTCGCCAGGTGAACAACGCAGCTCGCCATTAGCAGGAGGCTTCAGCTCCCAGTCCGTGCAAGGCGTAGCCTGGACCGAAACTTGGAAGTGGCAGGTGGCTTTATTCCCTGAAGAGTCCGTGGCATACACGGTGACGTTTTCGAAGTTCCCGATGGGAATGACCGCGTGTTCGGGCACGAAGCTGATTTTAACAGGGCCAGAGGCGTCACTGGCGTTGACGAGTCGGTAGGTTTCGTTGAAGTTGATGTTATAGTTCTTCTGCTTGTCCACCAGCTCGATCACGTAGCTCTGAGGGCAGCTGAGCTGAGGAGGGGTTATATCTAGGGAGGAGGAAGATTTGCGGTTACTCATGAAGGATCTGTACTTATAAAGAAGGCAGTTAAGATAAAATAAAGAAGTCGTCGGAGTTTTTACCTGGAACCGTGATGTTGATCTCGCAGATGGCAACGTTTCCGTCATAGTCGTATGCGATGTATTTGACCACCATATCTTCAAATACGTGAATCGGAGTCCTGAAGCTTTGCGGCTTGACTTCCAGTCTCGCGATGCTGCCACTGTTGTCTACAGCAGTGGGTTCGGTGAAGTTGACGGGCAAGATTCCTCCATCGGCGTTCTTCTGCACCACAATGGGTTTCTGGGGACAGTTCTGGAAGATCGGCGGCTCGTTGTCCACGCACGGGGAGAACCCATAATCATATCCCAGTAGAGGCTCCACCTCCGGCTCCTCGCACCCCATCAGCTCGAACTTCAGGCACGCGTTATCGATGTAACTGACGATGCCCAGGATGACGAACCTGGCCTGGACGTACTTAGGCAGAGTGATCATGGCCAGCTCTCCATAATTGCCCGGGTCCCTCATGGTCAGATTGAAGTTAGGGAAGTAAACGACGTAGTTCTCGCTCTCGACTTGCTTATAGAAGAACCTGATCTCGGTGGGTCGGCCGACGATGTCGTTGGTGATAACCCCCTTGACTAGGATGGCCTTGATCCTGAAGACCTGGCCCAGGTCCACGCTGACGTAGGTGAAGGCTTCCTGCTTGCCGCACCAACCGGTCACGGAGTTCAGTCTGACGTTCCTAGATTCGTAGTTAGGCCTCTCGGAGGTGGCGTTGATGGCGGAGTCGGGGATTCGGCCGGAAGCGATTCCGAGTGGCTTTACGACCTTGCATTCGGGTTCCCGAAGGCAAACTATCGGCCGTGGGTTGATGGAGATGTAGCCTGGTCTGCTGCAGCCAAATGCAACTTCTGACCCCTGCTCGTAACTGTGGGCTTCTTGGTATCCATCGCTGGGTCTGCCAGGATCCTCGCATACCGGACCTTCGCATCTCAGGTCTCCGAAGTCCCAGGCTCCATTCGCTTGGCACCTCACCACGTTATCGTTGTGATTCGTTTGGCCGGCGAGTTTGAAAGTGTCCTGGCACCCGAAGAAGAAGGACGACTGGTACTTGGTGTCCAGGTACTTGCCATATTCGGCCCCAGGAGTCGGTAAGGGCTTCCCACAGTCGACACGAGGACATCCCGGGATGGATCCTGATAGCCAGTAGTTTGGCAAACCTGGCTTCGGGTCGTATACGCATTCCCTGAACCCTGCAGTGATGGTGTTCCGGAGAGACCGGCCGTTGTTGATGCACTTCAGGGTGACGTTCTCCCGGAAGGGGATCAGCACGCTGGCAACGTTGCTCCGGATCACCGAGAGTCCTTCGTTCTTGTCGTCGGGCAGGGAAACGCACTTCGCATCTGGAAGGTCATGAAAAAGGTAGATAACGTGATCCATTATCCAGATATCGGATAGATTGTTAATTCAAAATTCATCACTTACGTTGACAGGTCGGCGTGGTACCGTTCCACACTCCAGATGATGTGCAGAGTATGGTGGACGACCCTGAGAGGACGTATCCAAAGTTGCACTGGAATCTTATCGTGTCTCCGAAATGGAATTCTTCCTGATGGACAGAAAAACGATCCTATCATGTATTATGCGAGACTCCAAGCTGTGATAACTTTTTGGCAGCTAATGTCACTATTGGGAGACTTGAATAATTTATGTGGTGCTCATATAATATTTTAGTAAGGTATGTACCTTTGTGGACAAGATTTTCCCATTCTCCGGCGCATCCACCGCAGGACACATGACGGGCACGCAAGTCTTGTTCCTCTGATAGACGTCGCCATCCCTGTCGCCGGTTTCCGACTTCTCGACATAGAATCCGGCAGTGCCGTTGCCTTTGTACAGCTCGTAACCTGGGTTACAGGAGCAAGTGTAACTGCCAGGATTGTTGGTACACTTCTGGTGGCAGCCTCCATTCTTGACCGCGCACTCGTTGATGTCGTTGCACTCGAAGCGAGTGCATCCCATGATCTCCAGCCTCATGCAGGGCGCACCAACGTAGTCCTGGATGCGGAATCTGATATACCTGGCCTCCACCGTCACCGGGAAGTTCAGGATCGACAGGGAGGGCTCCAGGATTCGAAATTCGACGGGTGTTCCGTCAGGATTCGCGTAGTCCTTGAAGGTGTCCGTCAAGTCGTTGGTGTACTGGATTCGGACCGCAGAGGTGAAGGCGTTGTTTTCGTCATTTCTTCTCACACTCTGTGTGCGGAATCCGTGGATGATCGAGGGGCCCTTCAGATCGATCAGGATCCAGTTTGCTCCTGGCTCTAGGCTGTTGCCGCACCAGCCTTCGTCCTTGCCCAGACGGACGCCCTAAAATTGCGCATGTTAATGAAGCAATGGTTTAAGCGAATTTCCATGCAAGATACTTAAAGACAAGGACTGCGGTCTAATTTTAAGCATCCACTCACGGTTTTTGAATATCCCTTTTCAGAACTGGAAACCGTGATGGATTCGTCGGGGACACCACCGTTGATCAGTCCCAGGTCGCTTATCGATCGGCATTCCGTGGTGGGGGCGAAGCCTGATTTGCATTTGCAAATAAACGATCCCGGCGTGTTGATGCATTCCGTCGAGGCCAGGTCACACTGATTCGTGGCGCACTCGTTAACGTCTGCGGCATAAATTATTCGGTAAGAATCGGAGCGGAAATATTAATGAAAAATGTGGAAATATGATCGACTGATTCCCACCTTCGCAGGAGGGGACATTTTCGAATTTCTGCTGAGGACCGCATTGGATAACGTTGGGACCCGTCAGCTTGTAACCGCGATTACATTGAACAGTGGCGTCGTCCCCGAAGAAGTACTGCCGGCGGCCGTCCACCAGGAAACCGTTCTTTATCGTCGGCAAAACCGGACACTGGGCGCCTGCAGGGAGAGCAAGAAAAATGAGGAGAATGAGTGAACGGTTCAACCGAGTCGTCCGCGTTTTACGGAATCATCCGTTCTGGTTCACTTACGCGAACACGTTGGTACGTTGTCGGACCAGCTGCCGTTGCTCATGCAAAGAACCACCGGTCGTCCATTTCTGATGTATCCAGGGTCGCACTCGAACCTAACGATGGTTCCATAACTTCGGCCTCCGCCATTCAGAATCGTTACGTTCGAATTAGGCACATCGGGAAGTGGCGCACATTGGGAGGCTGTAAACGTTAATGGATATTATCTTTGTACTTGTAAAATTTCAGAGGTCCTTGAGACCTCGCCATGCTGGACCAGGAAATTCAGTAGAGTTTCGCGCCAAATACATTAAAAAGCTTGCGCGAACAGAACTGAATACTTAATGCCAATGTATGGGCACCTCAATTTGATAAATATTTATTTCTTAATTCAGAGAATTTATCATGGGCCCATGTTTGGCTGGTAGATATTTATATTAATTTGGTATTCCTTACCCAGGCAAGATGGCTTCTTCTCCCATCTTCCGTTGGCCAAGCAGGAGATTTTTTCGGTGGGTCTTCCGGATGGAAAGGCGAAACCGGCGTAGCATTGATAGGTCGCCAGGCCTTGGTAAGTGACGTTGGTGGAGCCTATCGAGAACCCATTATCTATTTGCGGCACAGGACCGCAGTACACCTCCTGGCATTTCGGGATGTACGTCACCGACCAGTTTCCACCTGGCAGGCACTCGGCGCTAATTTTCGACGTGCCCGTGGCAAATTCCTGGCCCAAAGGACAGGAGAACACGACGGCCGTTCCGAAGGCTGTGTCTCTGTTGGAGGCAAGTGCTCCCTCTCCAGGCTTCAAAGGTGGACAGTCTAAAAAAAAAAATAACGCTTGTAATTGATAATCCAATATTTTGCAATAATTCCGGTTAAATGTAATGCATTCTGAATTATTAAAATTTTTCCACGTACCCGCAGAAAATGTTGCTTGCCATCCGGTGCTGCTGTGAAGTGCGTCGGAGAGGAAGCGGATGAGCATCTCGCCACTTTCGGCAGTGAGAGTGATTTTTGGTCGAACATTTGATGTGAAGCCATTTTTCGCGTGCAAACGCAGCCCATTCGTGTTCAAACCGTCGAACACTTGGACGATGTCGGTCTCGTGGACGTTGAAATTCGTGAATTTTAAGGAGAGCGGACCGCCTCGGATGTTTTTGATCTTGTAGAAGCACTCCTGGTTGTTTGGATAATTGCTCAGCCCATAAGCCGGCGACTGTATGGTCCCATTGCTGGCAACAATGGTCGCTTTGCAGCCTTGCGTGTAGCGGATGCTGAAGCCACGCCTCAGGTTGCTCAAGTTGGTCTTGAAGTAGAGATACAGCTGGCTACCCGTGGAAATAATGACTTTCGGATTCTGCTCTCGTTTACCCGTTAAACGAGCTATCGGCCGACTCATTGGAGAGTCTCCATCTCGTATCAGCATGTAATCGTGACTCAGCTCCAGCTCGAGGTCCTCTATCTGAAATTAAAAACGATCCTGTTGTAACATTCCTTGTTATAATATTATTCACACGACTTGTTTCATTTTTATATAGCCAATTGGTACAGCCAATCCGTAGGTATTTAAAGGAACAAGTCATACAGTATAGAGCTAGAGCTTGAAACGTGCCTTTTGATAACGCCAGCGGTCATTTATAGAAATGTGACGTTGAGACATAATAAGCGTACATGTCTGGCCAAACCAGTGATAATTGTGCGTCTATTGTTAAAATCTTACATGTAATTTTCTTCTACTTCCTTTTGTAATCTTTTATTCGTTACCTCCAAGGATATAATTCGTCCGGGCTGAGCTTGGAGAATGTACAGACATTCCAATCCTCCGGGATAATTCTGCGGATATCCAGGTGATGTCAGCGTTTGAAATTGTGGAGTTGCTGAAAAATTGCCGCCACAAGCTTGCGGTTCCGTTTTCCAGGAAGCCCGGAACCCTTTCCTCTCCACCGAGCCATCGGTGCTGAATTTGACGATCATAAAGTTCGAAGCAGAGACGAATAATTTGGTGCTCAAGTCTTGCTTTCCGGACAAGGTGACGAGACTGGTGGACTTCTCTTCTGTCCGTCCTCCCGTTAAAATCTGGACGACGTCGAAGCTCTTCTCCGTCTCGAAATCTTGAAACTGAACCAGGGAAGATATTAACCCACTTTCTATATTATTTCTTTTTTTTTTCTGCACGACCGATTTAATTATTTTTAGCACCGTTAGTGTTTTTAATCATTCACCTGCAGGAGGATGCTGTGGCCTTGAGGTCCTTCCAGGGTCCACTTGCAATTATTTAGAGGCGTGTACTTGTGGGGATAATTCGGACTCTCGATGACGTCGCCACTGCTTGCCATGTAAAATTGACAATTGGCAGGACAATCCAATTCGTCGGATGCATCGCCACAATCGTCCTGCTTGTCGCACTTGAAGATCCCGTTTATGCACTTCCCGTTTGAGCAGTGGAAAGATCCTAAACGAGATCCAAAAATTAGTCAGAAATAACTTTTCCATTTTATGAAAGAATTTAAGGTCCAACCCCTTATCCATGAAAAATCGACCTCACGGTCGAGGAACTCTTGACAGTTAAGAAAATTAATCAGTTTCATTTTAAATAGTTCCCGTTGCACGGAATCGGAATCTCAAGGAAAACATTCCTCGCATAGTCCCGCCACGTGACATTGTAGATTCCGCTTTCCTTCATGCCCAGTTTTTCTTTTGCAATTATCACAGTCAATGCTAGGGAAGGTCAATCACGAAGTGAGTGAAATACTTGCAGCCTTAGTCATTATTAGGTGGGTCTGCAACATGTGAACATGTGCAACTTGCAACCACAGTAAAGAGTTCCATTTCCATGGCCCGATATTGACTTGTATTTTTATAAAAATTATGTACATATATTTTCCTTTCACGGTTACTTTTTTTTTGTCTCATTTTGCAGGAACGAATTCTTTAATGAAACAATGACTCACCTGTTGGGCATGCGTTCGAACGACACACGAAAGGCAGAAGCGATTCGCAGGTGGTGAGTTGCCAAGATGGCTGCCTTATGTCCTGTGCAACTACACTGACGCATTCTCCACTCCGAGGGTTTGGTTGCTTCGGTGCCCAAAAACCTACAATTGCGATATTAAATAACATCAAGGTGAAGATGAGAATCAAATGGTATTTCACGAAAGTTTCTCGTTTATAGATTTCTTCAATTTTCAACGGATCATGGAGTCATCGCTTCAAGGTGTCGTAATTCCTTCTCAAGCTACACCGACTATGTGGAAAGGTGATGACTTGGTTTGCGTGTATGCATTTACCTGCATATTGAGATACGAGCATTCCAGCTGCAGACTCAAGAGTGTTGGTTCTCAGGTCATCCAATGATACAAGACCTAGCCAATAGGAGCTCGAGTGGCGATTGGTTATCGCATTGGAGATGTTGCTTTCACCATAGGTTTCTATGACCGTAAGTTCGCTGCCATACCTGGAAAGATTCGGGAGATAGAGATTAATCCTCAAAATGTCTACTCGGGCGCAAATTAATAGCAAAATAACACGTTAGAGAGAGATCGCGGAACGCACCTCCTGCAGATCTCTGCAGCTTTCTCCCACGAGTGCCTGATGTTGAAGAATTTGTAGCAGTGGGTTCCTCGCAGCTCCCATCCTGAAGAGGACGTAAAAGCTGGTTATCTTCCTCCCCGAGAAGCATACGTAAAACGTGGGAAAAGGGTACTCACCATTGGGACAGATGAAGTCATTTGTCGACGTGACCTGGAAGTAGATTGCAATTGAATGTTTTAATTACCCATTATCGCATCAATCGAGGGCAGGGAATTAGTGAAAAATAAAAGTTACCTGAAAATTTATCAGGTGGAGGGAGCAGAGAAGTGCAGCGGCCCAAACTGACAGTGACCTCGTCATCGTGATGGACCTGAAACTGGAGGGGATTAAATCATGAAGCTCAACCATCTAAACCGCAGGGATTAAACATTGCATTCCGAGTTGCATACAATGTTTCTTTTCAGAGCTAGACCAAGAATACACGGCTTAAGGTGATTAGCTGAAATTTTTGTTCAACTCGCTGCCGAGGGAAAAACGTAATTGCGCAATTCTCCTCCTCTCGTAGATGACAGGGTCTCTGCAGTTGCAGTTGCAAGTGCGCGGCACTGCAGGCCGAGGCGGTCGTGCCTAAAAATGGAATGCAGTTCCACCTCGCATACTTTCTCGCATTAGACAATAAGGACGCTTCGTAATTCTCGGCTATTTTCACAACGACTGGCCCACGGTTTGGGTTCGAAGAGCCGATGGAGCGGGAAGTCCTCGAAACCGAAGGGGAAAAGGGAAGCGGAGGGCGAAGATAATCCAGATCAAAAAATCAAGGGCCCCGCCCCGAATATGTGTGAAGGCCGCCAAGGAATCCGAGAGAATCCTTCAGCTCCCAGGCCTCGAGCTGTCGAAGAATGTTTGGCCGATGAAATCAGACAAACCCGTTAGCCACAGTTTACGGGGATTCCTGCGCACAGCCGATGAACGAAACGTTCTAAGAAGCGAATTTCAACGAGCTTCGTTTACCGTTCGTTCCCCCTTCATCGATTACATAATTCATTTCGTAAGCCCTGAAAATTTCTCGTTTTGAGATCCCTTCAACATATTCCCTTCAGAATATACCACTGGTGGTCAAAAACAATATTGTAACAATAAATGAAAATTTACGCCGGCGTCAATTAATTCATAATTTAACGTTTCACCGCCATTTGACGAAAAATTAACCGATTATTTCGCGCGGTATAGCAGCCTCGATTAAATTAAATTGTGTAGTTATTTCCTATTTATCATTTATTAATATGAAATTTATAGCGGGGACGGTAAACGATAAGCGTGGAATTTTACAGAGCGAATACCTCTGTCCGCGTTATATCCGAAGCACCCGCGTGCAATAAATTATAATAATTTATATCTTTATTGGGCACCGCCGTCGAGCTCTTCGGGCGTTTACAGAGGGCTTTGTGCATCCCCTGGCAGGTGTTTCCTTTCTGGCGTCCCTCCTAGAACGAACCTGTGCACCGTACCTGTACACTTGCGTGCCTATCTGCTTAACAACTCGAACTACCTGTAGCGCCTACTTTCTGACCGCGTTTACCTAAGGAGATATACACGGTCTTTGGCCTGCAGTCTACTTTCCGGTTAAAATCTTCACCGGCTTCGCTTCGCATTCGGCGACCCCTCGTTCCTTTATCGTTTATTCCTTCCGACCTCGTTACATCGTATTTCATTGCGTTAGATATGTACCATGTCGTTCCTTTTCCGCCAGAATTTTTCTCGGTCGCTTCTCGTTAACCCGTTAAACGGCGTTGTTCGAGGCGTTCAAATGGTAGTCATAGCTCTCCGTCACGTGTCGTTGAAATTGCCGAGTTTTCCCTCCGCCATTGAAGCGCGGTACGCGCTAGGGTAAACGTCCTCTAATTACGCGTCTCGGTGACCCGGTAATTAATTCCGCGTTACATTCTGAGATTCCCTTGTGCCCTGGGAAAGTTGCGTAAAGTTGCGAAACCCCTCGCAACAATCTCTGGGGAATGCGAAGAACTCCCGTGTGAGCAAAACGGGATGTCTCTCTTTCGGCTGTAATCCGCCACGGGAGGCGCGATTAACAAATAATCCGGAGCGAAGAGAAATCCGGGTTTCACACACGCCGGATTAATTTTAGTCGCACCGCAATCTGCCGCAATGCGATAACGCTCTCGTGACTTTTTGCTCCAATTTCGCTGCGGGCTATTTTTCTCTTTTTTCGGCTCCCTCGGTTCCTCTTTCCGCCACTTTTCCTCGCGTTTCGGTGCGGACCGTGAGCGGAACTTCGATCGTCGCTTTTTATTTCCTTTTTTGAGTCTGCACTTATCAATTATATGGACGGGTAACGACCGTTTACTTGCCCGCCCTGGTGACCTGGTAATTACTTCCGTGCCACGTCACGAACGCGAGTTTCGAGAAGGTAGCCGGACTTCTTCTTTTTCTTTTTTTTTTTCCCTCCGCCTTCCGTCTTACCTATGGAAATTATCGCGATCCAGGGTATGGAACAGCTCAGAGGTAATCGGGAATAAACGCTGCGGCAGTTCCGCAGGAATGCGAGGAACTGTTATACGCCGCGAGGTTTGAGAGCTCGCGAAAAGACACGAAAAGCTCCTTCTTCTTCTTATTCAAAATTTCCTTCCGACCATTTTCAAAAGCACATTTCCGGTTGGGATGATCTGCCGTCCCAACGAAAAAGAGAGGATGGTTTTTTTAAATATATTTTTTCCCAGGCTCGGATTTTCCTACTTGGTTTCTAATTTATGAGTATTTATGGTTCGAAATTCCGGTGAAGAGGAGAAACTTTCCTTTACGGGCTCGAAATTTGCAATTGGTCTTTGTAATTTACGAGCAATGCGCGGAATTGGGCGAATTAGTACACGAGTATACAGGATGCGCACATCTTTTCAGGTCTAATGGTTTACAGTTAAGATTAATAAGCAATTAGAGATGGGATGCAATAATAACGGGACGCACCAAAGTGCTTCGGTAGAATGGGTTACACTTCGAGTTCTGAATAAGAAATGGGAAAATTCGGGCGGAAATAAAATGAATGTTTTACAGCGATTACGTTATATGAAACTCCGACCTTTTCGCGAGCAGTTCCTTTGGCGCACTTGGCGGTATTTTACGAGTAGGCGTTGCACGTAAATAGCATGCGGACTTTAGGAAAACCGGTATAAACGGTACAACGATCCGCGCGATCTCGAGCCGGAGACATTTTGCGGCCTGAAGTTTCTCACAATTGGCCGACACTGCTCGTTTCGAACATTTTCAAGTCGCGAAATGTGGAGCGAGATCCGAAAAAGGGGGACGACACGATTCACGGCCGCCTTGGCATATCCGATTTCTACAATTTCCCCCATTTCCTAGCGAATGCATCGAATTTAAATCCTTTGTCATCGATTCATCGGGAAACAAGCGGTGTCGTTGGTAACCGTTTAACGGCGCGTGAAAGGCGCGACAAGAAAAAAAGGGTTCCAGCCAACTTGCGGTAGTTTCGCAGGTTTCAGATCGTCGATTTCCTCCATTTACGCATACTCGGTAGATTTCTACCGCACCTTTTCCTCGCGCAAGAGTCCCCGACTTTCGAAAAATTGAGAGAGAAAAAAAATAATCCTCGGCGAGTTTTCTCCAACTTCGCGTCATCTGCAAACTGCGGGATTTCCGCGTTCTTCGAGCACATACAAACTGAACGATATTAATTTGAATCTTGATTGATTTTTTAAAAATGGAGAGGAAAAAAATTCCTCAGCGATTTCCCTCGATTTTCTCGTTATCTGTCGACCGCGAGTCCGCGAACTTTCCAAAATTCAGAGGATAAAGAATATTCCTCGGCGACTTTCCCCGAATTTCGCGTTTTCTGCCAGCTGCGAGTCTTTCTGCACACGCGTTGGAAACACTCTAAGTTAACCATCGCGCTTTCGCAATTTCCTCGAGTTTCCCGGAACGCACCAGGGGATTAATCGTGGATCGAGACATGGTCGAAGGGAATACGATACATGGAAGCAATACAAGAAAACCCGTTATCATTGAACGTAGATCCGGCTATCGAGAACGTGAGAGAGCCGAGACGAGGCGGACATCTTGATCGGCTCCAAGGTTTTCGTAAACTGGCTCGATTCGACCCACTCCCGTATTTCCTTAAAATACCAGGCCCAATGTTTCCGAGTAAAAAACAGAGTGCCAAGGATGGTACGTACCTCGGTGACCCGATAGCTAGTTCCGCGTCATGTTACGGCGTCACATATGCTAGCACCGGGAAATTCGAAAAGGCTAAAACTAGGTTAACTTCCAGGAGACGCGACGGAGGATTTTTCGGACGGTTGATTTTTCTTCAAGGATTAAATTGGTTCCTCGGGCGTCGTTAATCGGTTCGCTCAGGATGCGTCGGAGAACCGGGCTTCACCTTCGCATGGTAGTCACTGCCAGAGGGTTTCAGGTTGAGGAAATTCGGCCCGAGGAAGCCATGGGGTCTCGGACGGAGGAATTCGGAGGTCTTTCACTCCAACGCGTCACGTTGAGACTGAGGAACTAAATTCAGCTCTCGAGGCGCTGGCATTCGAAGTGAATGGCACTACCTGGGCTACCAGCCTATAGACATGGCTGCCTAAGGGACTAAGAAATGCCATGGATGAGGCTACGGGTAAAGGTAAAGGAAGGTGAAGTCAACGGTCCGGTCCGCGAGCCGATCCCCGGGCTCGGCCGTCTTCGGCTTCCTTCGACCGCCTTCGACTCTTCTCGGCCGCCCTCGGCCGCGGTCGGCTCCGCGCAGGGTGTGTCGGCCGAAGTGTGCCGAGCTCGAATTCGACGCTCGATTAACCTCCTGCAGATTTCAGGAAAGAAATGGACATTGCACCGATTCCGACATAAAAATCATATAAAAAAGAAAGGACAGAGTGATCGACTTAGAGCGTCCTTTCGCGCGCAGGCTTTCTTCTCACGTCTTACACGTTTGTTCCAGGAACCAGCTGGCAAACGCGGAACCCGTTGGCAGATTCAGAACGGTGAACCGGCTGCTGAAGAGCGATCGCTCGCGCTGCACTCGAATCGACGCTTTCTATGCTTTCTGTATTACATTAGTCATTTACTCTGGTGCAAATAAAGGCTTAATAGGAAAATACTTCTTTTACTGGCTGCAGTGACTGACATTGGATCATAAACCACTTGTATAAACTATAGAATAACCGACTTCTTGTAGCGGTTTTAATTGTCGCTCGGATTAATCGCTTAATGGTGACGAGTAACGGCTCGACGTATCGTCAAGATGATCTTCTTCTAATACGGACGTTTCCGAGGAAGAATCGTCCTCAGCGTGCACTTTCGGGCGGAAAGTAACGTTACTTAAGACTGGTATGTGCAGTAAATGGGACACGCGTGCTTGTACAGTGCGAAAATTACAGCAGATCTCGAGGACGATAAGATTCCTCGAGTGGAATGAGATCGCAATGGGTAATGTCAAGAGTGGCGGGAAACTGTGGACGTATTAACCCTAATCGGGCAACGGATCATCTAAGGAGGCTCGCGGAAGGGAACTTTTACACCCGACTGGCCGGAAGCGGAAAAGTTACGTCAATTACGTCGGTTTATCGGTTACACGACGCGGCTTCCGCGCCTCCTTTGGTTCGCGGCTAACGTTACTTGCAGTTGGTATGCGCGGTAAATAGGACACACTCTATACTTGTCTCGAGCGGAGGTTGCAGGTGATATCACGGGAGAGGGGACGGATGAGAATGATTGCAATCACGATTAAAAAATGAGAGATTCAAGGCAAACGGTGAAAGACTCGCCGCGAGAAGGTCGGAGATAAAAAGGAAGCTACAATGCTTCTTTACAGCGACCGCGTCTCGAGGAAGAGACGGGATAGCTTACTTCTGGCGAAAGTTACGTCAATAATGGATTACATGACTCGGCTTCCTCGTCTTCTCTTGGCCGAAAACTAACGTTATTTGCCGCTGGAATGCGCGGTATATGGGACAGCCTCCACACCTGTGCGTGCTGAAAATACAGGTGGTACTTGGCGCGGAACAGGACCGGCACTAACTTTTAATATGCTCCAAGCATTTCCGAGGAGACTCACTCGAGAAGTAAATCCAGAAAATTAATATTTATATTTGAATACCTCTATATATAAAATCCCCACTGACTGACAATTCTCTAAACAACGTTCAGGTAAAACCGCTGGACCTAGAAAGCTGAAATTTTGGGAAGGACTTCTTAAAATACGAGCGCCTACTAAAAAGGGTTTTATCAAAATTTGACCCCTAGGAGGGCGAACGGGGGCCCTGAAATTTTAGACTTCTTCGAATTCGGTCAGATTTGATAACATACATTTAATATTGACCGTGTAAACGTTCTTCCTAGCGCCGTGTTCGACGTACTTTTTCAAGGTGCGACGTCGTAAGTCTTTTAAAAACAAAGTCACGCGAACCGTCCCGTTATCCTCGATAACTTCCTGCCGACTTGCGGTTTCCATCGGTGCCTTTGTTAGTCCAGTTCTGAATATTAAACGAGTCACCTTTACCGTCTTGTCAATCTAAACGGTAACGACGAGTCGGAACGCCATATCCGTATTGCCGTATTTATGCGATCTTCCGGTTGGTCCTGAGCAATGGTTGTTGAGAAAGACTAAATATTTTGTTAACGTATCAATTATTTTATCTTTCGTTCTAGCCATTTTGTGGCATAGTCGTATTTGTATCTGTATAAATGAGATGAGATTCTAAAGAAAGAAATACAAGGAGCGAGCGGTCTTTCTTGTTCAGGAGAAATCTCCCACGTGGGATGAATGCCTGGCATTGATGTCACCAGCATCGCAAGATGGCCTCGAGGTCTTTCAAAATGGCAGCCGGTACGACAAGGGACGAAACCCGGTAACTTCTCATGTAACCTACTTGCTCGAAGCAGATGGCGGAACGTGCCAGAATCCTGCAGAATCCAGTCGGTAACTATCCGACCGAACTTTTCGCCGAGTACAAGACTGAAACTCCTCTTTATCAACTGCTAAGGTAACATGGCGGATGCGTCGGTAGGGACCGCTCAGGGGAGTATGTGGAGTTGGAAGAGTTTAGCAAAATCCCTGCACGTCGCCAACATACCGATCGAACCTTCATTCGGTACCAACTGCAGGTGAACTTCAACATACAACAGTCGCGGTAGACCGTCTTCATTTGATAAATAATTTACTTTATATAAAATAATTGACAATGGTTGAACGATTACACCCATCTCACGGGTGATCCGTTTGTGCAGGTCGAACCTTCATTTGGTACCACCTGCAATTGGCGGTAAGTGCGTCCGCTACTTCGCAACCTTAACAAAATTATACAACAGTGTAAGCCTCCTCCATTTTACCGATAATTTACTCTGGATGGAAGGATAATTTGTCGTTTTTATCTCAGGGCAATTTCGTGCAGTTGACGAAGAGTCGGTTGCAGGTGTCAATTGGTTCCACCAAGGTGACCAAAGGAGTGTCTCCTCTCATGGTGATCCACGTCTGCGGATTGATCCTGACGACGTAGAACGTATCTCGCCGAGGCAGTACCGGTTTTTCCTGCAAAGCTGAAGCATTGACAAACTGCGCTGCCCTACCGTCGGCGAATCCCAGAGATCTGCATACGTTCGCGATTTCCTCGTCCGTTTCCACCGGATATGGATGGCACTCCGAGTGCCAGACTCCATAAGACCGGCGGATGACTTCGCCCACGCCAGGTCTGAAAAGAGTCAACGTATACAGAGAAACGATATCGACCGGCACAGCCATCGCGATATCCTCGACTTCTTTCGTTCGGCTGAAAGCCGATGTACTCACGTATAATTGGACAGCCTCTTCACAGCTCTACACTGATTTTCGTCCTCCCCGTTTGAGCAGTCGGTCTGGCCATCGCACACGAAGTCTTGAGGAATGCACGAGCCCGTCCCGTTAATTCTATCAAACAGGAAGAACAAGTCGCCGGTTAAATTTTTATCTCTTTCTAGTATCTGCACAGGTAGTCCCTTCCGCGAATTAATCGCCACCTGCCGACTGTTCCGAGAATTCGTAAAGTTCATCGTGTGCAGTTCGAAATAAAAATTCCGTAGCGTCGAAAAAAAAAAAAATGCGTAACGCGAAAATTATCTGAAGACATGCTAAGGGGGAGTGAGCAGAAAAGTCGACGATGCATCGGCTCCAAAATTGCGAACTGAAGATCGATCCATTTTGTTCTTTTGTTTCTAGTCAGGTGTAAGGTGTATTCTCGTAATTTTCCTGACTACGTACTTGCCGCACTTGAAGCTGGAGTCTTTGCAGTGGCAGATTGCAGGGTTCTCGTCGGTCTTGTCTAGACAATTTCGTATGCCATCGCAGATGCGCTGAGGAGCTGTGAGTTTCAGATATTCAGCGCAGTTGCAGTTGACAGGCTCATCCGTGCCATCGGAGCAGTCGACCTTACTGTTGCAAAACGCCTCTTTCGGGACGCATTGGCCGTTTCCGCAGCGCAATTCCGACCTGGAGCAGCCTGAAAAGTGCAAAGTCGAGGTATTAAATTTTAATCGATGCTTAATGGGACTTTAATGGCGGAATATTTTGGCAGACGTTTGAAACTCGCGTCCTTTTCTGCTACCAGAAAGGGGAGCACGAGAGCACTTGCCTCATACTTACCGCAATTGAAGGCTGCCGCGCTGCCGTTCTTGCACCGAGACTTCGCTTCTTGACAATTATCTGCGTTTTCATCTGCAGCATCTCGACAATCCTGAATTCCATCGCAAACCTGATTCCATGGAACGCACTGCCCAAGCCGGCAACGAAATCCATCGCAGGATGGCTCCACCGCTTCGATCACCTTGGTTTCTTCTGTAAACACGAGTGCAAGGTCGAGTCGAAAATAAACCGGATATCAAAGAGAAGGAAAAGAAGGAGATAAGGATATTTCGCAGTTGTGGGTTTAGGATTACCCAATTTTTTCAATAGGTCGGGTTGGATGAAGTCGATACTCGTCAGAGTTTGCGAGTTGCGTTGACTGCAGGGTCCTTCTTCGTCCAGATATACAGCAGCTGGATACCATCCAGTTTTCCCGAGACATACGACAATGCCGGTCCAATTGGCCAGACCAAGGCAGCTCTGAAATGTAAGACACGCTGTAAAATAGTTTCGACTGTTCAGTTGGTTTTAGGTTTCTGCAAAAATCGCCACCTTGCATTCCTCGGGGTATGTATTTTCGTAACAGCGATGGCAGTTGGTACAACTGTTGGCTAAAGGACGAAGAAAGACGGTCCGCGTTTGCAGGCTCTTATCCAGTCCAGTTGTGAGGCAGATGTCTTTGTCATCTGGGGTGCTCGACCTGGAAGGTAAAAAGTTCTTACCAGGTGCACTGAATAAATTCACTCAAAAAATGTACCTATATCGACGATATATCGGCAAAGCATGCCGAGTCACGTTAGCGGGATGTTTCAGGTGCAGTAAAATGGCTTTCGAATGGGGTATAGCCGTGATATTGTCAATCGGAATGGCCTGTTGATTGGGTCCATCAATAAACTGGTGATTGCGGCCAACACCCAGTGCAGCAACCGTGTAATTCTTCTCCAGGCTGAAAAGGTGTCCATTAAAGTAGGTTGTACGAAAATGACATCGACATCGCGGCTAAACGTCTGTCTATGCAATTAGTTTTCAGAATTTATTCAATTTATTAAGAATAAATATTTTAAAAAATCGTACTCAATGTCCTTCGTCCACAGGGTGTTCGATAGAATCCAGCTGGGTTCTAGGAACACTGCAGAACCATGGTACCGACCATCGACAAAAATGGCGACATGCCAGGGCCAACTATACGTCTGCTTTCCAGTTGTTGAGTCTTTTGTCACGTGCAAACTTGTGGTGCTGGTGATTTCGCCACTGCAATCAATTTGCAGGCCGATGCAGAACTTGGTATAGTTGAATAGTTTAAGATCGAGTAATGAGGATGTATTCTTGAGATCCGCCGCGGACAGCGTCCGAATTTCTGCGTCGGGCGTCACTTTTTCCTCCACCTTCTCCAGGGCACTGTGATAATCGACAATGTTTTGCCATTAAATTTAGAAGTACTTAGCGGGGAGGGCAATTAAGCGGTATTTAGAAACTTTACCCAAATCCTAGATACTGGCATAGATTATGTCCTATGAGGGTTTTGTTCATGTTGCTTTGAGCATTGTGATGGCGATAACACACGGAGCGCCATTTATTGTCCTTGTACTGAACCATGATACCGTCAGAATGCAGAGCTGGTCGCTTATCCAAATCCAAAACGATGTATTTACCTTTGGTCAGAGCAACTGGAACCAGGGAATAATCGCCAAGATGCATTACCATTATTGGATTCTACTCGTACTCGAGATGAGAGCAAGGAACCGTTCGAAATTTCGGTAAGCAAACGTCTAACTTGGGTGAAGCACAACTTACAACAATCCTCCTCGTCTTCGTTCAAAGGACAGTCCATGATTCCATCGCAAACCTTCCTGGGCGAGATGCAACCCTTACTCCGACTGCAATGAAATTCTCCGTCCTGACAGAGAGCTGAAATCATCCAATCAGAATTGAACCGTGCTCACTCAAGACTTCCCAGATATACAAAAATATGTAAAAGAGCAATAAAAAATTACTGCAATTTTCCTCGTCACTCCCGTCGTAACAATCGACGCGACCATCACAAATGGCTCCCGGACGTTCGTGAAGCAAAAAATCTTTGCAGCTGCAGTCGCTCTCGTCGGTGCCATCTTCGCAGTCTGAAATTCTGTCGCACTTCTGCTCGGCAGAAATCGTCTGCACCAATCTGTAAAACCACTTCTAGATTTATTTGAAATTATTCACCTTTATCACCCAGCTTACCGTTTACAAATGAAGTGTTTGCCCCTCTTCATCGCATATTCTCGTTCCACGTTAATGATCTCTAAGTCTTCGCAGTCTGTTGACGAGTCAACCGTGTTTTCCTCAATTCCTGGCGCCCATGGTTCACTGCTCCTTTGTCCACTTTCCGGCGACCATTGTTCACCATGACCAGCTGTTGGTTCTCTCAACGCTTCCTTTACATAACTCGAGGAGGAAATAATTTTTCTCTCGGTTGGCGCCGTCGTCAATCCTGGCTCGTTATCAAGATTCTCTGAAAGCGATTTTTCTTCAAGGCGGAGCATAATTTAAGAACAATTTTGATATTAATTTTCCTATACTCACGATCGGCACATTCCGTGTTCACGTTTTGTCTCGCCATTGGTATCGTCTCCGATATTTCATCTTCGTTTCTGACAGTACTTTCGACCTGTATGTTTGACTCGCTGGTTCTACCAAACCATAATCCCCTGGATATGCCCGGGAATTTCCTATTAGGGCAATTTATCTCATCCTCTGCGTTCATGCAATCGACGATTTTATCGCAGTGCCTCTGTTTAGAGATGCACGAGCCCAAACCTCCATCGCAGGTGAATCCTGGACACCTCGTCAGAGGTTTTCTCGCGAGTGGTGGAACTCTCATGTCTGTAACGAAAGCGATAAAAAACATTGCACCTGGTATTTACGAAACAACCCTTTAAATAATTATAATTACTAATGTGCCCATTGATCCAGTCGACAAACTGGCTGACTTTCGTGTATGCTCCAGGTTCGTTGGGTCTGCCACATCCTTCCCCATGACTGACGATCCCAGCCAAGTACCATTGCCACGGTGACTGTGGATTTCTGTACAACAAAGGATCTTCATTCGCATGAAATTTACATAATATTTAAATAATATCAAATGAAATAGAAATAATTTATCGCCGCGTTTTGTCCGACAAATTAAATGATACAGGCATAAATTTGTAATCGGCAGCCAACCTGCACAAAAGAGGACCACCACTGTCTCCTTGACAAGCATCTCGACCCCCTTCTGGCACCCCTGCACAAATTTCGGCTTCGTTCCTGTCGGCAAAATTTTTGCAGTACGGGACAATTGGTACCTCCACTTCTCTCATGTGATCGGCTGAAGCATAGAAGGATTTTATTAGAATTTTCCATGAAGTTCTGTGAAATGGATAGCTGGATAATAGATATAAAAAGGGTAAGGAAAAGTCGCTTACGATCAGGCCCGTGTTCTACCGTGGCACCCCAGCCAATTGTAACGCAATTGGTCTGCGGCAGTGGACCTTGCCTCCAATTGGGACCAGCTGTCGAAGCCTGCGGCAAGCAAGCAGGGCGGATCCATCGATTGAAATTGAGGGGCTCGTCCAATTTCATCAGAGCTATGTCATTCTTCATAATGTGTTTGTCATAGTAGTGATGAGGCACGATGTAACTCGCTCTCCTCGATTGGCCGGTCGGCGAAAAGGAGAAGCGCCTAAGTATGCCGGCTCGTACCTCGTAATAGTGCTCGATGTACCTGGAATGGCGCCCAGATTTAGAAGATTATAAATTGCGGAAAGTAAAGCGCTAGTTTCCTTGCCTGTCCACGCAATGGGCAGCAGTGACGACCCAGTTTTCGTTCAGAATGGCCCCGCCACAGTGGAAGTACCCATCCTTGTAAATAGCAACAACGAACGGCCACGCAGTTGGATGACTAGCGCGGCCCCCAACTATGCGGTACTCCAAACCAACTATTGTGTCATTTTGCTGTACACCATCCTGTGAAGTGGTGGAATCCAGCTGTTCCTTTATTTTCTTAACGAATCCATTTGATGGTCCAACATTGTCGCTGTTATTTCTGTTCCCTGGTTCGACGGTGCCGTTTGTGTTTTGACTGCCCACCATATTGGACTCGAAATCGTTGTCTTTGGGAAGACTCCTTTGGTAGGGTAGCACAGTAGTGCCGCAGTATAGTGGAGGACATTTTACGAATATGGCTCCACTATAGCAGGTCGATATGGTCTGAATTCCTCCGGTTAGTCTTTCTTGTATGTAGGGTCCTTGATAGGGATTGTCTGGGATGTACTCGCTTCTGATGATCGGGGCCGAACTGTTGGAAAAGGAACGTTCCGGTGACGAAAACGTCTTCGAGAGATCTCATAGAAGATTTGTGGGATACCTTAAAACTGGTCCAGATTCTGAGATGCAAGCTTCCTTCGCCCAGATTTCGGTTGTCGAGCATGCAGGGTACCATCGACCCTGCCAGTTTCTGTGCAGATAGCCCATGGTGTACCCAACGGTGAACATCTGCAAATAAGTCGGGAAAAATATAAATTCAGGAACTTCCCACGGCACGGGAAACTAGACCTACATCCTTCTCCTGCGAGGGCGACCTCGTCAGGATACTGCAGTCCATTTCGTCCTTGCCATTAGGACACTGCTTGTACCCATCGCAACGTTGATTCAATGGTACGCAAAACGCTCTCTGGTATTGGTTCTTCCAGTCGTCGCAATTAAATGACCCCTTAGCACATCCTGGAAGTGCAAACAAGTACTCCATCAATAAACTAGAGCATAACCCCGGCTGGGCCACGTTTAAAATGGTCCATATTATTTTAAATTACCAAAGCACCCCAGCTCGTCGTCCCCATGAGGACAATCAAAATAGCCATCACAGATCCGTTCTCTTCCGATGCGGTCTCTGCAAGAACACCTCGTCTCGTCACTGACATCGGGACAATCGATGTTCCCATCACACCATTGGAACTTTGGTATGCAGAGGCTCCCATCGGCACAAGGGACGAAATCTCGCTCACAGCCTGGAAGTGGGCACACGAAGAGTGTCAACAAAATATGGCATTTTTTGAGGCATCAACATCTCAAAATACCCCAGTACTATTTTAGAATCAATAAACATGCGATCAGAAATTCCTACCAGCACGGGCAGATCCGACATTTTCAGCAAATTGATTAACGTATCCAACGATGGGTTTGCCAAAGGTTTGGTTCGCCTCGTTCACGGCGCGTTGATAATCGGGACTCCCAGTCGCCATCGGATATTGGAGCACGGGAGCAGAGACATAAGACCAGGAATATGGTGGTCGAGGGTCTGCTCCACTAGTGAACGGTGTTCCCTGTTGTCCAGGAACGGTGTCCAGCCCGGGACCAGTTGGACCAAACTGTTGCACGGGTGGAGGCGCCCCAGCTATCCATGGTATCAGTCCACACTCAACCACCATGTGCTTTGGTTGCTGCATGGGAACTGGAGGTAGCACGTGGACTTGGTCAAGTTGACTTAAGATCGTCTGTGTCCTCACTGGAGTCTGTAGTACCGGGTAAGGAAACATGGCGGGAATGCCTGTTGGAGGTGTCTGAGGATAGGTCATCCCATCGGCAGCTGGATTCTGGATGCCAGGTTGTCTGAGGAAACACACTGGGTAGGGCATCCAGGAGAGACCTGGGGAGTATTGTACTTGTTGGGTGGATTTCGTGGTCTCGGCAGTTGGTAGGACTATTGGGTTCGAGTTGAAGTTGGGCTTGGCTTGGTGTTGTTGAGGGTACACTATGCGAGGCAAGATCCCACCATATAGTCCCGGTTGAAGTTGGAGTATGGGGTCCGTTGTGGACTCTGGCACTTCTTCGGTGCCAGGGGAGGTTGTGGGCAGGTATTGAGAGTAGTCCATCACGGTGTTGGATTTGTAGTTGGTCGTATCCGACGTGGGGTATTTTTTTGAGAATTGGTCATTTTGGAAGTTGGATGGCGATGAAAAAGTTGGTTGATGTACAGTAGAGGTTGTTGGGCTGGTGTTTAATCTTGGTGGTGGAGTTGTTGAGGCTGGTAACGTTGCTGATGGGTTCGCAGATTGAGAGGCACTGTTGATGTACTCTAAAAGTTTACTACTCAGGCATGATGGAACCGTTGTACTTTCAACTATGGAGTTCTTGTCTGTTGGAAGTCTGATGGGTGATCTCCATTCGCTCCCTGGTGTCGTTTCAATGGGCTGAGTAGCTGGTTGAAACTGATGTTCGTTGGATGTTCTGGATTGGTCTCTAATGATTGTTCCGAATTGGTTGTCTTTGTTCTGGGTCGTGCTTTTCGGGTCGATAGTTTTGGTTGAACACAAATCGGAGGGAATGTTGGTACGAGCTGTTGAATTTGTTTCTTGGTGGAAACGAGCTGTCGACTCGGTGTTGACGGTTCCGCCAGGGGAAGAGGGGAAATTGCTCTCCACCAGTTTTTGGCACTCTAGACATTGCTCTAGGTCCTTTATCTTGGTGTCGAATGGCAGCGCGTTTGGTCCTTGACCATCGGATAACATGCCTATGAGCTTCTTCAAGTCATTCGTACTGTAGCCGATTAATTGTATATGCTGATGCATGGAGTCTAAAATTTTCTTGCAATCTTGGTTTTTCTTTATGCAAGACTCCATTTTATCGCTTCCCACTTCACGGCGGTGACGTTTGGTATTCCCAATATCCAGGGCATTGTTATCCAGACTTTTTATCTCTAACAATTCGTCCTTTCTTTTCTCGTTCTCCTCTAAGTTCGCGATGAAGTCAGGATTCTTTGGTTCGGAAGTTTTCTTCAATTCCTCACTCGGATGGGTGGCTTCTAGTAAAAATATTATCCATTATTTAATTTCCAAGATGAAAAATTCACGCAAAAAATATAATTCCAAATTTTTCATGAATGACATTTCATTGATTATACACGTCAACTCACCCGTTGTTAGTGTCAAATAGAGCATCGGTACGGTGAAGGACATAATAAATGCGATAAATATTATGGTAATTATAATCGTTATCGTGTACCGCCCAAGATCACGTCGATTTTTGGATCTGCTCAGAAATGGGCCCGGGTTTCCTAAAAAGAGGATTTTTGTAAAAGAAAGAAATTAATTATATATGAAAGTTGATTCATTTCTGTGTATGAATTTTTACCCAAAAGCGGGGCGTCTGCTCTCTTGGGGTTGCCCATTGGGATGATGATTTCCGTCGATACAGGAATAAAGCACTACATTTATAGTAATTTTCCGATTTTTTTTCTATTTCAACTAATCGTTTTCAGTAAATTTTGGCCACTGTTAACATACGAGGTCAGAATATCCGAACGTTTGGTTCACATGCATTGGGCACGACTGCCACGATTGGGCAAGAATTCATCGTTAATGAAATACCGACACAAAGTAGAATTCTGCAGATCAGCATTTACTTACCCGCTAGACATTTCGAAAGACCACCGCGAATGATATCGGCATGGAGTATACGCAGAAGAACGTGTATTTGCTGATCGCGCCATTCCTCGGACACGGAGTGGTTAAACAGACTCGATATTTTTAAGAGCGAAGCATCTTTTCGACCTTAAAAAAAATCTAAGTTCTAATTTTCCTCGCCAAAGAAACGTTTGATTAGGAATATGTACTTCTACCACAGCTAATCCGTGTATAAAGGTTCACTTTAAATTCGGAGCGTGTCATAGAGCTCACTTGTCACGTCGAAATGTCATTTCTAACGCTGCTCCTGTTAAGACCGATTTTATCGTAAAATTAGGAAAAGCTCCAGTTGTTCTATTATGGAATTTTTATTAGGAAGCCAATTGAGCGTAAATCGTGACAAGGACTGAGGGTTGTCGTGGGCATCACGAGTGGAAGGTAATATCGATTTCCAGCGTCCTTCTCCTCTGTATTTTAATTTATCCTCTGGCATTTGAATTTTTGCCGAAAATTTGAAGTATCACTCTCAGCGAAATTCCCTAATTTCTGTAAATTCTACGCATCTTGCGGCTTGTTAGCGTTCCCACACCGCACAAACATCACCGTGTGGAGGCAGCCCATTATAACCTCTCCGCCGTACTTTGATCCAGATAGGGTTGCTATTCCCGCCATATTGAATTATGGCACAGCTCGCCACGCGTGCGCCTCCAGGCCGATAAACGAAGAAAAAATCGATACTCGATACTCGATACTCGAGTCTCACCCTTGACGCGGTGAAATCGATACTCGGTTGTCAGTTTCGGCGCGTACATACCGTGCAACAATAAGCTGCAAATGAAAAACTCGAATTGAAAACCAGGACGTCGGGAGCAAAACGACCCGGCGTCCCTTTTTCCGATTATTCGCGTCCTTCGCAACGAGATTCAATAACGTTGCCCGTTAAATTAATTGATTAAATCGCGTATATTTATGAATTAATTACATTGATCCCTCGTATTAACATTTCGGGGCTTTTCTTTATTAATTCGTTCGACCTTGAAAATATTCCCTTTTAACGCGCGTCCATTTGGGCGTTCTCGCGAGAAGGGAGGCCGAGCGTGGCGGCGGTGGAAGGGATTTGGAAAAAGAAGAGTTTTTGGAAAGCGCGCTAACTATAAATAGTCAAGGCGCGTGTGCACATCGGATTTAAACATAGTTTTGGCAGCGTGAAACGTCAAAGCAGCTCGGAGCCGAGAGGTGCGTGGCTCGCGCGGAGAATTTCTTCGGTCCGCGAGGCCGGCATCGCCGAAAGTCCCCGCGGTTTGCATTCGGCCATTTGGACGTTTTTCGCGAAAATTTTTAACCATTCCGCGAGTTTCCGCGCTCTCTGTGCCTCGAAACGTGGCGGATCCGCGAGAAGCAGCGCCGACTCGCGTCGAGTTCGCATTCAAAAATACGAACTCTTTCGCGCACGTGCTTCGTTGCCAGTGGACGAATCTCGTCGTGACACCAGCAAGATGTGACGTCCGTGCCCAGTGTACAAAAGGTGGTACAAGTAGATGATATATTTTGTTTACCTTCGCGTTTATAAATGCCTAACACTGAAGCACTTCCATCCCAACGCTTCATATCTGCCCTGTTAAAATATTCAAAGAATTCATAATTTCGGTACGTAACATTGTAGCCGAATTATGAGGATTACTTCATAATTCCTGAATTTGAATACATTTATATGGGGTTTCTAAAGAAATTTATAGTACGATATCGTGGTATAATTGTGTGAAATTGTGTTTTCTTGAACAGTGTTTTCTTTAACCATTGGTGCATTCGATCAGGATCCACCGATTGACGTTTGACATCGAGCTTATTTATTACAAGATTTGCAGATTGCTCCTAAACGGCACCAATCGATTGGATCGGCCATCAATCGATTACGGCAATCAGGGCTAAGTATTAGGACCGATCCCTTGCTCGACCCGTATAATGGCCTAAATAGTTAATCGAATGTTATCCAGCCCTGACTATGACATGACTATTCCCAGTTTCGCGATGTCCACCAGACCTCGCGATCGGCCTCGATCTGCGGAGCTCGTACTGTTAAAAAAACCATTGTAATGCTCAGACACGGTACATTAATTTCTTAACATAATTTTAAATAAAATCCATAACACGCGTTAGAAATTTAGCACATAAGTGTATTAATTTTCCTGTACAATTTCACAAAATTACGCCTTGCTGCCGTAACGTTATAAATCCATATAGAAAGTTACGATAAATGTATATCAATTCCCAATTCGGACGTCGAATTTACAATTTTCATGCGACCTTGGGTGCTAAAATTACGAATTTTATGAAAATGTTTAACAGTGCAGCTGGCACGTATGAATGTGCACGGGGGACGTGCTCGAGAAGAGGCGGAAGTTTCATTCCCACCGGAAGTAGAAGAGGCCCGCCGGAAGAAAACATGAAGCGCGCCAGGCAGCTTGACAAGGAGAACGACCAACCCGATAAGATCGGGAATTTCAACAACGCCGGGGAGGAAATGTAAATATGGGCCTGGAAAATATATTTTCAACGAATCCAAATTTGGCGCCACTTTCCGCGTCCACCTGTCGGCCGAAACTCGCGACTTTGGCAAGTCGCGTGACGACTCCTTCCAAAATCCCGACAATCCTTCAAAAGCTCGCGAGCGGAGCTTTTGGCAAGTCCACGATGGCCTTTCCAAAGATTTGCAAAGCACACGAGCGTGATCATCGGCGAGCCTTCCTGCCAAAAATCGCGGCCAAGGAGCGCGAAATCACTCTATCATGCGAAATTTAGTGCCATGTCAGATCCGCGATATGGCACTTCCGCCTACTTCGGAAATTCCGCGACGATCTGCCGATTCGACGGAATTGGTCAAATTTAGTGACGAGCGAAATCCGTCTTGGCCTGGCAAATTTGGTCTTGGACTTGGATACTTGTTGCACTTTTTACAGGATCGAGATCGAGGTCGATTCTGTCCATCGGTAGGGAAATTCAAGACTCGAATGGTCACATCGAGAGCGCTCGATTGGACAATTCGAAGGAGAAGAAAAGAACCTATTGTCACCTTTATCTCACGCCCATGGACTTCTAATTTTAATCCGACCGACATTAATATCAATTAATATCGTGTCGCAAGTCTCTCGGCCGACCGACGCTTCGGTTGACCGAATGTATATTTGGCTGCGAGTTGTCTAATCCTTTGTGAAGCTAATTGTCTTTGGAACAATGACACCCTTTCGCCGCTGCATCTGGATCGGCAACTGGCATTGGCCCAGGGTGAATATTAGCAAACTGGCACAAAACTGGTACCAGGTCAGTGATGCCGTGTTCGCCGGAGTCTTCCTTTCCGGAAACTCGAAGATTTCTAAACGCGTGTCTAAACAGCTGTTGTTTACTCGGAGTCGGATTAATGTAGCCTTGGTTAGAGCCAGAGATTTTCCGGAAAAACGCCGCATCTGTTCGGGGTGGATTTATGTTCACACGAGAAGGAAAAAAAAGGGAAACGATGCATCGCAGAAATGCAGTTGGCTCCTTACGGTCAAGATCGAGAACAGCTGTTGACTGAGTGCATCCAAGATGAACAATTTTCCGGGAGCTATCTTCTTTGTTCGATGATTGGAACTTTCAGTTGGTTTAATTATTTAAGCCACGATTTATGAATTATTTGGCCATGGAATGGGAAACTCGACAGAGTAACCGAGCATCTGGTCAAGTTTCGCATAGTCTCTCGTTAATCGACTGTTTTTAGGGCAATGGCATCCTTTTGTCTCATCTGCATCATCATCTGGCATTAAGCCAGTGGGATTATTGACGGACCGATATTCAACTGGTAGCAGGCCAGTGATGCTGCGATAGGTCGTGTTCTCCACTCCGGAAACATGTTGGGTGTCCACGTAAATGTCCCACCAGCTGTTATTTACGCGTTACCGAATTAATTCCGTCTCGGTAGCGTGTGCATAATTGCGAAAACTCGTCTCGACGTTCTCGAAAAAAACATCCCAGCTGGCCGGTGTCGATTAAGATGCAACATTGATAAATGAAGCTTGTCGTCCAATTTGATCATTCTAAATATTTCCTCTGAAGTGACGCTGCGATGTCCTGTCTTGTAATGGACGAATCTTTGTTTCAGTAACATGTCATTGGAGAACAAAACAGAAGGGGACATTATAAACGAGGCGTTGTTTGAAAAACTCGAAATCTATGCGCAGGCGCCGCAAGAAAACGTGGATGCGATTCGATCGCATTTGGTCAAAATCCACGCACGGATCACGTCATCGGGCAAGTAAAAAATCGTTTCATTAAATTTCAATCGTGTATCTCTGTGTTCGAGGGCTGACTGTCGCAGGGAATTCCGTTTTGGAATGAACTGATTGGATTTGCTCGAATTTTCAGAACGACGGATAAGGGAGTACGCCCAGCAAATGCTATGGCGCGAAAATTCGGACGCTGTGAAGACGTTCCTCAAGATTCTAGAGGTACTGACCTAAATGTAAAAATCTGCGGGTTAATAATTACGCGTATATTTTCAGAATTGCAAGGACAACGTTGCAAATTGTAGCGCGGTCAGCATTATCCACGAGTGCATCTCGCCTCGGACTTCCAAAGTAAAATGCAAAGGATTCAAGCACAAGAATGCGACTAGTACGAATCTTATCAGCCACATCGATAAGGAATTGAACTCTTAAATATATAAACGGATTTCTTTTTCTGAGCACAGGAGTTGATTTCGATTTTTCTACATTTTTAGGAAACAATTGTCGAGCGGCGATCACCCAGCTGATTAATTTTGGAGGTACGCAAGTCATGATAAAACTTCTCAACAATTTGCAACGCAGAGACATAGGCGTGGTCGAAATGCTTCTGCAAGAAGTTCTTTACATTCTGGGGCAAGTATGTACTTTTGTGCCCCGTGTAATTAATTTATAGATATTCGGTACCTAGGGTGTGACCTTTCTTCATTTTTGGAAGGTAGCTCAGAGGGATCACAAGTTTGCGACAAAGGTGAAGTCGCTCAACGCCACAAAGTCATTCCACTCCTTGTTGAAGGAGCACTACAACGATAGCAGGACTCTTCTCCCATTGTTGCTGATCGTCAAGGCCCTTGCCAGGAATCGTGAGTGGAGTTTCTTAGATTAAGCACTGAGAATGAAATTTCGTGAAAATTTTCACATTTTGACGTTGCTCTCCCCCGAAATAGCGTTTTCTCAGCAGGTATTGATCAAAGATGGGATTGCTGGTACTTTGGAAAAAACGCTGGTCAGCCTCGGATATACCCCGCACCTGAAGATGAAGACCTTGCTCGAGAGCTTCAAGTATTTCACGATAAACAGTACGTATTAAAATATACTTCCATGCTGCGTTTCCAAGAAGTGAATTAAACAGGAGTTTTAATTCGCAGAGCTTTACTGTATGAAATTCGTGAAAGCCGGCATCGTCCACTCGTTGATGAGGATTTTCGAAAGGTGGAATAGATTCGACGGGCCCATGAGGCTGAAAATTTGCAATTACGCCCTGAACACGATGCAGCACATTTGCATGATGAGTAAGTCTTGATAAGAACGATAAAACCAGAAAGTGGAAAGAAAGGACGTCGATCTTTATTCCAGAATCGGGGAGGAAGGCGATTAAGTCGAACAATGGGCTGCAAGTGTTGTACAGATTCTCCACCAGTTGTCCAGAAGACAAGGCTTACGACACTTTGTTGTCACGAGTGTACGCGATATTTAATCAGTGCCTCGAGAAAAAGGAATTGCCAGTGCCCGAAATGTCGCCCGCAAGGTGAACGCGATTACACAAACGAAAGCGATTAATTTAAAAAATAATTTCATTTCCTAAATAAATTGCATTTACTGGGTTTTTCTTGTTTATCGTGAAACAGGTTTATCCTGCCAGTAACAAGTACCAGGATGAACAGTGCGGACAGTTGCAGTGACATCGACAGTCAGGTGAACTTCGATTCTCGTTACTTATCGATATCAGCCACCCCCTTAATTTTTTTGTTTTTCAGCTCACCTGACGTTATCAACAATGCCATTCTAGTTAACAATAAATTTACCTCTGTATCAGGTGAACGGTGTCGCTGGGTTGGACAAATACTACAGCGACGCAGACTCGGATATCGACGAGGACGATGACGACTCGAAGAATTCAAGAAAACCGCGAGAAACAGACCTCGTTGATGAAATCGACGAGAATAATTTTTTCTCGGGTGTCATTACCTCTTTACGATCGGAAGAAGACCTGATGGGGTAAAATAATGCAGCTGATTACTCGCGGAATTTATGTCAAGAATTAAATGATTTCAGGTACCACGTCTTCTATCGAGAATTAGGTGACAGACAAGCCCAGCTGTCTCTTGGGAGGTCCTTCCTAGAAAGACTTTTCCAGCTACCCGGCACCATGGAGGACAATAAACGGTCCTATCACCAAGCCTTAAACAAATTAATAATGATCGGAAACAAGTCCTCCAGCAATGGAGCGAGCGAGAAAATTTCAGCGACCGACAATTCCCAGAGAATTCATATTTCGGGAACGCCGAAGGTCTTTGATAACCTGACCAAGCAAATGTCCGACAAGCACGTGTACTGTCTTGTTGCCAGTGCTGTCAAGAGTGTCATCGGTTTTGTCAAGGTGGCTTATCCAGACCTCGTGGGTGGTCGAGGTTCCGGAAAATTGGAGCCCTTGAACAGGAAGGACCGAAAAGTCTGTCGCTCCAAATTGTTGGTCTGCCTTGATCGAAACCTCCACCCTGACAACTTCACCCATGTGACCGTCTACGATTTGGACGAGTTGTCATCCAGTCCAGGAAATAATACAACCCCCAAGCTGCTCTGCAACTGGGACGAGGAAAGGGTTGGTATGCAAGGGAACGACTCGAAGCAGCTGCAGTTTGAGTCCAGGTTCGAGAGCGGGAATCTCAGGAAAGCCATCCAGGTGTGAAGTTGAAAAGACTGCGGGGAAATGGAAAAAAGTAAGTCTGTAAATCAATTTATAGCAATATTAATTTGCAGATAGGTCTCAGGGAGTACGAGCTGATCTTATCGCCGGATGTGAACAGTGGATCGCGACATCAGTGGTTCTACTTCGAGGTCTCCAACATGGATGCCAACGTGCCGTACACATTCGACATCGTCAACTGTGAGAAAGCGAACTCTCAGTTCAACTTCGGCATGAAGCCGATCTTGTTCAGCGTGAAGGAGTCCCAGCTGGGGAGACCAGGATGGATCAGGACCGGGGTGGACATTTGTTACTACAGGAACTGCTATCAACGTCCAGCAAGAGGGAAGAACTATCTAACGACTTCGTTCACGATAAACTTCCCTCACAGCTACGACGTCTGTTACGTTGCCTATCATTTCCCCTACACGTATAGTCAGCTGATGACTAGCATTTGGAAGTGGTCCAAAGAGTTAGACTCCAGCAGCATCCTCTTCAGGGCGGAGCCTTTCTGCACGAGTCTGAACACCAACGAGAGTCCATTGTTGACCATCACGGCTCCTGATTCTAAAAGCAACTCAATGCACGTGAGTGTTTTAACGAAATTAATATAATTTTCATTCTGCACCCTGAAGAGATAGTCATAGACTCCGTTAGATCTGCACCAAAGTCGTTGTCTAAGAGATCCAATGGTTTCCAGAACCGAAAGATGATCTTCCTAACCTCCAGAGTGCACCCTGGAGAGAGCAACTCGTCGTGGATCATGCATGGCACCTTGGAAGCTCTTCTAAGTCCTTCCGATTATGCCAGCAGCCTTCGAGATGACTACATCTTCAAGGTTGTTCCTATGCTGAACATCGAAGGTGTGGTCAACGGCTGGTAAGTTCACCGTTTATCTCAAATTCTAGGTTATGGTACTCCCTTCGACCTTTTGTAGTTATACCTTTATTGATGTTCAGTCGTTTAAAATTTGCGTTCGCATCGGTATACAATACTTATCATAAAAAAGAGTGGCGGTACTTAAACGATAATGGATCCTCTTCGGATCTAACTGCGTGTATCCTATTATACGTCCGGATGACTGAAACGTACGATGCACCTTCAAGAAATCGGCCCAAGAGACGGGGTGCCCAATCGACACAAAGTAATTCGAATAAGACATGTTCAACATTTTTTATCAACTGCAGCTCGTTGGTCCCTGACGTCAGAAAGTGCGACATTAGATCTACGAAATTCCTGTGAAACCTTCGAGATTTTTCTTTTCGTATATAAATGATATAGGCGGAGATTTACCCTTAACATTTGCTCCTCGTGGGTATTGACCTGTGTTCATTGGGCAGCGTTTCCGCGCCAAGTGTCTTATTCGCTCTCTGCCCTCCTCCGCTCTGGGCTACCCAGTCTCTTTCCGTCGAACGTTTCGTCTTGCGTACGTATGCAAAAGTCGTTAACTACGAGTTACAAGATACGCCGTGGACGTGGCAGACCCCTCGTCCAACGCCGAAGAGAGCTTTACCTCGCGTTCGTCTCTACCCATGCATATTCGAGATTAAAGTTCCTTTCGAACGCTCGAGACCTCGAGGCGCGATCCTTGTACTGTTTTGCATAAAAAAAGTCGCACGCGAGTCCCATGAAATCGATTCCACATTGATCCAATTCACTGTCGATGAATTTCCTCCGTTACATTAGCCTGCATCTTCGAATCGACTCGTGGTTGACTTTTTAAGGGCGATAGAGTCGACGATTAGAGAGACGCATAAAGTTCCCTTACGAACACGATCGGCTGCCGCCATTAATATACAATTGCGGGTGAAGTTAGTACGTATCTAGGGGGCGAATTAGAATTAGCAATACTGGGCTCGCCATCGAAAATGCCGTATGGGAGACCGAGCTCCGTGGTGGCAGGGGTCGGAGATCAAGTCGGTAAACGGTAGACGAATGGAAACTGCGTTATCTATAGATTCAATAATTTTTTTTTCTCATGGGCTTAATCGTTTCTTCAAACGCAACAAGTGCTGCCCCCTCGACTGCCACCCGGCACTTCCGATTTCCGCGATGAACGAAGTACGTCGATCGTCAAAAACTCGCGACAAGCAGATCCGGCGTGGACGCAGCGTCCCCCCCTCGGCACCCGTCCAGGCGCGAGAGTGGGGGAAGGCCCGCCCTCAGCAGGAGCAAGCCCAGCTTCTCAGTCTCCACGCAAGACAATGAACGCCGGTGAACTATGACGAACACGCAAAACGATGAACACCGGCGAGGACCGAAAGCGCCACGTTCTCGACGTGCCGAAACGAAAGAACGAGACCAAATCCGTCCAAACGTCCGCGCATTTTCTAGCAGCTCGGCGAGGCTTGTTCCAGAAGTGAACGTAACTTCCCCCACCAAGGGTCCGTCCTTATTGAACTCACAGGAGTGGGGGAAAGCCCGTTCCCCCAGGACCAAACCCGCCGCTGCGACCGCCACGCGAGACGATGAACGCCGGTGAACGATGACGAACAATGACAAACAGTGATACGATACGCGCTCCCCCTACTCATCAGCGGATACTTTTTCCCTCGGCAGATCGGGAGGTCTATTACGAAATAACATAACATAACGTAGGTACGTATAGATTACTTGGACGGAGGATCTAATACTTTGCCGTTGGACCGCACCTTGATGTTGTACCTGTAGGCCGGCTCCGCTTCCGGTAGGATCGTGCTGGAATCCTCGTCCTGCTCCTTGACGGGCTCGTCCACCTCGGCCTGGTCGTTGACGTAGTCCTGGACGCTGTCGTAGGGCCCGACCGTGTGCACGTCTTCCAGGGCGCTGTTGGGCAACTCGGTCCCAGCGCCCCCGTCCTCGTACTCGACCGCGGCCTCGTGGGTTTTGTCGTCGCGCGAGGACGCGTGGACCTGGTGGGTCGACAAGCCGTCGAAGGCGGTGTCCCTGCCCAGGGCCGGACTGTCGGTGAAGAGGCTAGTGATGTCGGGAATGTGGTCGGGTGGCGTGTCCTTCTGCACCGTCGTGGGCAGTTCGCGGTGCTCGCTCGCGCCCGTCTTGGAGGGCTCCGATCGGGAAGCGGGAACGGCCGTCATTAGTCGATTCAACACCGAGTCCTCGGACATTGCCTTAACCGATGAGCTTTCCAATGTCGATTTACCGTCTTGTGTGCTACCTAGGTGTTGTTCGTCAGCTGGCGCGGCGGTGGTCGTGACGTAGGGCCTGCGGTTTCTGCAACGGTTCCAAGCGCTGAGGTTACTGAGGGAACGGCCGGGACCTTTCCCTTTGGAATAAACGAAAACTCTTGTCAAAGTATTCCACATTGTCTCGAGAATCTTGCAGGTGGATCAGGGCGGATATCGATACCTTGATCCAGCTAGGACTTCCACAAAAGCTTATCCAAACTTATCGTGGACTCGACTTTGATCCACTCCACTACTGGATTCTTATGGTGGTTAGTGTGTGTTACGGGTGAACCTCTAATTCCAGACGCAGCCTTTATTTTCGAGGAGTTGGAATTAAAGTACAAGCTGGTAGAAGCTGATTCGAATCCCTTAGGGTTTTCTGTTCCTCCGAACGAGGTTCCTTCCCTCCGCCAACTAAGTGTCGATTTTGTTCAACCGCTACAGAGTCGTGGAATGGTCGAGGATGTGAGAAGGGGATGATATTGGCGTGGCGCTCTACGGGGGCATGCAGGGATTCCCGCTAAACTCTATTGCTCTGGCGGTTGTGTGTACTTTAAATAAATATCTCACCTCTTACCCCTGAGTCGCGGAAACTGGAATGCTGCCGTAATTGTAGTAGTAGCATCGCGTCTGCTCGCAGATGAAGTCCTTGATGAGCGTGCAGTCCTGGGCCTCCCATGCCAACGTGGGGGCGACCATCGAGACGCAACCGTCGGCGCTGCCGCTGTCGCCACTGGAAACGGGAAGAAATGTCCATTGATATTTATTTCCACTTTCCAAATTACAATTTATTTTTTTCCAAGATGGCGGACGCACCTCTCGCGCGCCACTCGCTGCGGCTCCGTGCCTGGCGGGACGTCCACCGGTTTGTTGCCGGGTCTTCGCAGCATGTAGTCGAAGGTGGCGTTGAAGGGCAGGCCTGTGCTCATCCACAAGAACATGTCCGTTCCGAGCTTGTTGCCGGACGTCCAGAAGTCGTATTTCGTGTAGCCGGCGTTCTTCAGGTACTGAGTCATCGTTTCGGCCTTTTCCTTGGTCTCGAAGGAAGCTAACTGCAGGCCGAGGGAGCGACAGTACTGGTACGCCAGGAAGTAGTTCAGCTCCGGACTGTACGGATTCATCCGCGACACAAAGTACTGCACGCCATCCAGTTGGATGGTCGTAATCCTTTGCGCTGTAAAAAAAGAGTTCCGATTTGAGGTTCCCCCTAAACGATCTCCGACTGGTCACCGACTTCGAGAAAACAAAGAATGGGCATTTCAGGTGGCTACTTAAGTGACGATAAAATGAATAAACTATGAAAATCCACCTGTACAGACCTAACGGATGCTGTAAAAAAAAAAGCTCTACAGGACAGATTGGAAATCGTTACGATTTGTTGTTACGAGTGTAGCCACCTCTAGGCTACATCGAGTGAAGGAAGGAAAATGGGCGAAAATTCAAGGGTCGTTTTCAACGCGTTTGGGAAGTGACCGGGGTAATTAAGGATAGAGTCCATCCAGGTTCGTTGCATTAATGCCGATTAGAATTTTGGGATCGCCCGCGGTTTGCGGGGAAGAATAATTGTTTACGTGGAGTTTAATTGCCACGTGGATAATGATTTAATTGCATTGATCATTTCACGTGGATACTGTAGCGAACGAGTCCATCTTGCCATTTTTGCAAGTCCCGGCGTCTGCCTAGCCAAGTCCGTGTTACCTCATCGAGACACGTCCCTCGCGGACTTCCGGCATACCGGAAATGGCGGGGTGAAAAATCGCACCTTGAATTTCAATACCGAGTTCTTCTGCCACGCGGGACCTCGGTCACGGAGACAGTAATGGCGTCGACCTCGGGCCTGACTTGCAAGTATGCCTGCACTCGGGCCGAGTTCAATAATTCCCAGTTAACCGTCACCGCCGGACTTCCCTCCACCCCTTCCAGCTTTCCGATTCGACTCGTCCGCGGCGTCTAATCCGTGTCTCGTGCGCGGAGATGTCATAAATCCTCTAGGCACGCATGACTTGGCGATAAATCTCCGCCGAGCGCCGTAAATACTCGGCCCGTGTTCGTTTCCCCGTTCTTGGCCTCCCTTTCCTAGGTCCCTTAGTAACTGGCGCTCTCCCAGTGCATAAATTCTCCAAAAGTAGAAGGGTACCAGTCACTGAAAAGACCCTTTACACGCTTTCTTAAGGCCGTGGCTCTCGCCCATAGAAACGTTATAAATCCTGAAACCGGCAGTACAGGTGGTAAACGACCTGGAGACCTTGAGACGTCTACGCACGCGCAGGCGCCGGGTGAACACACGCGCAGGCGCGAGCGGGGATGCGGGTATGCGGGTCCGTAGGTGCACGTAAGCAGGCCGGTGTGGGTAGCGACACATGTACAGGTGGGCGTATAGGTATACGGGCGCACCCTTAGGCACCGGTACGAAACAGGTCTGGACGTGTAGGCAAGCGAGGATGCGCCCAACACTCGCCCACAGACTCATTCATGCTATCTTTAGTTCGCCTTGGGTATTAAAGGAAAGAAAAACCTAAATGCCCCGCGCGAAACCGGATTAACCCCGGGAAGAGCGAAGAAGAGGGAAAAAGCTAACTAAGAGTATGTCACGGGGTATCTCAGGAATCTTCTAAGTAATTGCGGCCCGCGGCTCGTTACGTTCCTTCTTGCCCCGAGTGACGAGGCGATGCCCGCCAATTAATTTGTCAATTAAGCCCTCGCATAAACCGACGGATCATGGGGGGGATTAATTTATTCGTGCGAGTCGAGCACTCGCGAAGCCCGACGAGAGGTCGATTAATCGCACGGTCGGCGAGTTCTTTTGCGAGCGTTCCTCTCGAGGCCGCCATTTTGGAAATCGCGAACCCCTTGACGCCGCCAAGAGGGCGTCGAAATGGCACGGATTTCACGGGCGAGACTTCACTTTGGAATCAGCTGCGTGTGCCGTTTTCACGCTCGAATTAGGCACAATTGTGAGGATGAATGAGCGCTTATTTAGCCGGCTTGACATTGCTGGGCGAACGGAGAAACATCCTCCTTAAGGCGGCTCTTTTCCAGCCATTTTTCATTATCTGCCCGGAGAGAAAATAGCCTTATACGGTACCACCACTGATAAGTGCAATCGGCGCCAGTCCCTGAAGGGTTATGCTACACTATTGTGGAAAGAAAAAATAAGTTTACCGTTTATAATGTTACCATTTCTATTTTTCATACATTAAATTGCTAGTTAACCCTATTCTCTCTCAGTGTGGGACTACGTGGGATCACGTTTGCAGGGCCATGTGGGATCTTAACAATAGCCAAGGTTCGTAAGGAAATTGCCTGCGAACGGATCCTATCGGGGACGTTCCTGCGTGTTGAGCAACCTTTTCATGGGTGGATGGAAAATGTCGTTACGATAACGTCGACGGACTCTTGTTAATCAATGGTGCATTGCCATTAATACTCGGCTCGAATGGGCGCGAAAACGTGATGTTCACGGTAAAATCGAGTTGCGACACCTCTCTCGAGAATTCATGTCAACGAACCCTTCGGTAGGTCGGTGATACCACGAGTGACGCTTATCTCGTAAGATGGAATGTTTTCTCAGCCCACCAAAGGAAGCTCTAAAGAAACCCCCTGACCTTGAAATCTTGAAAAATATATTCTAACGTTTAGGACATTTCTTTAGGGTGGCTTGACTCTTTTGTGGCTAGTTCAGTCTTCGATTTGATATCTGACTCGTTAATGATTTTTTATCTATCTCGCGCGGGACGGAATGTCGTATAGGCTCTTGTTATCTAACCTGCGGCGAAGGTTGTGACGGCCAGGAGCAGCAGTGCAATCTTCATGATGGCCTCTTGAAGTCGTGATCGATCGTTGCGTTTCTTTGTAAGGACACCGGATGTTAATGTTAGGGTCGCGTTCTCGAACTGGCCTCGCTGAGCGTTGAGGATCCCTTTAAGAGTCTTCTGCCCGGACCCCAGAGAGGGGACCGCTCAAGATGATTCACTGCTTAACTTCGACCAAGATGAAAGATGATGAACCACTCGGTGGCTGCCGGTGGGTGCTTCGGCCCGGCCAGTCGGCGGATCCACTTCAACGGTCGGACTTGCGACACTTTGTCTAGGAAAATTCTCAAGGAAAAAGTCCTTCGGTCGCTAGACTATCTTCTATCTATAAAGCCGGCCAATCGGCGGCCAATTCGAAAATGACCATCGCCGTTAAATGGACATTTTTCGCCAAATATCTATGGTCTAATTCAACTTTAATAGAGTCGACTGATTCTCGATTTTCGACTAGAAATATTCCCCGTGGGATAAACATCGGCGATCGTGGAAATCTCTGAGAGATTATCTACGGGATGATCGATCGTGGACCGTTCTTTCCAACGACCCCATTGATCGGCGTTTGCGGTTTCGAAGTTGTGTGAGTAGGAGGGTGAAAGTTTCCTCCGAAAATTTCAACCGAGTGGATTTTCGGTTCATAAAGTAGCTTTCTTGTGCCGGTCGATGGCATCCGAAGAGCTTCGGCGAAAGGGGTCGAGGTCGGAGTTGAGTCCTGGACGAACCCGGATGGCGGCGATAGCATCGCCCCTTACACGGGGTTTCATTAAGAGGACATAGGAAAAAAGCGAATTAGAATTTCAAATAAGCTTTTTAATTGCTCGCGACGTTTCGGACGGATATGCCGACTTCGAGCGTGTCTCGTGATCTCGCGGTAAGGGGTTAACCCGTTCCCTGATAAAATGTCTACCTTACCTTCCACGACATCGATACAAAATTGTGAAAAATACTTCGTGAAAATTTCACATATTACCGAAACTATGAAATGGGGTGTCCGAAAAATTCATCGTGGAAAATACATATCACGTTGCAGGGCCTTAACCCTTTCACTGCTGTTTGTAAGTCTGCTTGCAAAATATAGTTGGCGCCTATATTAGAGATTTGAAGAAAACAAATTATTCATCGGCGAAAATGTTGGTTGTTTACGGCATAGTTGAATTCTATCGTCCGCGTAGCATATATTAAAATATATCGTAGTAAAACAGTTAACGGAATCGGTCGGCCATTCTCGCTGTTTGGCGCCAAAGTCGGTCCTCGGACGAAGCTGGATAGCAGCGATCCTCCGTCTCTTCAGGTTCCTCTCCCAAAGGCCGTCCCTCCGGTGCGGGAGCGCTACCACCGGTGCTACCGCCGCTGCCTTCGCTCCGCGCCTCTTCTCGTCCGCGGAAGAGGGAAAGAGACGCGTCTCGGCAAGATAAGGGAGTGCAAGAGAGAGGGGGCGGGAACAACTTCTCGGCGACCGCGGGGTTCGTTTTTGCAAAAGAAAAGCAAAGGGTTAGACCGCTGCGGCGCGAGGGGGGTTGGGGGAAGTTAAAGGGGGATCCGCTTCGAGGTCTATTTCAGGCTATACCGGCAATCGCTATGTAAGGCCCTGATCTCCAGAGGTCTTGGTTTTAGACGGCGAACGGCTTCGGACGGAGACGAACCGAACCATAGGGCCCCAGGGTCTCGCCGAGCCGCGCGACTCTTCCATTTTGATACTTCTAGGACAGCGGTTCTCATTTAAATCCGACGCGGCGTGATACAAGACGCGACTGCCTTCACGGCGCTGCAGTCGCTCCCGGCCTGCGACTCCTCTGAAGCACAGCCTCGATGCGAAAAGAAGACCAACGACGGCACATGGAGAAGTTAATCTGCATTTGGCTCACGAGGGCGCTGGGATCTAGGTTACCGGCGTGAAATTAGCGCCAGGTGGTTGAACGTCTAGACTTTCGATTTCTGATTTATCAAGCGTTCGACCTAACTCTAACTTCAGTGGAGAATACGGTGCCGAATTTTTAATATCAGTTCCAGGAGGCAGTGGTGCTCACGCGAGGCTAATTTCACGGCGCGGGGGAAAAACGGCTCGGACGGATTCTTGGTACTATTCTAAATGATAGGGTGGCGGGTTCTCTAAACCGTTCTTTCGTTTTGATAGTGCCGGGCAGTGGTGCTCACGGTGAGGCATCGCCACACAAAGGGGATCGGAGGCCGAAGAGGACGCGATTTAGTTGGATTCCCGGCGATAGCGATAACATCGCACGCGGGCGATGCTCTAAACCATCGGGTCGCGAGGTCTCCGAGGGGAGTCGTGAGACTTTTCCATTTTGATAGTTCCGGGACCGTGGTGGTCACGCGGTGCTAACGTAACTCCGCTTGCAGGTTAGGAGACCGAACAGAGACCCGTCGCCATTTTTCCGGATCTTCTTCTTCGATCAAAGTCGCAGTCACCTCGCGGTCTGTGCAGTATCGCACACATGAGGTATTTCAGACCGTAGGGCCCTGAAGACTCGGTGGACGTACTCTTTTGTTTTGATACCCACGGTAGTGGTACTCATTCGATATTAAATTATATTTCTAGCAGAGGGGCACGCGATCTCGCCAAGGCCGAAGCGATCACCCTATTAATATAATGGCTCGTGAACACGGTAATTACGGAGCTCGGGATTAATGCCTCGGCTTTAATACTCACCTTTTAGTGCTCACCTAACAAAGACACCCGTCGGGTCTTGATGAACCGAAGCACGGAGCAGACGAGGCTTTTCCTGATTCTTTAATGGCATTCGGGATTCTCTCTCCTCCCAATGCGCAGAAGCGGAAAGTGACGCTGGACGCTTCGATTTTGCGCGCGAGTTTATCTCGCGTTAACAAAATAACCGAACGGAGGAGAAAAATTGCCCGATGCGAAAAACCGAGAAGGACATCGGCGTTCCTGATCGCATTCCTGGGTCGGCGACGAGTCGAAGCCGAGCTTGTTATCGAAAGAAGGGAGAAAGAAGAGTCGGGGCGAAGTTTCGAGGCCTCGGCCTAGAAGTGTGCGCATCGTGTCCTCCATGTCCTCGAAAAGAAGGAATCCCTTCGACCACTGTCCAGGATTCTTTTTACAACGCACTTTTAACCTCCACGCGTGGTATATATCACATATGACGCGAACCGGTCTTTTGGCCGTAAATAATTCCCGAACAGCCCATATTACGACTTCCACACGCCAGGTTGTTCCTGAGGAGCCGTCAAATCATTCCCGGGTACATATATGCATTCCAGATGCAAGCAAAAAGTCCGTGGCGGTTTCCATAACACGTTTTTATGTAAAGAGTTAGACCTGTTACAGCATTTCATGCTCGGCGAGAATTTTATCTCATAAAGTTGTAACAAAGGATCTTCCTACTTCCCTCGATGAATTTTGGGATTCCCCTCCCCCCTGGTAGTTTATTTAATTTTTCATATTATATGTAGTATTTTCTAAAGATTATCTTTTATGTACGGTCGTAGTTCGAAGCACTTTCGAAGAGGTTTGTTTACAGGCTGCAGCTGCGTCGAGCTTGGGTTGGCTGTACAAGATCCACCGAGTTAAATCGGCAAAATGCAAGCCTCAATTAATTTCTTTGATTAAAGTAGTACCGGGAAATGCCGCTAGGGAGCTAATCGATTGTTGTAGCAGAAATTACACCGCAATTGCGCTGCATTACCTGCGCTCGTGTGCAGTGGTCTTTAAAATCGCTTCACATCATGGACGCAAGAAAATCATTAGTTGAGGATAAATATAGAAGAGACCTTAAAAAAAGGTTAGTGCGATACAACTTGCAAATGAAGTTGGACCTGTTCAAATTGAAAGATATGAAAAGAAGACCCGGATTTTCGATGAATTTCAACAATTTCGAAAATTAATTAAACGACATGTTTTAAGGTGATCCTTTGCACCTGATTTTTGAAGCAATTTCTAGACGTGAATTCGTACACAATTTTACTCGTCTTCGAGGGTCCCTGTTTACGCCACTGCGAAGCTCTGGTGGCACCATCTATCGTAACGAGCAAGAACCGCCTGGATTAGTCATGGAACCCTGGCGCTTTGTCAGTAAACGTCCGAAGCGTCTCGTAAAAACGAGTTACTCGGTTACTCTGCTGAAAAGCAGGGAGGAAACGACCGCTCTTCCGTTGAACCATAAACCTCGGAGCTACAAGATGATCGAAAAATCCAATACTCGTGGATATTTCAAATCTTGAGAAGCACCGTAACCTAAGAGGACTTCGCGAAGTCAATGCCTGGGAGGGGAGATACAACTACGACTTGCGATAAAAAAATTGATACTTGGTATTTTTTACAGGTACTTGAAACTTAAAACATAACAGATATATTGACATGGTTGTCTCGTTGTGGATGCTGAACGGTGCAGGGAAGTGCCGGAATTCCAGTTGCGACGACATCCGGTGATGCGTTAAGGGGCCTAAAAATCGATGATATTAGTGGGTTCTGGCTGTATCAGGAAAAAACAAAGTCAAGAAATATATAGGATGCCGGAGTCGCCGTGCGTTGCTCCGAGACGAAGCGCGCGCTTCGAGATCCCTTGGGAGCTCCTGGGAGCGTCGGCGCCTCTTCTCGGGCCCAGGGTTCGCTTCTCGTAGCTGGACGGTGGTCATACCCGGTTTAGTTTTTTCCCCGTGCAAAGAGAATACCGCGAGGTCGTAGAAAATATTGGAATTCAGCCTAACCGCCACGAGCGGCGCGCAGGCTATCACCTTGAGCACGCACGTCCCCGGGTGCTCGGCAGGCAACAGTCATCGACTCCTACGAACGTCGACACCGCGCTCGGCCCTCCTCGGCCGCGCTCGGCTCTTTTCGGCTCCTTTCGGCTCTCCTCGGCGGCCCGGCCATCGCCGCCGAAGCGTTGCGAGAGGCCTTGGCCATCGCCGCGAGATTCCTTCCAATTTCTTTCGGTTTCCTTCCATTTCTTTATCCGTATATATAATACATAAATTAATCCCCCATAATGAAATCAAACCCTTTCCCTTTCAAGTTCTAACCTCTAAGCGGATACAACGCGTAATTAGAATCCAACCCTAGCGTGCGTGTTCTACCGTCAACGACCACAATTTCGCTCGAAGAGCCTCGGAAGTCGTTACTGGGTAGCCAATCAATCGACGGAAACGAAGGCTTTTAAATGCATTCGCCCGTCTAAGGCTCCTTCTGCCTCGGGGGGTCGTGAAAGACTGCCGGCGAAACGTCAGTTTCCGTGCCCTTTGAACCCACCAGCTGTTCGATGCTTTTAGTGCGATGTGCCTCGGGGGGGTACCTATGTACGTTACATACGCGTAGCGTGCGGTGAACCGCCTTGCGAACGAGTCGGTCTCGAAACTCTCATGCCGGCGAACCGTCGTCGAGGCCAAGGTTCACATCGGCGGTTCATCCCAAGGTTCATCCACGTAATTGCGTCCGCGTCACGAGCGCGCCGGTGCGGGATCCTCCCGGACGAGCTGGACGTGGAGCACACAACGCGTTACACATTATACGCTATTTATCACTGCTAAGAACTTCGCGGTCAAGGCTCCCCGGCCCGAGTCATTGACATTGCTCGGCCATACCGCAGGCTGCCTAAAAAAGCAAAGGCACGCTCAGAACCTCGACGTCGTCGAGCCGCTGCAAATCTGGACCATAAACGCGACTTTGAACAAAGACCGCCCTACACGCGAAAAATCGGCAACGCCAGATTTCGAGGAAACCGACGTTGAAAATTACTGCGAAAAAATCCACTACCCGGTTTAGGCGGTTTCGAAGAAACCTCGGTTATTTAGGCTGCATATAATAGATAATAAACCGACGAAGAAAGAAGAACAAAAGAGGAAACTCGGCAGGTTTCGGCGAATCGTTTCGCGAATCTTGGAATCCAGGTCTTGGGATCGCCGAAACAATTCTAGACACTTTTATTAAAAATTTTCCTGGAAGAGCGATAAATTATTTAAGGTTTTTCGGGTGTGTTTGATTTTTTGTTAATGTCGCGGGGGCCATTTTTTCGCCAGGACGCGCATACCTCATTCGACGTGCCACGGCAAACCTATAATAAAAAGAAGATGTACGAACGTTCTTAGCGATAAATACTACCCTACTATTGTTATGCACGACGCAAAGGAGTTACTTCCTCTGAGTCGACTTCCAGCCACCGGAAATGTCCTTCTAACTATACTTGAATCCTTAACCGATGACAATCTCGGGTGAGATTTCCTTCCTTGCATCCAGATAGGAGGACCGTGATAGGGTGACCACATTTTCTCATGTAACGATTAGCCTGGGAAGTCGGCCTGATTTGTTTTTAAATGAGTACTCGCTTTAGCGCTGACGTCAGCTCATGGTTTCCAGATCACAGATTATTCCGCTAATTATCCTTATGCATACGCTGGATTTGATGGAGAGACGTTTTTATATATGTACCTTGGATTATGTAAGCCGGGTAAAAGTGGCACGGTACTGTTAGCTTTTTCATTGTAAAATGTTGCAAGTGTTTAGTTACGTAAGGAAGTATGGACTGCGATGATTGCCTCTATATTATCTATGTTTAAATCGGAGGAGCAGTTTGGAGCTGCAATTGATCTCGTAAAATTTGACGAACAAATATTTATCGTTCCTTCGTTTCTACTTTTCGGCAAATTTTCGGCACCCTGTGAATTAAAAAATTCCAACGCAAGAATTCAATTACATCTTAAGTCCGTTCGTCGATAAGGAAGCTTCCTTCTAAGAAAGTTACCTATTCGAGCCCAGGTAACGTTCCTCGTATCGACTGCATCATTCCGGCAGTCGATAAACGCGAAACCGGCTTGGCCGGTCTTCACAGATACATCATCTCTCTAATCGAATCATAAACACGAATAAACGAAATACAGATAAATATTTAAACATTCCAAATCAAGATAAATTTTCTCTTCCCGTTGCGTTAACCTCTCGATACGAATTTGTGTGTTTTCCTTGTACAATTAATTCTGTTTAATTTTTTGGTTCACTAAGAAATACATATTTTACAGGGTAAATTAAATATTTGCAACAAAGGATGCGTTATTTACATGAATATTTATAATGGAATGACGATAGGATGGTTCCACATTGATTCCAGCAACCGATACGGTCTTACCAATGAGGACCTCAACAGGCGCTGGAGTAATCCCGACCAAGTGCTTCATCCTGTAATATACCACACCAAAGGGCTGATGGAGTACTCGACAAAGGTCTTGCAGAGGCCTCTTCACGTGTTCGTGGACTATCATGGACATTCTCGAAGGAAAAATGTATTTTTGTTCGGCTGCTCGAAGTCGGGCTCCTGGAGCGCGGCGGACAGGTCCAAGCCGGACCAGCCGATGCAGTATTTGGTAATATGATAAAATCGATATCTATTCGATATTTAATTACGAGGGACCTTTCATTCCGGTCTCTTGGTCGGAGGAGAGAAGTGCAAACTGCATACCTTGGAGAATTCGGTCCCAAGCGTCGATATTGCAGATGCTGCCGCACTTGATGCAGAAAATCTCGCCGGCGTTCGCAATGTCGCTCTGCTCGTTCAAAGTGGAGAGGAAGAAGGAATCCACGGCCAGAGTCGCGATTTGGCGCCAGTTGGGAGTCTCGAGGTACAGAATCGAGGGGGGAAATGAGACGCGGGACTCCGAGAAATGGGTCGTCGAAATTACTCGGATTTTTAGCGCCTCGCAGTTCGTCTTGAGGGCCTTTCCCGCGATTTACCTCACTCGCGTCATCCCCTCGGAGATCATCTCTTGGACTCCGAATGCATTTCCAAGAGGGTCCAGGAGCGACACCGAGATGCCAAGGATCTAACCGGTCGCTTCTTCCAGCAGAAGTTACACGATGGAGAGCAGTTTCTGCGGCTGCGACCAGGGTCCTTTGGCAGGATTCCACCTGGACACGAAACACCTGAAGGATATAGGCATCGATTTTTGTCAAGCCTTGTCGATGATGAAGGACGGGGGTGAAGAGTGGAACGTTGATATGTACGTATGGGAATTATAGTTAAATATATGAATTAATATTTACGGTAAATCCGTAGCCACTCTATGCCAATGGTTATCATCGGTGACTGGAGAAAATTCTCTCGGAGTGCATAGGACTTTTAGAAATCCCGATTCGAGGTCGGAATTCATTTTTAACCAGGCGAAGGAAAATCTAGATTCTCCAGACCTCTTCCAACTGTTTCCATTAGAATTCAGGAAGATTTAAAGTAAAGGATTTAAGCCGGAATCCCCGCGATCAATAAGACGTGTATTTGAATCCAGGTCCGGAGAGGAGTCCTGTTGCCCTCTGAAATGCATTTTAGGGAAGTCTAAGAAACCGCCGAAGTGCATTCAGGACAAAGACGCGAAGTACCATTTTACGGAAACCTCGTTGTTCCGAAAAGACATGTAGTTGAAGGCCAAGGTTTGCAACGAATCCTAGTATAATGTACACAGAATTTTCAGCGTACTATCTAACGCCTTGTCAATGGCTTATCAACACTTATGCTCGAGTCTCTTCTAATTGCTGGTTAGAAAAAAAAATTAAAAATACCACTTGCACAACATTTTTAATAAAACTACTTTAGAAAGGGGCCTTGGTCTAGGCAATGAAACGGGACCTGTGTTAACCGGATATTGTGACATTGTTGCTTACATAATTAAATGTGCCCAGCATTTAATAACGCTTCGAGTATGGCCGTCGATTTAATCTAGGAGGGTATTTTATTCCATGTTTACACAGAATTCTAATTTTTCCATTAATTCTCTATTTAGTACACTCAGCTTCGAAGCGATCCCACTTTTAATAAATGACCTGCAACGCCTTTGTGGTAGATAAGATATGGTACTTGCCTCGAATTGAATTGCGTAATGCATTTGATATTTAGGATGTGATAATTAATAGTGCTGGGCGCTTTCCATTGTACGGGTAATGTAACCAAGCGGCCTAGAATAATAGCAAGGTTTAATGCGAGTGACAATGAGATTTATTGTTGTTGGTTAAATGCTTTTGATTCTCACATTTCGGTGAAATAATATATTCAATGAAATTTTCAGAACCACCACCAGGGAAGAATTTTCAGTTGGAGTGGGTGGTGCGAATGATGAAGGGTCATCAAGCGGTTCTGACGATTCAGTTTCTGATGATTAAACTTAATTAAAACGAAGGCTTTAATCGTTATATCCTACGGAGCTTATTTCGTGCGGCTCATTCGTTGACTCGAGTACTGTTCTAGATTATTTTCATAAAACGATCCCCCAGTTTTTGTCTCCTCGAATTAATCACCTGCACCTCGGCGTAAATTGGGCCGTACTTGGAGTGATAAAAATGTACGTAGAGGTCACTTTCGAGTATGAAATTATATTCGGAATAAATGTTACTATATTCGCTAGACTGCTCCGTTATTTCTACAAGTAAGCTCGTTTCGTTTTCAGCTGCACAACTAATTAATGTGAGAGCCTGATTAGAAATCCTGGGCAGGGCAAAAGGTACAGAAATACCCTGATGCATATTAAACAATTAAAAAAAAAAGCATAGATGTAAAGTGACTCAGGTAAGAAGAATTAATGTACCGGTACAAACTTCAGAAAATATATCTTTGTGGATAAACTTGAACACTGTCCCGTGATAGTAATTCCTTTGTATTATTCGTTTTTATATACAAATATGTATCTCCTTTTACATTACACCTCTATTACTTTAACATTGTCATGTATTGGGTTTTCCTCAGTCGTATGTCTTTTTTTTTCTCCCGCAAACGATATTGTCATACACAGTCCAGCTGGTATTGCTTAGATAATCTCATAAATATTCCCATTCCTTGAACACAATTAACAAGGGTGACGAATAGAAGAATAAATACCCCGCGTTATCCACCTTACGTTCAAACATTGTATAGTTAACTATAACTAGAGCTTAAAAGCGAATCGCGTATCCGTCGTATTGCAATTTCATAACGCTCTCCCAATTTGTGAATTCACAATGGTCAATTGTGCTCCCTGGACTGCCCACCGTTGAGAGCCACTGCATCCTGTGACAAATAATGTAGAATTATATTAATTCCTTTAAAGAATAATATTTTTCATCATTTCAAGTCAAACGTGATTTTAGCTTATTGAAGTTGAGCAGCGCTGCTCTTGTGCCCCTTCCACCATCGCGACAGCGAATACGAGCGCATCTTCCAAGGAGTGGGGGAACAACAAGAGGCGGGGAAACAGTGCGATTCAACTTTGGGATCCAGATTAAAAAAAAAACTTACATTTGGTCGACGAGCTCCTGTTGTCCTTGCATCTTTCCAACAATGGTGCCGTTCTTACTGTTCTTCACCCAACCACAAATGCCTAATTGTCGACAGAGGTCTCTTACGTACTTTGTGAAGTAGACCCCTGAAATTATTAAAAGTCAATTACCTTCACAATCTATGGATTAGAGGAATATCGGGATCGAAGGATGATACAATGCCGCAGATTAAATCATTCTGTTATCTACAGCATCATTGGCCCCTGAAATATCCTAACATGAGATAATGGCCACCTTCCAAAAAACTGACCATCAGCGTTGGCAGCATCTTGTCTTTTCTTTGACATCTAGTGCCCGACAAGGACACAACGACAGATGCTGCAGATGACGGTAGATATCGGAATGTCATCAATGACAACCACGATCGCAGTCGATGACAGGAATAATTCATACCGGTCGTATCTTGCATTTCTATCGACCCTCTGAATTATTTTAATAATCCGTGCAGGGTGAAGGTCATTGAATAACGATTCTAATAATCACCAATCAATGATCTGAGGTCTCAAAAACGGAGACAATGAATTTAAATATTTTGGCATGATCGCCTGGTGGAACTATGTTTTCGTCGACCATGAACATACATGCAGAGGCCACGATCGGTGCTCAGCATGTTTGGCCTCTACGGGTTCAGAATTGATCGTGTATTGCTTAGAACAGATTTAGCAATGTTTATTACCGTACTTTGCTGGTCGCGAAACATAAACACCGCAGTGTTTGTCGCTCCCATGAAATTAAGCATGTAGGTGTCGGAGAGCACACCGTGGAACGCTTATCGCCCGGCTTAATGATCCCTTCTAATCGTACACAGATGCAAATTGAGGAGACTTTGCACCTGGCAAAAATATTTACCCCGTCCACGGTTTGCAGATAAATTGAAGGAAACCACCGCAGAGTCAATATTCGCGTTATCATGGGTCAACGGGTCCCATAAAAAGATTCCCACCTTGGACTCACCCTGCACTTTGCCGAAGACCTCGAACTCGATGGACACGAAGGGTTGATCGCAACTCGGGTCGCCTCCTGCCATCGTTTCCAAAATAGCGAAGATCACCCTTTGACCTAGGCACGAATAACTGCCGTCAAAACGATTCGGCCGATTCGATTAAGGGCAGCTCGAAGGAAAGGCAGATATTAGGGAGGTCGGCCACCAACTGTTTCGGCAAATCCGGGTCAGCCGAACGGCCCGAAGATCGCACCACCTCCTCTGGTTTTAATCGATTTCTATCAATTAGCGATGTCACATCACCTTGCAGAAACACCTCTCGGAACTGAATCTAGCTCTTGTTGCACCACGGCGTCTTGATGCTTCAAATAGATACTCACCCCCACTCCCGGTTAGGAGGCCGACGCTAGTATTGACGATCGATTGTATATCCTATTGACGCGATACAGATTTCCTCTTCGAGAAAGTGTCCTCGGTCTGACGCAAAGACGAAGACACGCGACGAATCAGCAGACTGCCGGGACACGGGACCGAATATTTCGAAGTTCTTGGCGAACGTCGACTTGGAATTTCGGAACATTCGGTCGATATGGAAAGATATGGATCCACACGTGAACAATTAAAATCTTTCATTTACCCTGAGAAAAAAAAAACGTCATTGAACCAAAGAAGTATTTTATCAATTCAAAGAATAATTATTTGGCTCGAATGAAGTGGAATTAATTGGACGCGATATTTCTTCGGAACTATGACAATTTATTTCTGACTGTCCGAGTCTAAGAATTATTCTATGAATTAACAGAGCACTTCTTTGGTTCGATGATTTTTTATTCTCAGGGTATAAATGTAGAATGCGCTAATGTAGTTTGTATAGGTAAAATACGTACAAAGGTCATTTAGAAATTCAAGATCAAGTCGGAAGAAGCAATCTCGCGCTCTTTGGACGCGCCTCAAAATTGTCCTCTTCGAGGAAGCTTTCTCAGGTTGACGCAAAAGCAGCTATTTGCGCGGCCGATGTCGGGAATCGCTCCAATTCCAAATACACCGATTCTAGAAGTAACGAATCTAAAACTCGTTAACGCTTAACAAATATCTATCGCCTCCGCCAACGGGAGCAATTTGCCCTGGGCGGATTTTTCTTTTTTTTTCTGGACGCGACGTTTGTTCGATGAAATTATCAGATCGCAGCAATGACCGATGTTCGATAAAAGAAATGACGGGAGAGTCCAGCGCGTCCAGTTTATCCCAGATTTGCGGGGCACATCGCGAATCGATCACTCGGATTGCCCGATAAAAAGCAGAATTATTATGCAGCTCGATAAATCAAGGCTCGCAGAAATGACCGCCCTTCGGTGGCCATTTTGAAACGCCGGTCTCTCTCCCGCTATTTCCCGTTTATTGAATATTTATCTCCCGCCACGGCGATATCAAGTAAGCGGAAAGGAAGAATTCCCGCCCCACTAGCAACCATCAATAGTAATCCCTTTTCCCGAGCGTTTGACCCGAATTTTGAGAATTTCGATAGGTAATTGACGGTCGATTCGCGAGATGATTAATTGCCGAGGCCGTGCCCGCCGTGGCAGAAGATTTCCGAGTCGTGACCACGGCGAGACACATCCACCCTCGAAGAGTCCGCCGCCCCAGTTGCGCGGCGAACATCAATAACCATCTTTTTTGCATGAGCCTTTTGACCCGTATTTTTCCGATGTTTCAGAGATTTCGGGACGGCGCGGCTATCGGCGTTAATTCCGGGGATAATCGAATCGCGATCCTTCGGCCGTTAAGGGCCGGGACGAGATGTCGGTGTCGGGGAAGAGACGGGCGGACATTAAGAGTCGCGCATATCGGAAAGAGGGCGCCGGCCGGTGGGTGTTGGGTGGCGGTAGCGGTGGCGAAGAGTCGGTGGGGGTGGCAGCCCTGGTGGTGGTGGTAGTCCCGGTGGTGGTAGTCCTGGTGGTGGCGGCGCGGGCGGTGGTGGTGGTGTACCAATGGTAGCAGAAGAGGAGGTGGATGACGTCACGGTGCTAAAGCGACGCACCAATGCTAAGCGTCTGCATGGGTCGGTGGGTGTCTGGACCGAAATCAATAGCGTACCAACAGTCCGATGCTCGCTCCGACCAGCTGTGGACGTTTCGACGGCGACAGTCGACGGGAACGAAGCCCAGGAAGAGCGGGATCGGTTCCACCTAGTCGAGCCAGTGACACGGGAGAGCGTCATGCCAGTTTTGCCATGTACTGCTCTCCTTGCCTAAGGTCGTAAAACCAGGTAAGGCGACCTCCACCCCGACGACGCGATTCGCCCCGGCGAGTGACGTGGGTGCTGACGAAACCCAGCTCGAGGAGTCGGACCTGCTCCTAGTGGCGCGTTTCCTCGATCGGTGGAATTGTGAGGTCCGGCCAGGTCCATCCCTGCCAGCTCTCGGATGCTGCAAAAATCGAGCTGGGTAGGAGTGTTCCCTGAAACCCGGGCATCCATTGGGATTTTAGACGTGGTTGTTCGAATTGAACACTAGTGGTGGTTCTTTAGGGTTTAAAAATCGAAATTCACCTGCTGAACCTGCTCCTGGGAAAATCGAGCCGGGCAGGAGTATTCTCTGAGACCCGGGCATCCATTGGCGTTTTTAGATGTGGTTCTTCAGGTTGAACATTAGTGGTGGTTCCTTAGGGTTTAAAAATCGAATTTCACCTGCTAAATCCCCTCGTTTGAGGTTTTAAAATCCGGAGAAGGCGATCCTCGTTCTTAACTCGGTTGAGATTTACCTTGAGCAGTGACGTGGGTGCTGACGAAAGCCACCTCCAGGAGGCAGACTCGTTCCCAGTGACGCGTTTCCTCGATCGGTGGAAATTTAAGGTCTGATCCGGTCCATCCCTGGCTGCTCTCGGATGCTGTGAAAATCCCGCTGGGTAGGAGTGCTCGGTGAGACCCGGGCATCGATTGGGATTTTTGGACCCGGTCGTTCGAGCTGAGCACTAGTGGTGGTTCCCTAGAGTTTCGAAATCGAGTTTCACGTGCTAAACCCCTTCGACTAGGTTTTAGAAATCGGGGAAGGCGACCTTCGCCTCCAATTTGGCCGGGATTCACCTCGAGCAGTGACGTAGGCTGTGATGATAGCGAGTCCGGAGGCTGGGAATGGTGCCAGTGATACATCTTTTCGACCAGGTCTAGTGACACAGTTTTTAAAGCCATTCGCAGTAGAACGATGCAGGACATCGTTTTCGGAGAATGGACCAAGTGCGATTCCAGTATCGGTTAGAGTCGCTCTAGAGATGACGATTAAATTTGAAATTATTATCACGTATTCATAATAATTGGGGTGTCGGACGTTGATCCGATGGCTCTTCGGGAAAATTGTCCAAAAGCGTTCCAACTGCTCTCAGGAGTTACGAGCACTGGACCCAGGATATTTAAACGCACTTAAGGCAGGAAATTGCGGAAAACCGGTGTCGGATGGTGTCCTGTGGTGCACTCGGAATTATTTCCAGAAGTGTTTGTCAGCCGGCTTGCAAACCGTGCGAGCTCTGCTCCAGATTTTCAAGAAGGATCGTCCCTCCCCTTCAAAGTTTCCTTTCCACCTAGCTTTAAAAAGTCGGCGCAAAAAAGGACGCGGCTGAATTCTGCCCGCGTTTCCCGGATTTGATGCTCAGCCATAATGGCTTGACTGATCTCCCCTATCCAACTTTGAAATTGGTTTCCGTACTCGAGTGCTGTCAGGGCTTACAAAGTACACGGTACAGTCGACAGATCACGACGATGTTGCTTAATCGACCTCGCTCGAAGCCTCCGTCAGTAATTCGCCACGGTCAGCTGCTTCGTATAAATTTTCATTCCTAAATGGCGACTTCCGAGAGCAATTTCGGGCCTCTCGACAAACGATTCGAGGAAAATATTTGTTTAATATTCAAGACACGCCGGTAAGTCAGAGTTGGCGTACTCTCCTCGGTCAGACATCTCGCGTAATGGCGTAATTCGAACCAATTGAAGTTTCCCCGAGTCAATGGACTATTGAATTCGCTGGATTTGGTTGCTGTCCAATTGGTTGAATGGGTGTCGTTGAGTTTGATATTTCTCGTTCCTCTTGGGCCACTTTTGGTTCCCCTTTGCCAGTCTGAGCTTCGCAGTCAAAGAAACGTCGAATTAGGGACGGTTTCATGCGCCAATTGCCGACTCCGTGGGAAGCCAGTGTTTATCTAAATCGGTCGGTAAAACAGCACTCGGACGTCGCCTTAACGATGACCTTCTTTCGTAGATATTGATTGCTACTTGGGATAGTAACGATTTTAGATATTGCGGAGTCGGCACTGAACTGGCCGGCACCGTCAAAGCTTTTCTTTCCCAACGCCGAGAAAGGGATCTACCAATTTATTCACGGTATAGCTGAGTAGATTTCCCAGCCTCAATAGAATTCTAAATAGTTAACGAGGGAAGAGCCAGCTTATGGCAACGCTTCTGCGTCAGGAGACGAAATCAACCCCTGATTTAATTTATCGACATAGCTGCCAACTCCTGAAGTTATTTTTATCAACCTCTGATTGCAGGTCGTGGCAATGTGGCCTGGAGCACTGCCGTTTCTGACTGTCCTGACATGTTTGTTACATCACACAAGGTGAGACACACAATGAAGCCCTGATTAATCGTTGCACTTCTTTCGCTTAGCCATTTAATCCATACGAATGAGGGTTATTGGAAACGCGATCCCCAATTCAGGCTAGAATCCGGCGACTCGGGTTTCGGACGACGTAAACTCCGGAACGAGTTAAAAGTTTGGTTAAGGTCACGAAATTTAATATTCAGCGTGGCCTACCACAATATACGACGTAATCAACCAAAAGTTACTTGCCGAAGAATTTTCAATTATCCGGCCTTATAAGCATATTCAACGGTTGAAATAAGAAATGTTTTATTTACCGAACCATTTTTTTTGCGAACTTGATAGAACAATTTTTTTTTTCAATTTGCGAATCTGCTAGAAAAATTTTCACGAAAAATTCGCATTCGGTGGTACATGCCGAATTTAACGAATTGTTCGGTCCCTTCGGTTGCAGATGTACCCCAGGGAAGGTGAACTATCGAGAAAAGGAGAAGCAAGTGCTGGACCAAATCCTCGGAGAAGGACGGTACGACGCGCGTATACGTCCCAGCGGCGAGAACGGAACAGGTAACTTCGATTCCGTCGAGAAATTAATTTCTTCCCATTCCGCGTGTGTATCGGCCGTGGCCGATAACGATTACGGTTGCGATTCGAGCCCTACACCGGGAAGAGCGGGGCTTCCGGAAGGAATTTTCACTCTCGTGAAAATGCGAGTACATCCATTTCCGGGAAGCCCGAAAGCGTCCCGTCCGCATGCGAGGAAGGAGTCGAACGCACTTCCGTCACTTGCGCGTCAGGGCTGGGACGACGTCTCGGCGGCACTTTTAGGCTAACGAACGAGGTTAACCCCCCGACTCGTCGCAGCCGTCGAGCGCTCTGGAAACGCCTAGGGAATTGGAAAGTGACGTCGAGAAAGTGCCCTCGACATGCGAGACGAGATCATGGCGCGTTTTGCAGTCAGCGAAGTAGTGGGCTCAACCCTTTGGCTACCGGGAGCCAGTTAGAAGGCTCTCCCGGGTAATCCCGTACATATATAATACATACGCCCCGTAGGAGCCGCGGAAGGAGGAGTACACAGACCAAAATGGCGACCGCGGTCAGCGTCTTCCCGAGAAATTGGCTTGAAGCGTCCGGCGCACTTTTATTTCCTGAACTTTGCTCGCCCTTATCGAGGATCTCGTTCTTTCAAAGGAACCCGCCAGCCGGGGGGTCGATCGTTCCTTCAAGGAGGCTCGAAATTGACCGCGTGGTTTATATTAACTTATTCGTGAAAAAGGAGACCGACCGATAGCGATACCGCGTGGGAATAAAGTACCGTCTATCGACCTGCGATAAATATGTTCATTGCAACGTCCAGGGCGGAATTTTATTGCACTGGACGGTATCGCATTCGACGTCTGTCGCAAAAGCTTGAGTTAAAATTAACCAGAGATAACATCGCCGCGTAAACGGCGTGGCATTGTTTTTCAGCGTCCCCTCGTGCACGGGTGAGAAAATGGCCGCGTCGTCGAAGTGTTTTCTTTTCGCGTTTACCGAATCCTATCGACGAGATTATCAATATTGTCGGTGTCCCCCCTAACGGAGCCCCCTCCCCGGAAATAGCAGAGTTCGCGGATTTCCAACAGATGCGTGCTTATGAAGTCGGAAGCAAGTGCGAAGAGATAGGCGCACTTCCTCTGTCACGAGCGAGAGAGTAACGTCGCATAAACCACTCTCAGCGGGAATTGACAATTGACGCAAACCCGATACCGTGTCGAGCCTCGATCTGACTTTTTCCCATACAATCGAGCATAAATCCTGCGACGTGGATCGCATTTTAAATCTCGTTCCAAGAGGTCTTATCTAACCTCAAAAGGCACACGAGACTCTTTTTACCGGTCCCCATCTCCGCCATTCGTAATTGATTTATTTTTCAATTTTTAACGTCCACTTCGACCTCACAGGGGAATTACAAAGGATGAGGACCTTTTAGACCACGAGTAAAACCCCCTGATAAATGTTTCATTAATGACACTCGAAAAGGGGAAAATAAAAAAATAAAGAGAAGGAGCGATCGCCAAGTGGGAGGGAGGCTTGCCATCCGTCCACGGTCAGGATATTTGGAAACGAAGATCAGAATTTGGGAGGTCCTGGAGGAGACCTCAAAGGGGTTCAACGATGCACCCTGGACGAACGTCCTCCCCCTCGAAGGTACCTCTCAAGGATCGGTGGTCCGGTCCCCGGAAATAACGGAAGACAAAGACGAAAGGATCTCCTGGTTACCGAGGTCGACGTCGCATGGGGAAACGCAAATCGTACGGATCCCCGTCAGCCAGGTTACCGAGGTCCTTGGGACGGGATTCGAGGAAGGGTTTAGGTTCTGCACTCCCCTCGATACTGGACTATTGTTAGCGAGAAGACGAGGAAGATTAGGAACCATCGGCGAGACGAAGATGCACACGATAGGAGGCTCCTTGGCGTCTCCGTTTCGATTCCGTTGTACCTGGATGTCACGAGGCGGCCATTTTGGTGACCCACACAATAGGTTCCGCAAGTAGAACTCCGGAACTGCTGGATGCGATACCTCGCCCCCTGTCATTCAAGATTCATCTCGGGAACCAAGCAGCGACTCTGTACATCTCATCTTACCTGGCTGAAACCATTTGAAACCCACCTAACCCAATCCTCGCAGGATCGATTTTGCGCATTCAGAACCTACACGGTGAGCCAACTTCACGTGGGCAACAATCTGCACGTTGTTCGATTATCTGGGCATGGTATCGAGTATTGCACTCGAATCCGTACAGTGATGCCAAGAAGGAATTCCTGGGACCAGATGTCTAGGGTTAATTAAGTCCTATCGTGGATCACCGATGCCGCCATTTCGGGGACCTGGTAATTTTGCAAGTATCTAGCGAGAAATTCGGTAAAGATGTGGATTTCGATAACATAGAAAATGGAGGTGCGGAACACCGTGCAGATTGGTGCAGGGGAGAGATGCTTAACTCTCGATGATCACCAACGTGTTGATTGTTGGTCGAAATCTGCGATTTAGCGAAATCCGATGTTGACGTTCCATTGTGTTCCGTCGAGTTGCAGATTCCTGTGAAGATCACTCGCGGTCCTTAGCCAAAATCTGATAGAACTTGAAGTATATATTTGCAAGTAGTCCCTCATGGTGGTACACGTCTCGTTAACGGAGAATCAGCCATGTTCGACTTAGGTGCGGAGATTATTTCGAACATCTTGTCGAAACGAAACGCTTAATGGATATACGGAATGTAGGCTATATAACACGTCTCAGCCACGCTGTATACTAGTCACTTAGGTAGAGAAGAATCATTAGTAAATGAAGTCTTTCTTTTTTTTTAGTAGACAGCCATAGATACTATACTTTCCGTTGAATTGATCTTTGCTAAAATCAGCTCGAGTCCTCATCGCGAACTGAGGACTCGTGCGATTTGGCGACAATCCATTCAACGATAAATGGGGCGAAGCGTACTAACGTTATCTGTTCACCAACTGTACACCTACTGTGCCTTACCCACTCACTAAGTATTTTGTGTTGTTTAATTTCCAGTACGTAGCAGTGATTTGTAGTAGATTGATATCTCCAAGCTGTGTGATTTGATGGCTCCAAAATGTGCGCCCGAGAAGGGCATAGCAAGATTCGAGATGAAAAATTGACCGATGAACGCAACAGTTTTTAAGCTGGAGGACATTTTAGTTGGCCAATGGGAGAGCGAGGGGCGGGGCCAGCGGTGAAGGTCGCCCCTCCCCCTCGCTCGCTGTGACGCACCTCATTGGCCAACTTAAAGTGATTGTAAGTAATGAACTATTGGGTCCAGAGAAATTTCGCTTGCACTTTCGTCGGTCGGTTTGTCACGGCGAATCTTTCCACGGCCTTTTCGGGTTCGGATTTCGAGATGGCCTGTACAATGGCACTGCGAGGCCCTCGTTGTTGTAACTCTTTGTTTCTCGAAAGCGAACACACGCCAAGTAAAGCGCTTAAAGCGAACAAGTATAATATCAGATTTCTGCTCTCTAAGCCTACTAGACTGAAGCGCTTAACGTATCCTTTTGAGCAATAGCACCGATAAAATGAGACAAGGGAAACAGAAATCCGATATACACAGATATATATATCTCGGTCAGGACGGACGTCGAGAGTAGTGAACTGTGCACAAGTAGATGAGCACTCGGGGCCTAGACTGAAGTCGTCTCCGTAACGTGTCGATAGAAGCCAAAATGGAGAAAATACCTAATTCTCTTGTAACTAAAGAAACATTACACACACACAAACACACCTGTGAATCAGAAAGGTATCTCATTAAAAGGGGATGTGTTATTTTTGCCCTTAGATGGGCCGGCCATTGTCCGGGTAAACCTGTTTGTGCGAAGCATTGCGACAATTAGTGACATCAAGATGGTAAGTATACGTTAGTTTTTTGATACGCGACATATTATATTACATATACATATACATACATACATATCTATACATATATTCCCGCGAGTTTATTTGTGCTCCCGCAAAGTAGGCGCAAAGTAGGTAGCCTTTTTTACCGCCGCAAAACTGTCACAGCTAATAGCTAGTCGGCCGAACATATCCCCTCACGAGCACCTTCGCAATCCCCTACTGATACGTCAACCTAACCTCGAAATCACCCATAAGCGTATATACATATATATATATATATACATATATATGTATTATATAATATATATATGTATATGATCTAGACGCAGGCATGAGATTCTCCGGCTTAAAACGTTCGACGCCAAGATACTGGAATATTCTCAATAGTGTACATAACGAGTTTGCTCGTGTATCTACGTTCCCTCTTACTAATGACCTGTTTCTGATTTACATAGCAATATGGCGGCTATATATAACACACGACCGGTCACTTGTAACCGCAAAGCGTTGAATTCGCTATAATTCTCAGACGATTAAGTCCTAGTTGCCTGACCACGGAGTAAAGGGTAGGTGGTCCAAGTGTCGAAGACGTGCCGTTAAAAACTCGCGATGGCCGTTAGGTGTTCCATGAGCCCGCAATCACGTGACCGTTTTTAGAGTAATCTGCTAATTTCTATTCAATCTCGATAAAAATTGCCGTCATAAGATGAAGGATTGCAGTGCCGTGCAGCGTGTTGCGGGTTTTTAACACGACCTAGTCTTGTCGGTCGACCATTTTGGAGAACCTCCCTTTTACGCTGTCGGCCCGATAGACGCCGCCGCGGCGGCCATCTTGGAACCGACCAGTTGGCCGAAGACCTTAGACTGCGCATGTCAGTTATTCACTTCTTTTTCCCTGTTTTGAGATACGTCTCTGTTTTACGACTGCTGCATACATTGTGCGCCCGCGAGGGCTCTAGATATTTTACTGCACTGTTTCTACCGTAGATCAACGAACGACACCTTGTTTTATCGACACTCTTTACCGCACGCTAGCCCATCTCAGCTGGACATCGCATGATAGTCGAGCGTTACGATATGTGACGGATAGTTGCAACAACATAGACATGGATTTATTATATTCATACTTATATGGAGAAAGGAGTTACAAGGCGAAGCGTTCGTAGTTGTCCTAGACGTTGGTTCGAGGGAATCGTTGCGTTCTCTGCGATTTAGGATGAAATCTAGAAGAAGTAGATAGGTTAGAACAGGGCCGAAAGGCCCGCGTAGTTAGAGCACCGTTTAATAGTTAATTATCGCATTTACGATATTTAGACTGTTTACAAGATCTACCATTTTTACAACTGCACACTACAAGGCTGTCTCTACTAACGCGTTCCAGGGAGTGTCAGGCGTCGATGACTTCGTGGTAGGTTTGTTCTTATCCAAAAGGCAACAAAGAGGTTTGGGTTGTTGCATATCGATGGAGAGGGGAGTGTCAAGAGGATTATGGATACATCTGCGGATCGATTTTGAGCACTTAGGGCTTGGGGCGCGTTGAGCAATTGCGTTTAGATCGTCCGATGATTTCGGACTTTTGAGAATTTAGAGCGTTTCGATTGTTATGGAATGACTTTCTTAGTTCGGAAAATGCCGGATTGGAGGGATGGCAGGTAGGTGCGAGGAGATTTATCGGAAACTGGGCAATAATGCAGATCGATTGCAAGTGGTTTGGGTTTTGGTGGAAGTGGGCGAAGAATTGGGAGGGGTGCCTTGACTTTATTATTCTAACTATCCCCGATGTTTTTCATGATGGGGAAAAAATTCAGGGGGTACAATTACGACGGGCCTATGGTCGAATATTTTTCTGGCGAACTTTTTATTCCTCGGTCAAGGTTACATGGTTTGGCAAACGCGAGTCGTTTCTTTGACAATCCGTGTGCTGATACCAAGATGAGCTGCTGGCGCTGCAGTATGGCGAATTTTGTGAACAGGAAGACACGAAACATCTTTACCCCCCGTACTTTTTATTTTCACTTTTGTCACCGATGCCTACATTTCCACATTTGACAGCGTACCTTTGGAACGTCTTTAGAGAGACGTTCCATCCTCCCACCCGAGTCCGTGCTACAACGTGAACGACCAATATTTTACCCATTAAAACTGGTTGCCCGAATAGTTAAGTCAATCGAATTTTCCAGTGGATGAAAGTTAATATACGCCCCAGAAGGTACATCCATCTACATCATCAAAGTGAGGAATTCCCATTAAGCGCAAGAGATTTCAAAAACGTCGTCCAAAAACGTGGAAAAGCGTATCGAGAGACGCTGACGAAGACCGGAATATAATCGCTGCTCTTTCTTCCGACGATGCATAAACGATCAGCACTTGTCGCAGAAAGACGAGTCGTCAAAGGCTTCATAAAAAAAAAAAAGAAGAAAATAAACAGCGCAAGATCAGACGGTCCGCAACCACTGAAGGAAGAACCACCGAAGTTGAAATTTGGATGTCCTCCAAAAAAGTAAACTTATGGTCCAAATAGGCGATCACTCTCATCATTCGAATTCTCATCCGCATCCGTTCTGATGAAAAGAAAAAGCAGTTCACCCCACAGAAACTAAGACCAATTAGGAAGAACCAAACGCCATCATCCACGCAATTTTAGATCGACGCAAGACGTTTCCTCGTCGTTTCTTCGAATTTCCAAATGTTTCGTCCCCGGGAAAGCCGCCGTGGACGTAGACTAGCCAACCGCGAGCGGGAGTGATAACGAGAACGAGCGATAAACAGAAAGAACGGCTAGAAATAAAGAAAAGACACCGTGACGAGCGTAGAGATGAAAAACAAGGCGTCGAAAACCTATCTTTCATTCCGCCTACCTCACCCACTGATACCGATGTCCCGTTCTGTGTGATTAATTTGTGTATTTTGTTTGCTATATTAGATGGACCCGCACTTGTCCACGTCAACATATTTGTTCGAAGTATCTCAAAAATAGATGACGTTACCATGGTAAGTTAAAACCCGCTCGAAACAGTTCTACACACACGCGCGCGCTCTCTCAGCCACACACGCAAACATGAACACGTGTCAAAAGTGGATGACAAGGAAAGACGGACGATAGACTGATAAGTGGTGATAGGTTTGAGACAGAAAGATGTGGGGCCTGAAGGGGTGGGGGTAGGACGGAACAGTTGGGTAGAACAATTGGGTAGAACAGTTGGATGGTGACTAATACAGAAAAGAAGAAGCTGGGGAAAAAGAGGATAAAAGTAGAGTGCGAAGTAGAACTTTTGACATATGAGCGCTAGGAAAAGACGGAATTAGGGAAATCTGACTATTCGAGCCACTAACTTTGTCTCTAGTCATCTGTAGGATAATTGTGCATACAAGGAACAGAATGGAAATAAGTAAGGTATTTAAATGCACTGAATCCTTCCAATCGCATTTTGTTCCTTGTCTGCACTTTCCTCCTATATTCTAGACTTTAATTATTTCCGCTTTTCAACTAAGTAATTTTTCCTCCTTTTCATTGTACGCAAAGAGCTACAATTCAGTAGCAGCTTTAAATAACTACGTGCATACACATAGTTTCGTGTGCCAAATCGATTGGACATCTTCTTCCTGTCTTATTCTTCTAATTCATTTGTGTGCCGTTGCTCTAGAATTCGAGGAAAAAGCGACAAAGCGTTTTATTGTTGACTTGACGTCTTACTTCTTTTTTTCATCACTCTAACGCGTATGCGAACCCCAAGTAGAACGCCGATTACCCGAAACGCCATTCCACTTATACTTTATACTACACTAATAAACATTAATTGATAAGAAATAACGGGACGAGAAAAATAATTCCACCCTGCCGATGACTCGATAAGAGTGGGAGGGAAGCGTCAGCTTTTTGTTGGACCGATAACAAAAGCTTAAAAAGAACGGATATAGATTCAGTTCCAAGGAACGATAAGGAACAACAGTTCCATCCGATATTCAATTCCCGAGTTATCCGATGCTCTGCACTATTCTTTTTTTTTCCCGGGATTTTCAATCCAGATACTGAAAACGACTCGTCCAGTTTCGGGTAACCGACGTTCGACGGTTTCCTTCCAACAAAATGGCGGACCGTTCCTGCCTTAAGAGCGTGTACACAAATGTATCTACATCTACATTTACATCTTATTCTCTATATATATATACATATATACATATATATAAATATCTTTTATATATATTTATTAGCAACACGCGCTAATCGGAACTCGCACAAGAAGGTGTCCCTCCACATTTTCACATACTGCACGCCTTACATAGCCATTCAGTCAGCCGGCAGCCATCCGCGTATTGCGATACACGCCGAAAGTTTTCGTTATTCTTGCAGATACCGAGATGTAAATCGCGGTACAGAGTTTGCTCTAAGTGTGCTTCCCTTTTCGACAATGCCGCTGCTCTCTGTCTTCGCAGGAATCTCTCTCGATTATTTCCCCCCGGTGCCATTTCGCGGCCTGTCGTCGCCCTCCTCTTTTTCTCAATTTTATTCCTTTACTCTCTTTATCTCTCCTCTGTTAGATAGCAAGTACTTATTATACGACTCGTTTTTTATATTCTCACTGCGTATGGCGTTTCTGAGCAGCATGAAGTCACATAGATGGGAACTGTGCATTTAAGTGTCCGTAGATTGAGTTACGAGAGACAGACATCATTAGCAGGAAGTGGATCGATTAGCTCAAAAGTAAGTACACGCATTCCGGAAGCTTTCGAACCGGTAGCCGGTTAATTACCGTCTATGTATACATAGGCTTAGATGGCCGTATGTGTATGTATATTTATTTCCCCGATGCAGATTACATCCGCTTCCCTGGCAGGGCTTAGGTTTCCGGCTACTGAATCTCCTCGTAATTTTACGGCATGCTGTTCAATTCATTTCCTCGGTATACTTCGTATATACGTATGTTACCCCGTATGCGTTATACAGGGCGAGTCAGTCTTAGAATTGTACATTTTATTGGTTAATGGAACTCGTAAAAAAACGCAGGGAAGTCGCCGTGTGTAGGTTAGGTCACGAACTCTGAACAGCCTTGCTGCCTCTTGCCGAAACTTTTCGGCTCTTTTTATGAGTTCTGTTAAACACTCGGTGGTCGTAGTTCTGAAACGCTCTGTATAGTCTGGATATCCAGGATGATTCGGATGAGCCTCCACGGTTCTCTTGCGATTGGTTACCGTTGAGCGGCTTTTACAACGTAGGCTCACGTTTTACGGTTTTACGTTCCGCGTAGAATGGCGGAATCTACCGCATTTAAACCGGATGGCGTACTTCCTTCATTTACAGGACGAGCCGGGTTGAGGTGGTTCTCGGTTTCTGCTCGTTAATTTCCCGCCGACCCTTTTGCAGGATTTATTCGGACGTCTGCAAGTATACGAGAAACTCTCAGGGCTTAACCGAATTTACGGAAAGTCGCGGTTTACGGCAGGGCCGTTTTGCAGCTGCATCGACGCTGCACCGCACAAGTTGCACAAAGTCGCACAGAAGTTGCCAAACGCTTCTCCGGTGGCGACGAAGGACTGGGGATGATTGATTTTATGGATTTCCTGAATCGTCAATTTTGTACGGCCATTTTCTATCAGGGTGTATTAGGGCAGACCGCGGATTGTACAGGAACGATTTAACGGGTCGATCTCTTTCTCGACTTGTTTATAACGCGGAAACGAAAAGCTACGTCGACCTCCAAGAAGGAACCTCGCAATTGGTAGTCGTAACAGTAGTTACCATTGTTAATGACAGAGATTTCGCGGTCAATTGTTCCCGCAGCAGCTTTGCTGACAGAGTGTCCTGGGGCGAAGATGACTCCGAAGGCAGTCATCTTCTGGCCTGAAAATTCAAGAAGTTGGAATTGGAAAGTGCGACCAGTATTGTATCCGTCGTCCAGAATTTAGTATTCGGTGGCCATCGTGCACGTTGATCATCATTCATGACTTCATTCCTACCGAACGGACAGATTCGAACAGTCGGAGTCGCGCGGAAGGAAACGGCAGAAGAGGACGAACGGCTGCAGAGAGAAGAAAACTGGAATTAAGTGAACTGAGCGAACGGTCACCTGAGAACCACTTTTAAGGGTGAGAAGTTGATCCGAAGACTTCCGCTGACCCTAAAGGATGACGATCGACTATCAAACGAAATCATCGCATTCGGGATCTCGTGCTTACTCGGCATTCTTGGACTCCATTATACTCCTCCGTGCACTTTCCGGCGTCATACCGCAAGGTGTTTCTAAAGTACGGTGTCGAACTTTGGAAGCACACCTGGGGGTTGAGAATTGGACGAAAGTTACAGGAGTTACATAGCATATGGACGTGTAAACGGCTCGATCGAGGAAGGTCGAAGGAAGGGTCGAGTCGACTCTGGGTTCGCTAGCTCGGACTCGAGAATTCGAGAAATAAAGGAGGAGGAAGGAAAGAACACTCGACCGGCTTAGATAGTCATTATTTTTACGATATGTGTTCGAAGTTCCCGATCACACATCTTCATGACTTCACACCCTCCCCGCTGTGACCCCTCTGTCTCGCCCCAGCTCTCTCTCCCCTGCTCTATTTTCGCTACTGCTTTCCCACTCCCTATAAAACACGATAGTCCCAATAAACAAATGAAAGAATTCAGCGGAGGCCCCGAAGGGCTTCCTTCTTGAAACCGTTTCACCTAGTATCTGGGCGAGGGAATTTGGGCGCTCAATCCGGCAATATAGCTACCTCCGGCAGGAGGTATTAAGGAAATTACCGCAAAGTGTCTCGAACGTTGGACATTCGAAATTCTTAGCGCTCGGCGGGCCCGTGGAAACGTGAGAAATCATTTGTTTATTTAAATTAACGCCCGAGTAAAGACGTTTCATTTGAGAATTGCTCCCGGCGGCGCAGGGGGTTCCCCCACTATGCTCCTGATCAGTATTCGCTGACTCCCCAATCTACTGCCTGTAGAAGAGCGTTTAGTTCGCGACTGTCCGCTTCGCGGCGCTGCGAAGCGGTGTTCGACCGGAGCCGCACCCTGACTCGTCTGCTGAAAGTAAAAACAGTGAGTCCTTCCCTTTTGTTCTTTTTTTTTTTTTTCAATTAATTCATTCAACCGAGAAACGGAAGACGTCAGGAGAATGAACGCCTTCTCGGTCCTTTTCTTTTTTTACCACCTCCTCAGTAGCGCTCGGCAGCAGCTCTGCATCCCGCTAAGCCCCACCTCACGGCCCCCCGAAGCGGCGCTCGGTCCGAATTAACACTCGACAGATGGATGGATACAAGGCTCTCATTTACCGAAAACCATTGAAAAGTCGATACTGGGCTCCACCGAGATAGATCCACGGAGTAACGAGCTCCATGCATGAGATCAGTCCGATTTTTATGGGGCCGCTCGGTGGGGCCGCGGGACGAGCGCAGGGTCCTTCGCCGCTGCTCACGAGCAAATTCGATCCTGATTCTACCGTTTCGATCTTAGTTTCGCAAATGCGGTCTTGCACTTTTTGGAGACCAAGACCAAGTCTGAAACTAAGATCGACACCGAAACCAAGACCGACTTTGCTCGGTAATATTGGCCACCCCCCACTCTGCGGCTCGTCGCGCCTGCGCAGGTGAGAAGCCCTCGCTGATCGCGCATCGCTACAGGTCCATCACACCGGGATCAAAGGACGAGTTTTTTTTTCTTCACAGATTTGCCTGTTAACCGACATCCGACACTTCTCGTATCTCGAATCTCGCGTAACGCGTAAACATCATTCGGTACGAAAGCACGAGGGATACCGTTGAATGCCTGCTCGGAACTTAACCTCAAAATCGAAACGTTCGGTTTTCGGTTCTCCGTTTCGGCAGAGCTTGACCTCGCACAAGGCCGGTACCTGTCTGGGTCGATGATTTACTCTCTGATTCTCGGGACCGGGACATTTGAATCTGTAACGACTCGCATCCGGTGACAACTCGTAATCAGGACTTCCGGTTAAGGTTTGTCGAATGCACCGGGCCGAATAATTCGCGAATCGCGATCG